CGTAAGCATAAAAGTCCTAACTAAACTGCAGTACTGCTGCAGCACTTGCGATTGGCGTCAAGTAGTCCCATAGTCATCCGAAAATGACTTTATAGTTTAATATCTTATTGAGTTTAGGTTGTGGTGGATTGAGTTTGAGTTAGGTTGTATTGAGTTGAGTTAGGTTGTATTGAGTTATGATGTACTGAGTTATTATTCAATAAAGATGTTGTAATGTAATGTAATGATTAAGTATCTGCTTATGTAAACTAGTTGTTTATTATGGTAGTTCGTGTTTAGATAGGATTAATATTGGGGTATACGATCTATGTTGGATTAGCATTTAAGTACTTCTCGTGGGTCCAAATAATGTATATCGTTTCAGGCGTCTGCAGCGTAATCTTTAGTAGGGACTGGGTTGGTGGCATATGCGTGCTTACATGATTGCTCATAGCGGCTAAATCCTTTACGTTTAGAGGTGTATAGGATAAACAAAGCGTGGTGGCTTGGGGAAACACTCGATCTAACCAGTTAATTATGGTAATGAGTTGGGCATTGTTGGTTATTGGGCTGGCTAGTCTTAGATTCAAGGCGCCAACTTGACCGATCTGTTGGCTCGTATCTTGTCCAACTATCTCTTCATAGTGCTGGCTCAGGACCTCTAGATCGACAGTCGTGAGAGTAAAATATGGATTTAGGTTGACTTCTTGGACTTGCGGACGGTTAAGCAACTCTTTAATGAGACAGAAGGGCATAACATGAAGTTTAATACCGTATTCTAGAATGGTTTTGATTAGATCCGGATACTGTCCAGTTGGATCGTGAGTTGAAACAACTACAACCTTATCATCCTTCAAAATGTCTTGGTGCGCAATAATAGTGTCTAGGTGGGCCGGCCGAGAGAAAACATCTGCCGCTAGATATAGCTGAATCTCGCAGTCGGGTTGGATCTTAGAGCCTCTTAAAACGGACAAGAAGGCCAAAGTTGGTGGCGCAACATTCATACTAATCACGATATAAGCCGAGTTCCGAAAACTGTAGCGCGATAGCACCCAGGCCATTACATTCTCGGAGCAATCGGTTAGCTTGATGTGCTTAAGAGTGGTTTTGAGCTTAGGCAGAGTTGCAATTTGTTCTACCTCAGCCGCCTGATTAGATGAAGGCACTGGCGCGGCAACAACATCATTCATAAACAAACTTTCTGCCTTGAGATTACCGAATGTCTCTAGTAGATCTAAGCATACTTTCTCCTGCAGGTTAAATGGATTGTCCGAAGACCCAACTATGTGTATGCATTCATATCTCAAATGCTGGCAAAACTGGCGGACTCTTGTTTTTCTTCGATATTGGGTTAGTATTACGTCCTTCTTTTTGATATGCTTGGCTAGGTTGAGGGTTAGCGATGGTACCGTCATTTTCAAAATCGGAGCAACAATACTCGGCTTGTTACTGTTTGGAGATTGCGACTCGGAGGATACAACGTTTCCTTGGCACTGGTATTTACCCCAAATGTTCGTATTGGGAAGCTCTAACCCCAACTCTGTCAAAGTCACCAAAGTCATAGTGTAGTCCAACCGAGGTGTTACGTAAGTGAACTTTACGCACTGACAATTAATGCCAAACCAATCCATTATCTCCTTCTTCGTAATACCACTCCAATGACGGCCACATGGCGTACTTCTATTCCATCTTACTATCAGTTGCTGGACTGTTATTTTGGCCTGGGTTTTGGGGTTGAACATGCTCCAGCTTTGTGGCTGGTGCGGCACTGAGTTAATGGTTAGACGGCCTATTTGAACATTAGCGGTCAGTAGATCTTCTTGGTAAGGAATAAGCTGGTTCCACCCAATGACTAAATCTCTGAGCGGATTGAACTGCAAGAACTTCTCTAGATTGATAACAGTAAAATACGTGTTGCATGTAGTGATAAATAACTTATGACATTTTGGTTGAGGCCGGGTTAGTAGTGGATTAGTATTATCAGCAAGAGAGTAGTCATAGATCGGCAGAGTCAATTTGGCTATAATGTGACAGTTGATGAAATTCAGCTCATAATCCTGCCACCATGTAATCTGATTTAGATCAGTGCTTAGATTGCCCTCACAGTCTTCAAAAGACAAAGTCCGAACCTGGTAGCGCAGGTAGGACAAGACAATTAAAGCATACTCAAAACGGGAGCTAACGACCTGTAGGGTTACTGGGATATACAAACACATTGCCTTGTCAAGCTCTTGGCTAATGTGCTCCTTTTGGCAGAGGGTCTTTTGCTTATCTAGATCTAAAGTATTGTTTTTACTTAGAATGAGACAAGCATTGTAATAGCTATGTTTGTTTAACAGATACATGGCCAAATACAACGGCAGATCGGGTTCGTCCTGCTTTTGTGACTGCACCACCGTCAATAAATTACAGTAGATCGTAGGAAGATTGAGTAAGTGTTGGTATAGCTGATCTTCATCAAAACCCGGGTTGCCAGGCGTGCAGTAAATGGTAATACGACAACCAACCAACCTCAGGGAATCCCAGCCAAGCCTATCTATGCGGTGGTATTTGCTTTTCAGGTAGTCAATTGGACACTCTGGGCCTCCGTTGAATGTAGTCTTTTCTGTGGGAGGAGGATATACGTCGCAGTAGTGGTGAAGGAATTGGAAGGCAATCTCCATTTTCTCCTCGGCAGTCATTTGTTCATTGGGCGGCCTGATCTTTATATCCAACCTATCGCAACCAATTACCACATCGGCATTTCTAAATAAGAGTATAGCAGATAGATAGAGAAGTAAACATGTGACCTGCATAAAAGTTTTATTGAGATTGTTGTCTTGACACAAATATTTTCCTTTTATGGTAATAACGGTATTCTTATCTTGTAAAAACAAAGTTGTTCTTTTTCCGTCATATCCAATTTAACCCAACTTATACTAACCCAATACTAAAGTCCATCTTAACTAATGCATATTCTATTAAAGACATTCCTTAAGATAAGGATGGATGTCATTTATTGTGACACGCCGAGTATGAAGCTCGTCCAGTTTGAAATACAAAAGCCCTCAGCATGTAAGACTTGGCGATTATCTTTATTGAGCCAAAGTACCAAGTGAGTCTCCTTTCTGTCTCTAGGACCAGGAATACAACCTTTCATCCCTAAGGGTAGATTTAGAAGCGGATGGTGCTATCTTTTATTCAACTATATCTACTCGAGAGTTTTAGATAAGCTGTTATAGATTAGATGGTGTTAGTATTGAGTTGGGTTGGATTGGATAGGGTTCATTGGCCAATGCCTACTCTACTAAAGACCTTCCTTGAGACGAGTATCGATGTGATTTGTTAAATAAATATGGTTGTGTGAGAGGATGACGTCATATTGAATTGTAGCGTAGATATGTAAAACTAAATTAGTCGAATCAGATTGACTCTATTAAACATGTTTACAGGCATGAATAACAGGTTATAATGGAATACACCGGTAGGATAGCTTTTATAGAGGAGCGGATAGACACCAGCCACCGACAGAAGTACTTGGATAGGATGAGCTGAGGTAGCAATGCCCATTGTCGTGCTCCGGGGAAGGGATAGTACCTTTCAACCATACATATTCGACTAAAGACCGATTTTGAAGAGGACGAATTGGTATTGAGTTGGTATAACTTAAGTTCTCTTTATCGTACGTCATTTTGAGCTAGTCTGTAAACTCGGAATATAAATGCTAATCTGAGATTGTGATTTCTAATTCAAGATTTAATCGCGTTCGCTGCGATCAGTGCCAAGCCGATAAGCATTACAACACTACACTCCTGTAGATAACTCACTTTGAAGTGGAGGCCGGCGAGGACACCACAGTTGGTGTTAGTAGTACTAAGCAGTGATCAAGTCGATCGCGTGGAAAATATGTAGTGGTCGTATGACGCCATTACAATAACTTAACCCAACTTAACTTAACTTAACCTCACGTAGCTATTTGATGATTCGTCTTTGGGTCTTCATCTGGTTCAATTCCGATGTACTAACCCAGCTCGGGGAAGTGCCCGATCTGGCTAGATATAAATTGTATTGCCGGCCTTTGGGCTGGATTTGCTGGGGAAGAAGAACTAAGATATTATAGCGATTAGTAAGTTGCTTTTGGGCGCATGCGAAACAAGCAAGAGATAGACAGTCTATGATGGCTACGTACAGTACATCTGGCCCTATTAGACCGGCCGGGGGTGGATTGAACCGATCGGGAGGAGTTTGCGTGGCAGAAACGGATCGATGGTCCTCTCGGTGACAGAATTGACAAATAAAGACGGCGGGCTGCTCTTGGGATGGGTTGTTGATTGTGTAATGTCTTTGAAGAGCTCTGAAAAGGTCGTCACTCATCATTTGAAAGACTGAAAGGGACTTAAGAACGGCTGGCGTTTCAACCAAAATGAAGTACTCTTCCAGCCGCATAACAACCAGAGTGCCTTGCTGATTCTTAATGCTAGAGAGACGTCGAGCAAGTTTAATGCCCGGCGTATATACCTCTGTGGAGTAATAGTAGGAACCATCTCGGCAAGTGAAAGTAATCGATGTAAGAGCCTGGGAAATATTCGTTGGTGAGATAGTCATATGATTCAGGTGGGTCAAAAGAGCGCTGTTGTTCGATGAAACTCTAACACTGAGTTGGGTAATGCATGGAAATTTCACTGCAACCCAGTGAATCAGAGCTTCTATGTGCTCAACAGTGGGGGTGTTTTTCTGGCTTCTTAGCTTACAGCTCAGGCTTATGGGAACTTGGTGGGTGCTTAAAATCGGCGAACATTCACTGCGAGATTGGGCTGAGACGGCCTGGCATGCTTGAACTGCTTGAACTACCTGATCAAGGGGCATATCATATAGCTTAATGGATGTGACAACTTGATTGTTCAGCAGGTCTTGTATGTCCCCTTCTTTCTCTTGATAGGCGGCAAAGGAACAGTAGAAGGGCAGTCCGTGGCGATAAAGACTTTCCAAGCTGCCTAGGACTTTAGAAAGCGGTTCAGTGCTCATATTGATGCGTATTTTGTCCAGAAGATCTGATTTTTGGGTCAGAAGACTTAATTCTTGGGCCGAAAGAGTCGATTTTGGGGCTGAACTTGATTTGCGGCTCTCTACCGAGTCCAAAGTAAAGTCTTTGATGCTTATCTTTTGAATGGAGGGAATATTACTTAGGTCAACGCCATAAACAATTGCAGATATCTTTGCTAGCGGTCCAAAATTCTTTATCAAAACCTCCACTTGGTTGCTAAAGATAAAGCGCTGCAGCACGCCAAATATCACATGCATGCTCACATCATCCAAGACCAGTCGCTTGATGGTTGTTTTAAGAGGAAGTCCGGGGCTGTTTGAATTATGGTAGATCTCCGGTGGGTCTGTCCATCTAGCCGACCGAACGTCCCCAATGCACTGGATTGTTAGGGTGTGGGCCATGCCCAGTCCCAGTATATCTAAGATTTGAATAAGTCGTCTGCCCAAGTCTTGGTGGTGCTTTTTGCCAATAATAGTAACATGGCTGTATGGCAAACAGCGGCACCATTGATCCTGGGCCAAGAAAGTGTCGATTTTAGATGCTGATTTGAGCCCGTTAATTTGGTCCAAATAAATAGTAGCTTCTAGGGGATTTCCTTTGGTTTCAGTTGTATTTAGACTAGTCGTGGCTTCACTAGTAATTGCATCCATACAGTGGGCTACTTCCTGATACTGAGCAAGATCGGCATCCTCGAATGGACCTAGGCCCAATAGGTCTAGAGTATTCTGAACGTTGATTTCTCGACCGATCTGGTATTCTGTTTCAATCAAGCCGGCCTGAACGCCAATTTGGAAGAGCGCCAGCCTAACGTTCTCTCGGACATATTGGTCGAGGCGGCAGGGCGTTTGCGGAGCCAGCAAAATCCTCAGCTTAGCAATTGTTATTGTTGGCACCAGAGGTAAACTAGCACCTGCATCATCCGAAGCACTCCAAATCGAATCCAATCTTTCTAACGCACTAATTCGATCGGACAGAAACAAACATGCAATAGTTATTTTTGGGGCCAAGCTAGCTAGTCTTACTAGTAGCTCCCAATCCAGCTGCAAAGCAATTTTATCGGGAACTGTAATCTCCAAACCCTCAGTTGTTAACTTAAAATCATCTATCCGCATCTCAGCCAAAACCACCATAAGTTTTGGAAGCCTTGGTCCACAGAGTTTAGCAAAGTCTATCTTAACACCACGACTTTTCTGAATCACAATCGTATTATCTTCACCTTCGGCCCAAATTAAGCTAGACATCCATCCTAAGTCAACATCAGTACAGTTTTTGATCACTAACTTACGTAGATGCTTCCAACTGCCAATGTTTGTCGCAATGCTTTGTATGGCCGCACTGTTGCACTGGTGGAATGTAAGCGTTGTTTCCGGTGCTCTAACCTCCATTGGCGGGTATACATACTTAATTATATCTAATAAATTGAACTTAGGCGGCGATGCCAGATTGGTCGTTTCAAAAGCCATGTCGTAGTAGTTAGCATTCCGAACTTCAATGTTACGGCAGTCGGCAACGTACAATAGTCGATGCACTAGATCAGTTAGTTCCTGGGACCGGTCGTTCTCGGCATTAATTGTGAGTTGAGCACAAGTGATGCGGTTAACTGTTTGCAAGGAACTTTGCAGTCTTTTGACATAGCCTTCAGTCGCCGAGAAGACTATATTGTTGGTCGGCTTATTAATCACGACCTCTTCCTCTGGGGCCTGGTTCACTAACTGGCTCCAGTATTGGCCGTCCGCAAACGCAGCTTCAAGCATTAAAACAGGCACAGTTGAGTTGTCAGATATAAGTGCCTCAAGACTAGGCGCACTGATTTGAGGAGTATTTGAGCGAGTAACCGGACTACAAAGTGCATTGATAATACCAGCACAACGCACATCTAAAGCCAAGAAAAGAATAATAAGGCCTATCTTTAAACGCCATATTCCAATCACATTTGTACTATTATGGTATGTTTCAGGCAACATGGAACACTAACCCAAGAAATTTATTATTAGTATTAGATTGGGTTGAGTTGAGTTAGGTTGTTATGTGATTAGTATTTGATTAGTATTTGATTGGTATTTGATTGGTATTTGATGAAGTTAGTGTTCGGCTGATGTTTGATTATCACTTAAACTTAAGTGCTGTTTAAATACTAACCTAAGTACTGTTTAAATATTAACGTATGTACTGTTTAAATAGTAACTTAAGTGCTGTTTAAATACTAACTTAACTTAACTTAAACTAACTCAACTCAACCCAATACTAACCCAACCCAATACTAACTCAACTCAACTCAACATCAATACCAACCACATACTTAGTGTCTTTTGTGTGCCGGGATGGACTTTAGCTCTTTCCCGGCATCCAGTATACTTAATAGAACATGGCTGGCTGCTAGAAACAAGAAGAAGACGCCTTCAAAGATAGTCCGCCCAGCAAAGATGAACCATAGCAACGACTGTCCCAAAAACCAAAGATTAATGGCACTGCAAGTTATGAAACAAGCCGCCTGTAAGAGTAACAACACCCTAAAAGCAGCTAAGTCTTTTCTTCCCAACCGAATACTAACGTAAACGTACGGTAGAAGTAAGTCTCCCACTACTAAACTAGAAGATACACCGGGACAGGCCTTGGTGGTAAATAAAAACGCCGCCTCCCAATTAATGGTTGACAAGCTATGATTATGGCCCGTGCAAAAGAACATCAACTTCAACAGAAAGAAGGCAGCACAGCCTTTAGCTACGCTACTGCCACGTACTGTCACTAACCTAGCCAAGTACTCCGTGAATACCAGCCTAAAAAAGATAGCCGAGCCTGGCGAGTACAATAATGCAACAATACTAGCCGGCCGAATCAATGAAAAGACCCATGCACCACGGCAAAGCACGCCATCACTAAAGAACTTTCCTAACGCCAAAAAGACGTCCATCAAAGGACCAGTTACAAGCCGACTCGCTTGGTGCTTACTAGCCCGTTCATTCCCAGCTAGCCGTAATCCCCGCAACACTACCAAGACACCCAAGGATACTCCCGCGCATATATACATAATAGCCCCCAACCAAGCAATCTTCTCTCGCTCTGGAACCTTTTTAACCCACTTAATCCACCAAAACCGATCAACATCATGCAACGGAAACTTCCCAACAACTAAGCCCAACACCAACCCAACACTAGCCCAATCAAATCCCAGACATAGTGTTCCCAACAATTCACACCAGACCAGCGAAATAACGTCCTCATGTATCACTGCAAACACCGAATGTCCAACCAGCACAATGCCCGCCATAGAAAACAGCACAGCATAATGCCACCACTGAACCAAAAACATCGATGCCAGCAGCCAAGTTCCGGCCAACAACACACCCAAAGCAGCAACCATTCCCAACACCGATGATCCATGGAATAGAGCATGAATCTGCCGACCCAGCGCATCGTTTTCATAAACCAAAGCGCCTCCGTGTGCTGGAACTGGCATGGCTTCCCGGGTATGCCGAGTAGTTGTAACTACGGCAGAGCATCCCAAGTAGTGCAAAGCCAGCCTCTTTCTCTCAATCTCCATTTCATACAGCTCCGTGTATCTCTCTGGCGAAAGAACTTCAGGAATAAGAGTGCCAGGCGAGTTGTACGGCGTAGGCAAGCCCAAAAGAGCGCATATCGTTGGCAGAATATCATTTTGCGAGACAATTGCAGCCGGCTCAGCCAAGTGCAGTTGCTTTACTTCTTCTTCATTCTTCTGCACAATTACTCGGCTGCTATGACTTACATCAATGCCATACCGCCGAATATCCTTCCCAATCAAAACCAACGAAGCAGCCTTCTCCAAAAAGGAAGTGCCTCCATGCGAGCCATCATCATTTACACCATGATCGGACAAAACAGCCACCAAGGTCTCATCGTCTAGATTTCTGTACACCCGTTCAATAAATTGGTCAATTAACACCAAAGCCTTCTGCACTTCCAAGCTATCAGTTCCGTACAAATGACCATACGAATCCGGAGAAATCAAGTGCAAAATCACAACCTCATGGTCCACTAAAGCCTCCTCCGCTGCTTTCATCAATCTTTCTTCCGTACTAAACTCCACTAACCCATAGGGATGGTAGGTCTCTTTAACAAACTCCTTTATCTCAGGAAACAAATACGTCCAAGTCTCGTCGCCAAAAAACGCACTTCGCTTCTTCTGAGCGACTAGCTGCTGCACCAGATTATCAGCAGAGCATGCCTGTTGGCTAAAGGACTTCTGTGCCGATAGCAACGTTGTAGTGACTCCAGAAAAGGTCGATAGAATTCGCATGGCCGTGCCAGTAGGTAGATCAGCTATGCTTACCGCCTTATAGAGATCCTCAGGTGCTATCTGCTCTAAGGACCGAAAGTTATTGTGGTACCGAGTTGCTTTCATGGTCTTGTGAATAGCATCGGCCCGCACACCATCAATTACCATAATCAATCCTTTCTTGTAAAAAGGCTCACTTTTCATTCGATTTACTATCTGCACCGGTGCTTTCTCCACCAAAAGACTCTTGCCGTACCAATACGCACCTAAGCCCCAAATACCCAGCAAAACCAAGCTTCTCAACCCCTCACCTGCTACCACCCATCCCACGCTCTTTCTTAACCTCATCAGCTATCCGATCGCTAAACAAATTGGCTTAAATAACCTATCCAATTGAATTACCCAATAAGGTCATATCAAATAAAAGACAGACAGAATGACTAGTAAATTAGTGCCACCAATACCAATTCAATCCTAACCCAATATTATAACTAACTCAATACTAATGCCAACTTAATATTATAACTAACTCAATACCAACTTAAACTAACTCAATTAAGACTCTTTCTATCTCTCTTTATATATCTCTCTTTATATCTTCTTTCCATCTTCAATGTTCAGAGACAAATCACTTCGTTTACTACTCGCTACTCTACTGGTCCTTTCAATCATTTATCTAGTCTTCCTCAATCTTACCTCCTTCTTTCGCTCCGATCTCTGGCCTAGCACTCAATTCTGCACTAACCAAACACCACCCCCAACTTCCTCCATTCTATCTAACCCAACTCAATCTAACCTTACCCCACACAACCCCATCCCACACAACTCCACCCCACACAACCCCATCCCACGCAACTCCACCCCACTCAACTCCACCCTACACAACCAGGCCGCGCCATCCATCTACCACACAGACTCTGCCCTTTTCCTCTTTCATCTAACCCAATATCAATCTCTTCTTTATGAATTCCTCTCACAAAACGAGCACTTTCTTCGTTCAATCACTCTTCTTATCTTTATTCATTTGCCCCAACTATCCTCTTCCACCCAAATCCTCCAAGCCATCAAAGACCTCCAAACCCAATGCCAGTTTCTCAATCCCAAATATCCCTTCGTTCAATCCACCCCCACCCCCACCACGCACCAAGTCCAAGAAGTCCTATCAGCCCATCCTAACCTCCATTTCTCCGATCCCAAATACCCCATCAAAATCTTCTTAATCACCCATTCTACCTCACCCAACTCCACTCCACCTAACCCCACTCCACCTAACTCCACACCAACCAACTCCACTCAACCTAACTCCACTCCACCTAACCCCATTCCACCTAACCCCACTCAACACAACCCCACTCAACACAACTCCACTCCACCCACCTCTATCCTAACCCAATGCCAGACACTTCTCTTTTTCCAACCCATCCAAATCATCTCTCCAGGATCTACGCGTCTCCTTGATGAATACCTTAAATCCACAGGCCGATTCTATCTTCCCCTCTTCCCCGCACCTACTCCTCCTTACTTTTGCACTCTTTTCGCACCAAGCACTCTCTCCCCACGAATCAAAACCCCATCTGATACTTGTACCTGTCCTATCTTCTATAAAGTCCTTCACTTCCTACTCAACACTATCTGGCCCCAACCCGCTTGTTCTTCCGCCCCTCCCCTGCCAACCTTATTCCCAGACTACCTCAACCAACTCAACGATACCAACCCCTATGTCACCTCTACCCATTCTTTCCTTACCTATTTAGCCGTCAATGAAATTAGTCCCAGCCCTATCATGAATCTCTTTTTCAAGAAAACTCAATCTTAATCCAACCCATACCTTTTCAATCCAGAAAGACTTCAATTCTATTTTAACTTTCCTCTCCATCACAGCACCACCCAAATACTATCTAAATATCATATAAACATCCACTAAATATCCACTAAACACCATCTTAACACCACCCAAACACTCACAAAACACCAACACAATACCATCTTAACATAACTCAATAAATACACAACCATCCATTTTTCCCCATGCAAAGAACTAAGCCACTATCTATGGAAGAGAAGGCCAACCGTCTAGAAGAACTTCTTCACCAGTACGATACCTTCTATCGCATGCAAGATCTCGAAAAGCTAGCACCCCAACAAAAAGGCATCATTTCCACCAGTGTCAAAGATGTAATTGAACTACTCGTTTCCGAAGGCCGAGCCAAAGAGGAAAAAACCGGAGGCCGAAGACTCATCTGGTCCTTCCCATCCGACAAAAAGATCCATGTTGTCCAACAAAAGTCCCACCTCCAAGAAGAACTCATCGCCACCCAACCCAAGATCCAAGCCTTCCAAGCCAAAATCAGCGAACTCCAAGCACAAAGAAACGACACACCCACCCGCCAAGCCAACATCAGCACATACCAACACCACCAGCAACAAATCGTGCAACTAGACCGCCAACTAAGCATCTACCAAGCCAACGACCCAACTCGAATCGCATCCCTCAAAGAAGAAATCCAAGCCATCACCCAAGAAATCAACATCCACACCGAGAACATCTTCACTCTCCGCGCCTACCTCATTTCCAACTTCAATGCCGAACCCGCCACTATTGACAAAAGCTTCAACATCCCCGCCGACCTAGACACCATCTAGTCAGTTTAGTATTTAGTTAAGTTAGGTTTGAGTTGAGTTGGGTTGAGTTTAGTATTGGGTTGGGTTGAGTTAAGTTAAGTTTGAGTTAAGTTAAGTTAAGTTAGGATTTCATAAACTGTCAACTTAGTATTATCTGCTTAGTATTATCTACGAGCTACTTGGTATTATTATCTACGATCTACAAACCAACTCAATATCAATCTAATAATAAACAACAACCAACATGATATAGCATTGAGTTGGTATTAGGTTGGTATTCTAACTCATAACTCATATCACCATTACTAAACTAAACCCATATCATATCATATCACCATTACTAAACTTAACTTAACTTAACTTAACTTAACTTAACTTAATCTTTTATTATTCACTTACTACTATCTAAACTTATCACCACCTAACCCCAACCAAACCAACCCCACCCAACCCACTACCAACCCAATACCAACCAATACCAAACCAATACCAACCCCACCCCACCCCAATACCAACCCCACTTAATACCAACTTAATACTAACCCAAATTAGATATTCTTTTTTTTACTAACCCTTGTATGAATACTCTGACTACTAATTCTCTTGTTTCACCAGCTGAAGTAAAAGATATTACGATTAGAACAATCAAACAAATGAAAGAATATTTAGCTGAAGAAGAAAGAAAGAAAGAAGAAGCAACTGCAAACAACAGTATTTATGTCCCAGCTGAATCTCCTTTCTTCTTTGCCGTTCGTATCAGAAGTGCAAACAAAGCATCTCCAGATATCATTTCAGCTCTTAAAACTCTTCGTTTACATCGTATTAACACTGGTACCTTCGTAGTTAACAACAAGTCTTCTAAATCTACTCTTCATTTAGTCCGATCTTACATTGCTTTTGGAACTTTATCTCTTGAGTGTATTAGAAACCTGTTATACACTAGAGGATTCTGTCGACATAATGGCCAGAGGAAGAATATTACAAGTAAGACTCTTATGGCTAGATTTGGAGGAGAGATTAATACGGTAGAAGAGATAGTTTCAGCTTTATTCTTAGGTCGGACTAATGCTTCGGCTATTAACAAGTGGCTTTGGCCCTTCCATTTGAACTCACCTCGGAAAGGTTTTGGAGGTCGTAAGATTAAGGACTTTGCTGAAGGGGGAAGTACTGGAGATCATGGCCGGTACTTAACTGATCTCATTCAACGCATGCTTTAATTGGGCCGGTTGAGTTTGAGATTGACTAATTGGATATGATTAGGAAGGTATAAGGTATGCTATAATAAAGTGCATATTCAATTTGTTTTAGATAAGATTTAAGTTGTTAGTTTTGATTTGTGTTGTGTTTTGATTTGATTTAGTATTGAGTTGGTATTGAGTTGGGTTTTGATTTGATTGAGTTTTGATTTAGATTTAGAATGGTATTATGTTGATACTAATTCAATGCTTATCTAAATCATAACATATCATATCTCAACTTAATAACATAACGTAACGCAATACTAACTCAATATCATATCATATCGTAACACAACTTAATACCAGATCATATTATATATCAACTCAACACAACTTAATAACATAACACAATAACATATCTTAACATAACACAAGACCACATCATAACATATCTCAACTCAATACTAACTCAATACCAACTTAATATTTTATGGATGTATCTGGTGGAGATTGGGTGATGCTTTGGTCGCATGCTGGGCCTTTTAAATGCGTGTCTATGGAACGAGATAAGAAACGGGTGGTGGCGATTGGGAAAGAGAAAATTGACGTGGTGGATTTATTGGGCCGGCCTTATGGGGCTTGGCTGCAGTTGGTTAGTGGTGGGATTGAGGTGGTGGAGCGGCCGACTGGACTGGGGGAAGTTTCTAAAGTGGAGTGGCGGCGGATGTTGAAGCAACGAGTGTTCTGGATTGAAAGACCTTCTTTGGTAGGACTGGCGGCTATGTATGGCGTTAAAGGAACTAGATTAGTCTCACATGAAGCTTTAGCTCAAATCTTATTAGCTAGTGTTGGTGCGAGTCAAGTAGCTGTTTGGGACGATCATCATGCTTTGGTTTTGGCGGCGGTGGCCCAGGGGCGCGGGGGTGTGTCGGGTCTTTTTCGAATTGCTCCGTCTAGTCTGGCACAGACACCGGTTCATACGCTTAGTGCTTTGGGATACCCGGCTGTACTGCCGGCCTACTCGGTCCAGAGCTTTACATCTAGTGGTCGAGGCCTAATAGTTCTAGCCCCGCGTGATGCTCTTGATTACTCCGTTGTACTGGAGTTTCTGACCTCTTCATTGGCCTACCAGACTGACTTCCTTTTCTATCATAGCTGTAAAGAAGCTCTTTTGCCGCTCTTTAATGGACTGATGCAAGAAAGTCGGGCTGGTCTTCTGGAGTTACGGGAGGTTTTCAGTCGGGCGTATCAAACTAGAACAGGTGCCATTCACCCAGCTATGACTAAAGAGGATCATTCTGGTTTCATTCTGAGTGGTACATTCCTTAACACAGGATTCTTCCAAATATAAGTCCCAGATTGTTTGTTTGTGCATGCAGATATTCGTCAAGACACTGACTGGTAAGACAATTACTCTTGAAGTAGAGCAGTCCGATACAATAGAGAATGTTAAGGCCAAAATTCAAGATAAGGAAGGAATACCACCTGACCAGCAAAGACTTATATTTGCCGGAAAGCAACTGGAGGATGGCCGGACTTTATCCGACTATAACATTCAGAAGGAAAGTACTATTCATTTAGTGCTACGCCTACGAGGAGGCAGTCAATAAATAGGATAGTAGTGATTGGTATTGTGTTATGTTAAGTTGTGGTGAGGTGGGGTGGGGTGGATTTAAATGTGTCAATATAGTGTTTAGATAATGTTATTATTGAATTGAGTTAGTATTTAGATAGTGTTATTATTGAGTTGAATTGAGTTGAGCTAAGTTAAGTTGAGTTGAGATGGATTGAATTGAATTGAATTGAATTGAGAGACATTAGTAAACTAATCTAAACCAATCTAAATCAAAACACAATCCCACTCAATACCAACACAATACCAACACAATACCAACACAATACCAAACTAAACTAAATACTATCTAGATACAAGTCGGGTAAATATCAATCTAGCTGAGTAGACGGTAAACTTTTTATGGACCAACAGGATAATGACCAGGTTTTAGAAGCACATAACATTAAATACTACACTGTTAAGGATATTACAACTAATACTCCAGTGGGTGAAGCCATTAAGAAGATGTTTGAAGCCAATTATCAATAAAGTATAGCGATTGAATATATTTGGAGTCTATTCTGTGAAGTTGACTTATTATTTGAGTTTATTGGTTGGGAATTGGATGACAGGAAATATCTATACAGTCTATCGCAAAGGAGGTTTACCAGTGGTGGTTGGAGAGATAGTAAGAAAAGATGCGGCTTGTTTAGTACTTATAACTGTCGGTAGAGGTGAAATTCTCGTTATTATGAAGAATTGTATTAGGCGGGTAATCAAACAACCTCCACATAGTAGTATTTAGATGCAGGCCACAGTTAGGCAATGGAAAAGGAAAGACCACCTGATAATACCAAAGACTTCTCAGAAGTGTACACTCTTCTTTCTCTGATTGCACCCCATACAGCCGAGTCCAATGATACTGTCTGTGCTTTAGTTGATCATGCCGTGCACTACCTAGGAAGGGCAAAACCGAATGGAACAGGAGAATTAAGTGAGTTTAGCGACTTATCCGTTTTAACCCAACTCGCCTCTCCACCCACCTCCACGCCACCTCTAGTTATAACCGCAAGTTTAAACAATAGAACAGTGGTTTATTTAGAAGCCTTAAGACTAGTGGCTAGCTGGCAAGAAGGCAAGTCTTTATCAGCCGAACACTTAAGAGTACTAGCTAGTGCTCTTTTCATGGCAACAGCTAATCCCCGACTACTACACCGCGATCGAACGAGCTATGCCAACAGTTTACTAACTAAGACCGTCCGCCAAAGTCTAAAAGAGGACCAGACTCTTCTCCGTTTAGGCTATGCATTAGCTCTAAGCATCCGAACCAAACGCATGAAACTACTTGGTGAGTTAGAAAGTATAGTTTCTCCATTAAGAAGTAAACTAGTCCATCTTTCCGTACAGCTTTCTTTACCCCCACCCGGACTTCTTCGTATTCTGGCTCTACTTAGACTAGCACGTCAAATGCTTACCTGTCTTATCACACACCCCAAATCCAGTCCAATTTGTCTCCTAATTCAAAGCTATCTTCTTATGGACAATCCCACCCCCCTCCACGACTCAATCTTCACCAACCCAGCACACACCAATCCCATCTCTAACCTGCGCCACACTCTAACCCAATGGCTTGACCAAGAAGAAACTCTAGCCAATCTAACCAATCACACCACCCCTAACCCAATTCAACCTAACACCACCCCAATCCAACCCCACTCAACACAACCCCACCTAACTCAACTCCACCCAACCCCATCTAACCCACCTAACATCATGCCCACTATAGCCCAAACACACCGCCTACTTGAAATAGCCAAAAACACCCAAACAACCTTCAAAGCTCTTAATACCGCCTTTAATGAACTAGCTCAAATACCCTTTCTCAGTGATCTTCTCCAAAACCACCAGCCCTACCCCCACAACTCCACCGACCTCTTCCACATGATTGAAAAAGCCCTAGTTGCCCCCAACTATACAACAACCACTTCACACACCAACACCACCACCCATACTAACACCACTCCACATACCAACTATTGGCAGCACATAATTCAATCAGGACTTGAACCAGTTCTTCAACACTTCTTCCCACCCGATCTAGTCACCTACGCCGGTTTTCTTCTCTTCCAACAAGGTTTCTTAACCACACCCAGCTGCCAGACCAGTATTACTCTCTACTATGCCCACCAAGACAATTTCCTTTTCCCAACTCTCCAACAATTCCTCCAAATCCAGTTCACCGCCCTAACCGACTTACAACAAGAGCTCAACAACCCCATACTTAGCACCTCTCTCCACCAAATCAACCAACGCCTCAACTACCCACCACTCACCCATCTCCTTAACGAACCCCTCAACCAAACAATCGAAACAATCATCTCTACTTTCACCCATTACACCAACAACCCAGACCATCCCTACAACCACACCATCCTAACCACCCAAATTTCCCATCTCACTCATCTCGCCCAAATTCTCACCAAAGACACTCCCGACCTCTCTCAACCCACCACCATCTCCCTCCCCCTCTTCAAAGCCCTCCTTCTCTCCCAAGCATCCAGTGCCACCACTTCCAGCAGCACTCCCAATAAGTCCACTAAGTCCACCAAATACACCAAATACACCAAATACACCATCCACTAACTTAATACCATCTTAACTTAGTACTATCTCAACTCAACACCATCTCAACTTAACACTAACATAATACCAACTTGACTCAACTCAATTTAATATCATCTTAACTTAACCTAACACCATCTTAACCTAACACCATCTCAACTTAACACCATCTTAACTTAACTCAACTTAACTCCACCCCAATCAACCCAACACCAACTCCACCCAATTTATCTTTTAACTCCCACTGATAAGCCAAGCAAAATATCACCACAAGTTACACAAACCAATACCACCTTAATACCCTCTTAATACCACCTTAATACCATCTTAACTTAATATCATCTTAACTCAATCACAAACCAACCCCACTCATATCAATATCTAACTCAATAAACTAAGACATATTTACTCTTTTTTTTACTACCCTTGTATGCAAGCAATTCAAACCGTTGAGTATAAGCAAAAGACTCCCAGAAACAAAAGAGGAGGCGGTCAAAAGCACACAGCTGATATAGCTAAGGCCGAAGCAAAAGCCCAAGACCGGGTTATTCAAAAGAAGAAAGCAGCTTTAACTAATGCTCTTTCTTGCCCCCCTGCTATCCATCAGTTCAGTCAGAAGATGGATGAAGATCTAAAGACTCGTATTGCAGAAGTCTTTGGGTCTTACAAGCCAGAAACACCAGAAGAACGTCTACATCGGGTAGAGAATAAGCAGGAGAAGAAGCTTTCTTTAGTTTTTGGTTTAAGACAGATAGTTAAGCTTATCGAAAAGAAGAAGGCTAAGTTAGTTTTGATTGCTAATAATGTTGATCCGATTGTTGTTGTTTTATTCTTGCCTTCTTTATGTAAGAAGATGGGTGTTTCTTATGCTATCTATGATACTAAGGAGAATCTTGGTGCTTTAGTTGGTCGAAAACAGGCGGCTTGTGTAGCCATTGATACGGTTGTTCCTGGTTTAGAAGGTCTGATTACTGAAGTAAACGAGCAATTCTCTGATCGTTATGACCAAATCATGCGCCAATGGAGTACTCCCGGTACCAAACAGTAAGATTAAGTTAGTATTAAGTTAGTATTGAGTTGGGTTAGGTTGGGTTAGTTTAGGTACTCAGTTAGTTAGCCATTAAATTAGTATTAAGTTGGTATTTGATTTGTGTTTTTAGATTATCTAGTATTTTGATAGTATTTTGATTGTGTTAGGATCTTATTTTAACTTGCCTCACCTAAACTAACTCAAATCAACTTAACCTCACATCAAGCTAATACATACTCTATTGAAGATAAGTAGTAATAGAGTTTGAGTTAGTATTGGGTTGGTTTGAGTTGGTTTGAGTTGGTTTATTGTTATCTACTAAGTTGTCTACTAAGTTATCTATTATGGTATCTACTAAGTTATCTACTAAGTTAGTAGTCCGAAAATCAAGACAAGCACAGATTGGGTTAGTTTGGGTTCAGTAAATACCAATTGGGTTTGGGTTTGTGTTATGTTATGTTATGTTAATATTAAGTTGTATTATGACATTGTTGACTAGATAATTTAGCTGATTTGGAGTTTCTAGATCTTCTACACTCTAACTTAGCACAACCCAATACTAACTCAATACATCATCATAACTCACCTCACCTCAACTTAACCTAACACAATACAATACTAACATAACATAACATAACTCAATAAAATACATCATCATAACTCAATCCAATACTAACCCATATCCTAACTCAACATATCATAACACAACCTAACTCAATCCAAACCTAACTCAACCCCACCCCACCAACTTAATCTAAACACAACTTAATCTAAACCCAAGCTAATCTAAGCTAATTTGAGGTTATAAATCCAATACTAACCCAATTTTCTTTATTTATGGAGCGATTTGTGGACTTAGCTGAGGCTGGACAATACTATCAAATGTCACAAGAAATTCTGCTGGCTATTCCTGAGATGGCCATTAAAGATTTACAATCTTTATATACGGGTGTAATTACTGCTAATCATTATAACATGCATCCTGATTCCTTTGCTGAAATAGTAGCACTTATTGCCGGGCGTTTAGGAGATGAAGAAGCTAATTCTGTTCTTTGGAATGCTTTAGAATTACTTTGTCGAGTTCAACCAACTGATGATTTAGTTAGTATTGGATTAAAAATGGCTCATAATGGTTCTGTAGCTGCTGCTCGTTTATTGCTGGAAATAGCTCATCGTCGGATAAGTTTAGGTGATATTGCTGGAGCTCGAGTTATTCTTTATGACTGTAAAGACTTACCGATTGAATCTAAAGAAGTAACTCGTCGTTTACATCTAGGTATGGGTCGTTTACATTGTGCTACTTGTAATTACTCGCCGGCTTTTACTCATCTCTTGGCTTACTTAGCTATATCTCCACTTGATGAACAAGCCTTTCAAGAATGTCTTTTAGCTGGAGTTAAATCTGAACGTGTTCATTCTTTCACTCGACTGATCGGTTTAGTTACTACTGCTAATAATACACCAACTTCTCTTCCTTATCAACTAGCCTGTGCCCTAGAAGCAGGAGAGGCCAGTCAAGCCCGACACCTCAGCCAGCAAATAGATCCATCTCTAGCCGATAAAGTAGAACAAAAAGCACTTATCATCAAACTCCTCAACTACTTCTTCTCCAACCGTGAAAGAACAGTCCATCTCTCCCATCTCTCCCAACATCTCAATCTTCCCCCTGCCCTACTAGAAACCATCATTCTAGACATTCTCGGCAGTGGGTTCATGCGCGGTACAATCGATCAAATAGCCAGTACATTTACTTATACCTGGATGGGCTACAAGCACCTAACTAACCCCGAACTCTCTACCATCCGCCAAGACATTTCCAGTCTCCGCTCCCGAGTCCTTGAAGTCATCCAAGAGACCAAAACCCGCCAATAAATCCCATTACTTTACTTTAGTCATCTAAACTTTACATTACTTAACTTATTACATCACCTAAACTTTACTTTACTTTACTTAACTTATGACGTCATCAAAACTTATGACGTCATCAAAACTTTATCTTAATCATTACTTAACTTTAATCAACTTATTATATCATCTAAACTTTACTTTACTTTAATCATTACATTGCTTTAATCATCTAAACTTTACTTTACTTTACTTTATTCAACTTATTACTTATGACGTCATCTAAGCTTATGACGTCATCACCTAAACTTTACATTACTTAACTTTAACCAACTTATTATATCATCTAAACTTAACTTATTACTTTACTTAAGACTTTACTTTAATCATCTAAACTTTACTTTACTTAACTTATTGCTTTACTTTACTTATGACGTCATCAAAATACCATATATAAATACCACTAAAATACCACCAACAAGTCACTAAACTAACATAAACCCACCCCACTCAATACCTTTACTTACCACCACCCACTTAACCAAACCCCACCTCAACCCCACTCAACTCAATACTAACCTAAATTAGAGATTTCCCGGGAAGATTTCCCGCCATTTTATTTAAAACTATAAATACAGAAGAATTTGGTAAAGCAATGGGAACAGGTAAAGGAAAGAAGGATCCAGCATCAGCCAAGAAGACTAGCAACAGTAGCAAAGTCATCTTTAAGCCAGCACAACTCCACAGAATACTTAGGGACAAGACAAAAATGCGTGTCTCACACAAAGCCATTATTGCCATTGCTGCTCTCCTTGAGTACGTCTTAGGTGAAATCATTGAAGCAGCCAAACTTATTTGCGATGAGGAAAACAAACGTAAAATCGTCTCTAAACACATTTCCTTAGCCATTCGTAAGGATGAAGAGTTAAACAACTTAGGAAGACATTGGCTCATTAAGGAAGGAGGTGTTTGTCCTACTGCCCAGATGGAGTCTTCTAAGTCTAAGTCTGAGAAGGCTAAGACTACTCAGGAGCTCTAATTAAGAGTTAGTTTTTGGTGGCTTAGTTGGACTTGTTTAGTTCAATTTGAGTTTGCCTGGTCTAATCTTATCTCTATAAGTCAGTAAATTGCTTCAATTTTCGTCTTTTGTTGTTTGCCTTGGTAGTTGGAAGTCATTAAAGAGATCATTAAGTGTAGTGTTATTATTATTACTATTTGGGGAAGTATTAGGTGGAGATGGGGGCAGGTTGGGATTGGGTGAAGTTGGTGGGGAAGTGCTGGGGAGATCGGCGGGTGGGAAGTAAATCCATTCGGAGGGATGGCCGGGATGGGTGAGTCGGATGAAGCGGGGGTCTCGGGAGAGGTTCTGGCGGATGGAGCTCTGCCAGGTACGAGAGAGTTCGGGGAGGAGGACGTGGGGGTAGGTGGTGGCTAGATAAGATAAGATTTCTTGGGTGGTACTTCGTCCTTCTGGGGAGGTACTAATTGCTTCTATGATTAGGTCGGCGTAAGTGGTAGTTCTGTTTATTCGTTGGGGGATTCTCCTGACTGGATCGAAGTGGCCACACATTCTCTGGTTGCAGGAGCTCGATTTTTGAGTGGGACTTGAAGTTAAAATAGTTATAGCAATTGGATTGAGTTGAGTTGGAGTGGAGTTGGGGTGGAGTGGGGTTGGTGTGGAGTTAGGTGGAGTTGGTGTGGTATTAAGTTGGTATTAGGTTGATGTAGGTGAAGGTGATGTAGGTGATTAGTGCCAAGGGGTAAATAAAGCATAGGTTAGTCCAATACAACTTAATGATTTAGTAATTTAACAGATAACAAATATTGAGTTTAGTTTGAGTTTAGTTTGAGTTTAGTTGAGTTAAGTTGGGTTAAGTTAAGTTGGGATTGTTATGGTATGTGGTTAGTGTAGTACTTACTTTGTACTACTCTAACGTACTACACTTAAACTTACTTCATATACCTACACTTAAACTAACTCAACTTAAACTAACTCAAACTTAAACTTACTCAAACCCAACCCAAACTCAATCACAACCCAACTCAATCAAAGGTTGTGTCAAGGAGTGGAGTGGATCTTGGGAGCCATTGGAAGAGTTGCACAAGTTGAGAGATACTGCGCATAACTGGACGGCCAATGAGCATGGGAAGTTGGAGGGCCCAGATGGTGCCGGTAAGGAGAATATAAACTGGAAGAAGGAGGCGGCTTAGTTGAGTTTGAGTTGTTGGAGTGGGATGAGAGAGGTAGTTGAGGACTAGAGTGAGAGAGATTAGAGAGGCATAGTAGGAAGGAAGATAGTGATGGAGATACGTATCACGGGAAAGTAGGAAGTATGGTAGATAGTTGCAGTAGTAGGTTAGGAGGAGAAGAAGATGGGCAAGATCTTGAGTTGTAGATGAAGTTAGTAAATAGATAGTGTGTAGTAAAATACTAAGAAGAGCTGCTATCCAGCTAAGAGGATTGCCCATAAAGAAGATCTGGGCATCTGATCCGAACTTTTTCTGCTCGGCTGGTGATTCAGCTATCGCTCCACTCCACATATGGATATGACGAATGGGATGTAGCCACTCTAATGGTCGGGAGGCATACTTGTGGTTGCTACTAAGAGTACTGTTGCAACGGAGCATAACAAGATTGGCTTCAATGAACTTCTGGAAGGATGAAAGTGCGGTAATGGAATGGGTTCGGATGGAGTTGCGATAGAATTGCCGACGGAGGGGTTGCGGGGTAGAAGGAGAAGTGAAAGGAGAAGTGAAAGGAGAAGTAATGGCCGGAGAAATGTACATCTTAGTGGTTGAGGGCGTAGAGGAAGTGACTAGTCGAAAAGTTGTTGCTTGAGTATCAGACCATTCGGCCTCTTCAGTCCTCAATCGGAAGGCCTGGTTAGTCAGCTGGCGAATTTGTAAACCACCCGCATAGGGATGTAAGATTAAAGCAGAAGGAGTTAAGGCCAAGAAACTAGGACTAGTCGCTGAGAAGTAAAACCCAGACTTATGCCGGATGTAAATAGGCTGAAAGTAGCTTAAATTAGAACTTGACTGAACAGATGCAGCCATAATACTCCAAGAATAATCCGCTTCACTAGTTAAAGCCAAAGCCGTCTCCTGAATAGTAATAAACATCCGTGAATCTTCTACATAGACGGCTAAAGGCGTACTACTACTAACTAACTCTCCCGCCGGGGCATAAGGCCCCCATTTTAAACTTGCCAAGTACTCAGGCGTATACCACCGAGCGGCCACCGGACTAAATCGGTTCTGAACCGTAAAGTTAACTAAAAACACACTATAGTACAAACCCAGGGCTATTCCCAGTGTAATTATTCCCTGTACAACCGGTAAAAGCCACCGCCACTGTCTTTTCCGCCGAATACGAAAACTCCGCCGTAAATCCCCAAGCAAGTAAGCCGCCACCGGCCCACCCATAGGCAAAACCGCCCACTTAAAACTCGCACCAGCCCCCAAAGCTCCCCCCAGCACAACAGACCATCCCAATCCCCGCCACAACTCACTCCCCAACCAACCTCTCCTCTTACACTCGCCTTTACATACACTTACGTTATCTTTACATGCATTTGCGTTGCTAGACACACTTACGTTACTAGACACACTTACATTCTTACATACACTTACGTTATCTTTACATACACTTGCGTCACTAGATACATTTACGTTATCTTTACACCTATTCACACCACTCAATACATTCACACCACTCAATACATTTACGTCACTAGATACATTTACGTTATCTGTACTTTTGCCAATACCCACCTCTACCTTAACCTTATGCCTACTAAGATGTATGTCTTGATACCCGGCCTTGTTCATATGCAGTAGTGCTAGTAAAATCAACCCAATACTCAACAGGACATAACTATCCATCATAAATAGCCGAAACATAGCATGCATTGAACTTTCAAAGAGAAAGATTAAACTAAGCACAGCTGCTACATCTTCAGCCACTCCAAAAACCAACAAAGTATGATAAGATACTACTACTACTCCAGCCCCAGCCAAACTAGATACTAATCTTAAGACTGCATAACAACTCTCTAAACACGTACCGGCAAAGGCCTGTCCAATCTCAAACTTCCCTAATTCCTGACCCATTACCTCTAAACCACCTCTACTCCCCCAACCACCCGTCCATCTAGCCAGGCCATACACTAATAATCGACCCAAAGGCGGATGTACATCAATAACTATCTCTCCTTTTAAATATAACCCAATAAATCGCACATAATGAGCCTCATCAAAGACTCCAGAAGCCGGATACCCCGTTCTAAATGCCCTAACTAGAAAGGATCCCCAAAAAAGAGCATTACCAAAGCTTATCTGTGACATTCTAATAAGTCGCATATTTGTTTGTTTAGTTAGGCCGGCAAATTTTTAAATGGCTTCCCAACACCACGCTAATTCCAAACGTAGATCGTATGACGTCAAATCAACTAAAAAAGCGACTTATCACTTAGGCGTAAAAATTCAACCAAAACCAAAACCTAAATTGAGTCGTAAAGTAGTTAACAAGCAATTTAAGACCGATGAGGACTTAACGACTTTCATTCTACATGAAGGGACTTTCAAAGACCGGATTACTGCTATGGCTTTACTAAGCATTAGAGAGTGCAGTGAAGAGGCGGCTAGAATGCTTTTAAGGATTGCTAGTGAAGATAATGGTGGAGATAAGTCTTATCTAGCTATTACTCATGCCGTTAAGATAGTAAGTTACTATCAAGAATGTTTAGCTGAAACTGAACCAAGTAAAGAGTCAGTTGAGTTTATTGAGTTTATTGATAAGATTAGGTTTGTTAAAGAGATAACGATAGCTCTAAGTAAGCAAATGAGCTCTTCTTTTTTAAAAAGCAAGATAGCTACTTTAGCTGCTAGTTTAGTAGAGACTAATGTCTTATCTGTGCAGATAGTTAATATTTTAATGGATCATTTAGATGTAACTCTTGATCGAGAGATTGAACGAGTTATTAAGATTATTTGTGAAAAAGAAAGATTAGATTTATTACAAGTTGTTAAAGATAAGTTGGTTCAAACTATTGTTTATCGTCGGAATATGAAGAAAGTTAAGTTTGCTATGACTTTAGTCCTATCTATTCATCGTAAGTACTGGATGCCCGATGCAGCAGCTTATAAGGACTCAGTTGTACCTTTAATTCGTGGGTATTCACAAGTCTTAAGTACTATCTATGAGGAGATTGATAATCCCAAGACTAAAAACAAGAACGGTCTGTCTGGTTTAGCCTCTTTACTTAGTGGACTACTACGGTTTATTAAGTGGGAGAAAGCCTTACCACCTACGGCTTTGAAAGAATCACGAGTAGCTAAGTTCTTTAAGGAGTGTGGTTATATGATTTTTAAGATAGCTTATTATGATAATACGAAATACTCTTTGCCCGCTTTGAATATTCTTGAGGTTATTAATGATATGCAACCGATTAATTATGCTAAGGTTTTGGCCGATACAATCAAAAAGTACCTTTACTTAAATGAGTTCAGTAAGTGTGAGATTCTTAATAAGGCTGTTAATCAAAAAGAACCGGAAGTTCAAGATAAGGTTATCAAAAGTGCTTATATTACTGAAATTGGAGGGAAGTATGCATTGGGTTGTGCCATGGTTACTCAGGAGTGTACTGAAACTTTCCAAGCTCGGATAGGTTTACTTCTCCTGCGTAAGTCTTACAACCCAACTGTAGCTACTGCTGCCAATGACCTTCTTCATCTACGACCTATTCCTATCTTCAATCCCTGGCAATAGATAAGTTATAATTGAGTTGGTATTTGAGTTAGGTTGAGTTGAGTTAATACATCGCAATACTATCTTATAACTGCTTAACTATACTATCACTTAGCTTAATAAACAACTATTTATTAGATTCAATTGGGTTAGGTTTGGTTTGAGTTGGTTTGAGTTGGTTTGAGTTGAGTTGGTATTGGATTGGTGTTTGTAATAGCACTGGCTTGGCACTTATTTGTACTATGAAGTTGGTCTTGGAAATATCATTTAATTGATATGTCGTTGGCATTTGAAGTAGTACGGCTAATTAGATAGTTGGCTGAATGGCAGTTATTTAATAGATGGCAATCTAATACTAACCCAATACTATCCCATCACAACTCAATACTTAACTTAATCTATTACTAACTTAATCTATTACTATCTCAATACTATCCCATCACAACTTAATGCTTAACTTAACTTAACTCAATCTAATACCAACTTAACTTAACCCAATACTTAATTCAATTTGTTGGATAAAATTGCGAAGTGGCTGAATAAATTTGCGACCTAATAGTTAGTGCTAACCGCAAAATTTTATGTCTATGGAAAATAACAGACAATTTCTCTTTACATCTGAGTCCGTTGGAAAGGGTCACCCTGATAAACTATGTGACCAGATTAGTGATGCTGTTGTTGATGCTTGTTTGGCTCAAGATAGGTTTGCTAGAGTGGCAGTTGATGCCGTTGTTAAGTCTAGCATGGTAATGCTAGTTGGTGAGCTGACTACTAGTGCTACTTTAGACTACGAAGAGATAGTCCGAGGTGTATTAAGAGAGGCTGGATATACCTATGAGTGGGGCTTGGATCCTGATCATTGCACTATTTTGACACATATCAACCGACAAAGTGAAGATATCTCTAACGGCCTAGAACAGGTCAATGAAGATCGTTGGGATTTAGGTGCTGGAGATCAAGGGATTATGTTTGGTTACGCTACAGATGAAACTGAAGAAAGAATGCCCCAGACAACTGTTCTGGCCCATAAACTAGCTCAGGGCTTATCTGTCTTAAGAGAAACAACTCCCTGGTTGGGTCCCGATTCTAAGACACAAGTAACCATGGAGTATGAAGAGAAGAAGGTAAATGGGATTTGGCAGTTGACCCCTTTAAGAGTAGATACGATTGTTATCTCAACTCAACATCAGGAAACTATGCCTACTGATAAGATTCGTGAGTTTTTGATTGAGAATCTTATTAAAAAGATTGTTCCAAAAGATCTGCTTATCAATACTCGTTATGTTTTGCAGCCTAGTGGTAAGTTTGTTATTGGTGGGCCTAAAGCTGATTCAGGATTGACTGGTCGTAAGCTAGTTGTTGATTCTTATGGTGGCTGGGGAGCTCATGGTGGTGGTGCTTATTCTGGTAAAGATTGGAGTAAGGTAGATCGTAGTGGTGCTTATGCGGCCAGATGGATTGCTAAGTCTTTGGTTGATGCTGGGATTTGCAAACGGGCTTTAGTGCAGGTTTCTTATGCTATTGGTCTTCGTGATCCGATTTCGCTTTATGTGGATGCTTATGGGTCTTCTACCTATACTCAGGCGGAAATTCTGGAGATTGTCCAGAATAATTGGAATCTTAGATTGGGTGAAATCGTTAAAGAACTCGGATTAGATAGGCCTATCTACAAGGGCACAGCCGTGTTTGGACACTTTGGTCGGCCCAACCTTCCTTGGGAAGTCTCTAAGCCGATCAGCTTTCCTAATAAGGAGAACGGGGGTCCTAAATAATCACGAGTAGCCCTACCATACTTATATAATGCCTGGATTAAAGACAGCTGGATTAGTATCCAGAACACATCATAGGCAAAAAGTAGTCTAATAAAGATCTCGATTGGGTTTAGTATTCTGTTGGTATTCTGTTGGTATTTTGACTGTGATTAGATTAATTGTGATTAGTTTGATTAGGTAGAATATGGTCGTATATCAACCCACTAGTTAGGTAGAGTGAGATATTTCTAGGATTACTACTAAATTCTGCTCATTCAAACACCACCAACCTAACCCAATCACAATACTAACCCAACCCAATCACAATACTAACCCAACCCAATCACAATACTAACCCAACCCATCACAATACCAACACAATACTTTCTTTAACTTATCTTAATACTAACCCAAATCGTACTTTTGAGCTATCATATTTGAGATAGATAAATTTACTTGGAATTTTGAAGGTATGTCTTATCTCACAACGAAACCTGGCGTTTATCTGTCTAAGACCTATTATTATGGCAGCGTTGGGGTGTTTATTGTTCGCTGCTTGTGTATAGTAGTGGTGCTGTTGGTTAGTGTTGGCGGAATATACTATGATGATGACGATGGCGATAGTAGCTGTAGTGAAGTTAGTGGAATAACTGGAATTAGCGGTGGTTTTGAGTATTGTGGGCTTAGTAATGTAACTAAAGAAAGCGACTTGGATTGGAATAATCCTAGTCAAATAGTCGCGTTTTTAAGAACACATGGCTTTGAATTTATTGGCTCTACAGACATTAACATTACACCTTATACTCCTGCTCAATCTAATAAGCCTATTCCTACTCCCTTATGTGGTCCGTCTGAGCCACTTGCTAATATTCCCAGTTACATAATAACCTGCTCTGGAGACGAAGTTATCTTTAGACTACTGGTGTATCAAGAACTTAGTGAGATTTGGCTGGGTTTGGCTGTTTTAAGAAAGATTGCAGCTATTAGAGTTGATAGCGTTTATATTGATTGTAACTGGAATCTTTCAAATCGATATTGGGAGAGTCTGCAGATTGCCTCTCGAGTTGTTAATATGTTTGATTGCGATAAAATATACATGGTCTTGAGTTCTAACCGCATAACTGGCCCAGGTCGTGGCCCTCTCAATTTCACAGAATGGCACCAAGAAGCCTGGAATGCCCTGGAACATGCCTCTTCTCAAGCAGACCGTAGTCCTCACTTTCTTTTGGAATTGGCGAGATGGCTGCCGGGATTTACATATACGAAGTTTCTTATCTTGCGGCCAATTGATAGTATTCTTGTTGTGGGCTCGGCAGTCACAAGCTTTAGTAATACTGCCTACTTGCCGTTTGCGGATAAATATACTATTGTGTTTCAACACTTGCCCCGAACTGCTATAATCGACTTTAAAACCCTTCAGGCGTCGCCTTCCCAGTGCACGTGTATCACTATTTGCGGCCAGCCTGGTCGCAGCCTGGAAATAACGGGTCTTACGAAGGCGGTTGGTAAACGCCAATCAATTACTCTGGATGGAAGTTGGATGGCTTATTGCATGCTGATCAAAAACCCCAATACTAACATTCACGTTCATACACTGTTGGGTATTAATGTTGTCCCGGATGCCACTCGGATGCTTCAGGACGTGCAGAGGTATCCAAAACATTCCGATCCCCGAATCTTTGCCACCAATGCTACTGCCAAAATATCTACGAAAACGGAGTGTAATTCCCATGATTACTACAGCAAACTGTACACCCCAAAGATCTTGGCCAAGTATGGCTTCTCCATTGGTAAAGTAGAACTTGTCTATGAAGAGAACCGTTCTGACCTATACCAAACCCTCGATCTGTTTACCAAGCTTGGCGCCATATCAAAAGTTCCAGAAGATGTTTGCCAGAAGAAAGTTATCTGTTGTGGCAACGCACTTAGCAACCCCGAGTGGATACTTGAAGAACCGGTTAAAGCCTGGCCCACGCCCAAAGAATTCGAGTCTCAAATTGCGGAGTACAAATCCACGGTTGGCTTGAGCTTCTGTCAGAATATACACTATAGATGCATCGAGATTACTGGTGAGTACATTCCACGGAGCGGGGTCGCGTACAATTATAACTGCATTATGTTTCTAGAGCTCTTTCAAAACATCAATGTTGATGAATTGAGAATCGCTGATATCTACGATACAACGTACAATATGTCCACTAACTTTGTGATAGATGTTTTACGGCTGCAAGTCAGAAAATCAACTAAGTACAATCTTCATGTCAAAACCTTGGTGTTGGACAATGTTGACGTGTTCTTTATCTACTGGTTCTTCGGGAGATACGACTTTACTTGCCCGGCCGAGGTATACCTTGTAAACCAGCGATTCGTTGATTTTGCCATTGTTCAAATCCTTGCTCTTCCTAGCGCTCGTAATATCACTGCCCTCATTATTAATGACTTCTTAGATCTATATGAAATCAAACGGTTCTTTAAGGATGAAAAGTCCGAGAATAACGAGGAAGGTGAAGAGATCGATAGCTTCTCACTCTTTGATTATGTGCAGAACAATAACAAACACGACAACCTCGACAAGGCACTTGTTGCTAGTGGATATATCAGCAGCTTCGATGACAAACCCGTTGAGAGCCTTAATCTAGACAAACTATATCTGCAACTGGAAACCTTTGACTTTGATCTGTATAGCGAAGTTTTGTCTAAACTAAAGAATCTTGGCATTCTTCCCTTATCTATTTCCTTTGATGACTACATTGCAGCCGACCCAATCTGGCTCAACACCAATCCATGTCTAACCAAAAAAGGACTAACTCTCTATAACACTACTTTGGCTGCCTTAGAAGCCGACTTCGCCAACTGGCAAGCTCAAAGTGCTACTAATCCCCGAACCAGCCCCATCCAACCGTTACCGGACTCTCCCAATCAAAGACAACCAACCGAAAATCTGTTCTTGTGCTTTTGCAATAACCAGCCACTGACTGAAGCGGGTTTGGCCACTGTTTTTCGATGGGTCGGCTGTCACTTTAAGACTATAAGGAGCGTGCAACTAGTAAATGTTGATCTCTCAGCGAGCGAGCGACAGAAGCTAGCCTCGCGTGATTATTTTGTCATGGATCTAGAGCTTCTAACGAGTATTCAAATTCACGATGCTAATCCGAACAATCCACCTATCAAACTGCCTATTCGGCTGTATCGTCATAACTTCTTGGCCAATATATCTAGCACAACTTTGCAATTCATATCAGTGCCAACCTCAATGCTAACCCGGCTTGCCGCACAACCCGAACAGCTTAAGCATCTTATTCCCAGCCATTTCGGCCACAAACCCTCCCTAGAAATGGTTCTAGATCACCTGCAAAACACCATTCCATGGTCTACTTGTTCACAATGCTTACGAACTCTCTATATCCCAACTGCAGCAGTAGAAGAAATAGATTCGGATTCTGAGGACGAGATTAATGATCTACTTCCTTTGAACTTCGCCGTACTCTCTTTTTTCACCTGTGGGCATTCAGTTTGTGAGATTTGCCTAACTAAGAATTATCGCCAGGAATACACAATGTGCTTAAAATGCGGGCAGAGCAATATATGTACTGGCACTCACCGGCTGTTAAGTCTTCCCCTATCTAATTTTGTCTTGGTTAAAGACAGCATCAATAGCCACCCAAAAGATCTTGAATGGCTTAAGCCGCTGGCTTTAAATGATAAACAAGTATACTTCCACATATCCCATCAATACATTCCTGATCTGCTCGGCTCGGTCATCAAAGACATAGCTTGTGCTGATTCTCATTTCATTCATGTTATCTAACTCGGGCCAACACAATAAATTGAATTAAGATAATACTCTTGTGTTAGTATTGAGTTGGGTTGAGTTGAGTTGAGTTGAGTTGGGTTGGTAGTAAGTTGGGTTGAGTTGAGTTGAGTTGGGTTGGTAGTAAGTTGGGTTGAGTTGAGTTGAGTTGGGTTGGTAGTAAGTTGGGATTGGGTTAGTATCAAAAAACACCACAGTGCAATATCAACATAATACCATCTCAATGTAATAAATATTGTTTATTCAATCTGGTATCTTTAGTAATACACAGAAGATACACATGCTTTAGTGGAGTGGTTGTGATGGTTTTCTAAATTAAGAGCCGATTGGGTGGTTGGTTGGGGCTCCGGCAATGCCTGTTGCTAACAAGTTGGAACTATTGGCTGTCCAGACCGCAAGACCAATTGTAAGTCCTACTATCACGAATACACATACTAGTCTGAACATCTTGATTCGTCGGCTTAGATGTAGTTTAGGATTCTTGTCAAACCAGCACCCGAAACCGTACATAAGAGCACCAATACTAAACAGAATGGCCGATACGATTAGAATGTGTGAGTTCAGAAGCAGACGCGCTTGCTCTGTAAAGCCAAGAACAACCAAAAGTGGCACAACAGCAGCCAGTAAAACCGATAGAGTATAAAGTGGCCAGGAAGAATGGCGCGATATGTTTGATGCGCGTTTGTTAAGCACGGCCCGACAGATAATGCACCCAATAGCTGTGATTATTGTCACTGCTTGGTACGTTAGAGTTATAATGGCATCGCTCCATGCTATCTTTTCGGCCATACACTGGGCAGCCACGTTGACTCCAAAAATTATCAGTAGACCGGCTAATGCCGATGTTAGTATTAGTCCATAGAGACAGTATTGCCAGGTTTGAGTTGATAGTGGCTTAAGAATAGAAGGCTTGATGAAGAAGATAAGTATAAGCGAGGTTACTAATCCGCACACTACTATGCTGATGGGGACTAGATTTACTAGTAAGGCGGGTGTTGCAAAGCAGTGGGCAAATATAACAGCTAGAGACTGACATTCTACGAGACTCAACACAAACATGCCAAGGAATCCCGATCGGATGGAATTGTGAGCTTCCTTTCTCTCCATTGCCTTTCGTTCCTGGTCCTTAAACTCGCGATAGTCCTTGATTGTCTCTATAGTTGTATTGGGATGGCGCCGAAACGTTATGCAGCCATTAGGAAATAATTGGTTCCCCCCCATTAACTCCATTAGGATCTCATTGTTTGCCTCACTGCACATTAGAATGTATGGCCCACTAGGGGCGTGTCTTAAGCGAGCGGCCGTTTCAAAAACACAATTTCCATCTGCGACAATATTCGAGATGGTATAGCTCTCCTCCTTAGCAGAGGCGTGCTTAACTATAACGAATGTCTTTTTGTCGGCCTCATATATACAACTGAGGCCGTGTTGGTAGAGCAATGTGTTAATGGGGTGAATGTAATCAATCAATGGACATTTGCGCACAACTGTAAGATCTTCGATGCTGTGAACAATGGTGGGTTTGCGTATCCGTTCAAGTACTTTGTCATCAGTTAGAAAGAGCTTTGTTAATATCCCTCGCGTTTCTAGTTCTAACCCGGCCATTTCCAACTCATCAAGGTTTTCCGAAGTAGCTGCCATGTAGAGAGCCTGCGCGAGATTTTCAATAAAGACCTTATGTTCCGGATGAATGCTTACTTGTCCAGTCTCGGGGTGCTTACTTAATATATTGTATAGCCTCATAATGTCTGGTACAACATCAACAGTAACTAATCTAATCGCTCTTTGTTGACTAAGACCATCAGTTTGGAATAAAATCTGAATCCGCCTAGCCACCTCCTTAACTCGATCTAGATCTTCTGGCTGAAATCCTAAGTCGTTATAAAAACCAGACGTTAAATACTGGCCTGCCGACGCCGCATATGCACTGGACTGGCTAACTCCACCCCTCTTATAGCCTTCTAAAGCCCGCTCGGCCCACAAAAAGTGAAGCTCTGCCAAGTCTTCCAATGTCGGCGGTTTTCGTACTATTTGCGCGTATTCATCTGTTGCAGTTTGCGTGGGTCTATTTGTTGCAATTTGCGTGGGTCTATTTGTTGCATCTCCTATTTCCGTGTAGTCCCCGCTTTCATCTCCTATTTTCGCGTAGTCATCGCTTGCATCTTCTATTTTCGCATATCCACTTGTTGCTGCTCCTATTTCCGCGTAGCCACTGCTTGCAACTACTTCTTGCTGGTTTAAGACAAACAAACATAAGCTAATCAGTAAGCTAATCAATTGGATGTTGTTTCTTCTCTTTTGTTCTTGCATTGTTGATTTGAACTAATGATTTGACTTTATATTTAATTTCCTAAATAGGAAATTTCCTAATTGGGAAATTATTTTAACTATATTCAGCTTCAATACATATGTGAATAATAAAGTCTCCAAACTTTCTGTATCTTATCTATACCATAGTATGAGTTAGTATTGTGTTGAGTTGTGTTGTGTTGAATTAAGTTGTGCTACGCCCAAATTTTATTGATGTGCTCTATCTAACATCAGTGAAGATTTCTTGACTATATGGCAATTTATAATGCCACTGCCGGTCTGTGGAATAAATTATACATCGTTCAGCTCTTGTAGTTCAGTCTTTTTGCCCTCAAATCCTCTTCACACTTAAATTGGTCTTCAAAGGTGATTGCTAGTTGTGAATTTTGAATTTTGAATGTCTGGCTAACAGTAAAAGACTCTGGCTTCGAAGATAAGACTAAATGGAGTTTGATTGGAAGAAATTATGCTGGTAGTAGAGTTTGAGCTGGTTGGCCGGTAAGTTTTGCGATCAATGAATCGAGTAAATTATAATCTTTGATATCAGCAATGTTATTGGCTAGTAAGTTGTAATTATTGGATACCCAAACTGCCAAGCCGATGGTAATAATCATTACAAATCCTGCTACTGCTAACTTAAGCATGCGAGCTTGTACTGCTCTATCAAATGGTTCCGCTGTGTGCTTTTCTCTATCTTCATCAAGCCAAGGACCAAAAACATTAATAAGAGCGCCAACACTAAAGAGAGTACTGGATACGGTCAGAATGTGCGTTTGAAGGAGCATGCGAGCCGTAAGTGCCAAGCCACAAAAAGAGAGAGATGGTATAGCGATTGCTAATAAAAACGATAGAGCATAGAGTAACCAGTAAGAATAATGGTTCAATTTTGGCCATCTTTGGTTGGGCAGCATTTGCATGGCAATGCTGATAATAATAGAAACTGGTGCTAGTATTTGGTAGCCCAATACTATAACATTGAATAAAGATAGCTCACCTGTGCTGGTATTAATAAAATACATAAGAACGGCTGATAATCCAATGATCGCGGCGCTGACCAGTAAAGCAAAAGCATACCTTTGCCAAGTTGTGAGTTTGGTTGGATCGGTAGCTGAAGGCTTAATATAGCGGAAAAAGACTAGAGAACAGACTGTCCCAAGCACTACTATACTACTAGGCAGTACATACATTAGCAAGATCTGCGGAGCGATCAGAGCTAACCACATTTTATATATAGATTGGCCATATATTACAAGCACCATACCAATGGCCGTACCTAGCGATAAATCCGCCTTAAGCATCTTCTCTGCCCTTTCTTTTTGTCTCTTGGTCGCTTGGTAACCTTTAAAAGTCTCTATGTCTTTGTTCTCATGCCGTTTAAACGCTATACGACCATTAGGACAGAATGGGCTTGACTCCAATACTTGCATTAGAGTCTCTAGGTTCTTATCAGTCGCCATTATAGTGTATACATCACTAGGGGCATATCTCAATCGGACCGCAGTAGTGAAAACATATCGGCCAATTCGATTGATCAACCCAGTGGTCGGCTTAAGTTCGTTCTCTGGCGTGTGTCTAAGTATAACGAATGTCTTTGTTTCATCTTCATAAATGCAATTAAGACCATGGAAAAAGAGGGTTGTATTCAGCGGATGAATATGGTTGCGCAAGGGACAGTCACGCACTGCAGCCAAATCTTCATTGTTCTGAATAAGAGTTGGTTTGCGTATAAGCTTAAGCGAATCTTCTTCATTTGGAGCCGGACCAATCAACTCAGCATATGTTTCTGATTTTAAGCTTATCTTTTCCAAATCACAAAGATAATCCGGATCAATCGCAGTATAAACGCACTGGGCCAGATTCTCAACAAAGTTCTTCTGTCTCGGATCAACATCTATCTGATCAACGGAAGGGTGCTCAGTTAAAGCAACATATAGTCTAAGAATATCCGGCACATCCTTAATATCAAACGTTTGAGCTAAATTACCAGAGTTAGTACTATCTGTTTTACATAAAATCTTAATCAGAGTAGCCACTTGCTTAACACGATCTAAATCTTGCTGTTTAAACCCTAACTCAGTATAAAACTCAGACTTTAAATATTGAGTTGATGTTGGGTTGTGTACGTTAGGTTGTTCACCAAAACTACGCTTATGTTCTTCTAAAGCCCGCTCCGCCCACAAAAAGTACAACTCCGCCAACTCATTCAATGTCGGTGGCTCTCCAACCAACCGTTTATCGTTAGCTGTTACCAACCCTTCTGGCCAGTTTAGGGCCACCAAGCACAAACCAAGCAACAAACCAACTATCCTGCCTCTTTTTATCTGAGCATACATTTCTACCTCTCCCACCCCAATCACAACTATAAACACCATAACCCAATAAGGAAAGTCAAAATCTCCACTAATTGGTTTAACCCATCCCATCCCATCCCAACCAACTATTAACTTAACTTAACTTAGTACATATCATAAAACCATATCACAACTTAACATAACATAACTTAATTTAATACATAACATAAACCCATATCTTAATCTATCTTATCATATCTTAACTTAACCCAATCTAATACATATCTTATCTTAACCTATCTTAACTTATCATATCTTAACCTAACATAGAACTATATCACAACTTAACTTAATCTAATACATATCTTATCATATCACAATTTAATACATATCACAACTTATCTTAACTCAACTCAATACTAACTTAACTCAACTCAATATTAACATAACATAACTCAACTCAACTCAATATTAACTCAACTCAATACTATATACTATATGCTAATTTAAATTAAAACTAATCCTAAGCAAGCAACAACTGGAAATGGTTAGTCCTGGATTTCATTTTTATTTTATAATGGGGTAAGATCTAACTAACCCGTCTAAAACAACAGCAGTGGCTGAGGCAGATTAGGAGATTTCATTCTCCCAGGAGAGATTGTCTTCTAGTTTATCTAAGGCTTCCGGAAGAATCCGTGGAGTTTCTCTTACGTTTTGCGGCTCACTCTTCTCCTCGCGCCGTTTAAAGGACCCATTAGACACCCGGGGTCGCGAACGGGCCGCCACTAAGTCAGCTAAGAACCCTGGCACCGGCTGATTAGCCTTCTTCAAAATATCCACTAAAGCACCAGCTTGGGCCTGATCATCACGAGAAATAAAAGTCACTGATCTTCCCTTCTTCCCTGCTCGACCCGTTCGACCAATACGATGGACATAATCCTTAATGTCATTAGGCAACATATAATTAACAACTAACTCTATCCCGGGAATATCTAAACCCCGGGCTACAATAGAAGTGGCCACTAAAATAGGTATTTCCCCACTCTTAAACTTCTGTAAAGCTGCTTCTCTTTCCTGTTGCTGCTTATCGCCATGAATACTAATACAAGGAATACCTTTCCGATGCAGAAACTCAGTTAAGTCCCGGCATTGCATCTTCTTCTCTACAAAGATAACTACCTTGGGTAAATCAAGTCGAGTACTTGTTACTGCAGCTGGTTTAGTCACTACTACTGGACTAGGTCGTTTCCAAGTTAGTCGAGCTGGTTTTTCTCTTTCTATCTCCACGGGAACAACTCGTGGACCTACTTGGTGGCCTAAACCAGCTAAGAGTTCTAATAAACGATCATTACGGAAAGTACATTTCAAATCAGGACCTTCAGTATAGATTAGTTCTTGCGTTATATTCTCTAAAGGACCATGGCCTATATGTACTTCTGAATGGGCTCTTTGGAAGAAGTCTTGGGCTATTTGCTGCACACTCTCAGGGAAGGTAGCTGAAAACATCATAGTCTGACGAGACATATGGCCAAGACCAGTCAATAACATTCTAATTTGCTTTTCAAAACCCATATCTAACATCCTATCTGCCTCATCAAAAACAAGAATCTCAACGGCACTTAAATCTATAACATGATCATTAAGAAAGTCCTGTAAACGACCAGGAGTACCTATTAGTACATCTGCTCCTCTTCTTAAAGCAGAAACTTGATCCCTTCTATTCTCTGGACCACCATAAGCCATAGCTGAAACAATATCTAGACCTTCAGAGAGCATTTGACAGTCTTTGAAGATTTGCATAGCTAGTTCACGAGTAGGAGTTAGAATAAGTGCACGAATAGCCCGACGAGTCGGTCCATGTCCTCTTCTAGATCGACCGGCAGATAAGGAATTAACGGTTGGAACTAGAAAGGCTAGAGTTTTACCCATACCGGTTGGAGCACAAGTAAGTAAGTCTTCTTGAGATAAGGCTAGAGGAATAACGTACTTCTGGACTAAAGTAGGTAAGTGGATTCCTTTATCATCCATATTCTTAAGTATCTTTCTATCTATCAATAATCCTTTGAATTGAGTGATTGGATGGTAGGGATGGCATTTAGTTTTGACTTTTACGTCTGATTCTTTAATCTCAAGATTATCTTCATCTGTTCTATTTTGCTTATTAGTTAGAGAAAGTGTATGGTGCTTATTCATATGTGGATAATACAAAAAATTTAGTTATATTGCCTTACACATTAGATAAGATTTAGATTAGTTTGTGTTAGATTGTGTTGTGTTTGGTTGGGTTGAGTTAAGTTACTACTAACCCAATACCAACTTAATACTAACTTAATACCAACTTAACTTATCATAACCCAACCCAACCAAACTCAATCTAAACTTAACTCAATGAAGATAGTTGGTTATACGGAATAAGATCTTATTTGTGCTTGATGACGTCATCAGGAGTATAAAGTATAAATAATGGTGAAATCAATAAATCATTGTAGTTTTATGGTCTGGTCAAGATAAGTAATAGGATGATGGGATTGGGTTAGGGGTGCGATATTCAGAAGGCGATATTGGAGTTAGTTTATTGAAGTTTGTTTATAGGAAATCAAAAGAAGTAATATATTGAGTTGAGTTGGTATTGAGGTGGGAGTGAGGTGGGAGTGAGTTGAAAAGTGCTTGTTTCCCATTTTGACATGGTATTATGAATTGAGATAAGCCAATAGTAATTGGGTTGGGATTATGAATTGAGATAAGTAAATAAGTTATACGTAATAAGTAAATAAGTTATACGTAATAAGTAACAAGTTATACGTTATAGGAAGTATTGGGTTAGTCTAGGATGATGGTTAGTTGGGTGAGGAAACCATCAGAGGAGGAGAGGAGAAGGGATGATTGGGTGGGGGATTGGGAGAGGATGGTTAGATCGGTAATTGGAAGGAAGGCGCAATCAAGTACTCGGAGAAGAAGTGTATGGGGGCGTGGTCGAGTGAAGACATAGACGGATCGGCCGGCTGTAACAAATAGAAGAGCAGTAGTGGCTAGAACATTGCCGGGTGATGAGGAGAAAGGACCAAGTGCGGCCGAGAGAGTATAGTTGGGTGGTTGGAAGAGAAGAAGAGCGGGTGATCCTAAGTAGGTAGCTGCTGGGGCATAGAGGGTTTCTTGGTCATCAAAAGTTAGTCGGCGGAAGAAGTGTGTATGGGTGGTAGTTAGTAGGGACTTTTTGTTGAATTTTTTGATTAGCTTGCCATTATCAGTAAAGATTTTGATTTTACGATCATTACCAAAAGAAGCAATAGCTTTATCAGTGACGGCAATGCCTTGAATAATATCACTATGAGCTTTACGATTAAGGATACGGCGACAAGTCAGTCCTGAGTCTGGATGGGGAGAGATAAGACGAACTGATTTAGTAGTCGACTGGGGTTTGGGTTTAGAGGGGTTAGGTGTAGTTGAGTTAGTAGAGATAGGGTTAGTAGTGATTGAGTTAGTAGTGATGTGGTTGGGTGGAATTGGGTTAGTAGAGATTGAGTTAGTAGAGATTGAGCTGGGTGTAGTAGTAGAAGTAGTAGAAGTAGGAGTGGCATCAACTTGGACATCCGGCTGGGTTGTGTTAGTGGTTGTGTTATTAGTGGGAGTAGTGGTGTTATTAGCAGTAGTGGGAGTAGTAGTAGTGTTAGTAGTAGTGTTAGTATTAGTAGTAGTGCCATTAGCAGTGTTATTAACATTAGTAGTAGTAGTGTTAGTGGGAGTAGTGGTGGATTTAGTGCTGGTGGAACGTGGGGTTGGGAGATAGGACTCTAAACGGCCTTTGGAAGTACCGCAGATAATACTTCCCTTGTGCCATTGCAGGTCGTATATGTCTGAGCCATCAGGGGGTCGAATTGTACAAGGATCGCCTGGAAAGAGAAGGTCTTCGCCTTCTAAAGTGGAGTTAAGAACTTGATCAAGAGGCCAGAGAAAAACTGAACCAGTATCACCACCAGAGGCTAAGTACTGGCCATCAGGACTAAATCGGACACAATTCACACTGCCACGATGTTTGCCTAGTGTAGCTAAGTGCTTTAAATGAGCTCCAACTGAAGTAGCTGTACGATAAACAAATGATTGGGGTGTTTGTGGTGGCTGAGAGGGTTGATAGATATACTCCCATAAGCGAACAGCACTGTCACCACCGGCAGTGGCCACTAGGAAGCCGTTCCCTCGTTTTATAACATCAACTGAGAAAACAGCTGATTCTTCGTGCAATTGGAAGTTTAACTTAAGTACTTCACAATACACAGCCATAAAAGAAAAAATGGCATTGGGTTAGTATTATTGGGTTTAGTATTGGGTTAGATTAGATTGAGTTGGGTTTAGTTGGTATTGGGTTGAGTTGAGTTAGTATTAGGTTGAGTTTAGTTAGTATTTGGTTGAGTTGAGTTGGTATTAGGTTGAGTTGGTATTTGGTTGGATTTTGTTGAATAATGCGATAGTTTTTGATTTGATTTGATTGTGGTGGTAGTTTGTGAATTTTAATAGGGTTAAAGTTGCGCCTGAACTATTTATTGGATAGCGTCCCAAAGAAGCATGGGGTGGCCAGATTGGAGAGCCTTAATGCACGCATGCTTGGATGAGTCGTTTAACAAATGGGCGCAGTTGGGACAGTGGGTAAGAATATCAGACAGGGTAATGGGCATGGAGCCTGGGATGCGGTGGAGACTGATTGTGCTTCCGAGTTGTTCGGATAGGGATCCTAATTGGTTGATGTATTTGCTGGTGCATTTGTAGCAGATGGAAATAGCATAATCAATAGGGTCGGCTGTTTTGTAGGCAGTTAGTTCGCGAGTTGGATTTTCGGATGGTTCATAGACGGGACCAAGGATAATAAATCCATGTAGTTTGGGTGTTTCGTTGCTGTTTGCGGGTCTTTTCTTAAGATATTCTTGGAGGTATTGGTAGTCCTTAACAATGTGGTATTCATGGCCGGTGGGCTGGCGGATAAAGGCATAGGGCTCGCTTGGGTTGGGTGATTCAACGACAATAAGGTCCTGGTAGTCTTGGCTAGAATCAGTTGGGCCTTTGCTCGGAGTGCTGGGGTCTGGTTCAGGGGTTGTAGGCATAACGGTGGTGTTTTCGAATGGGTTAGTACTGGTTTTAGTTTGCTCGTTTTCTTCATTGGGTTCGTCGGATTTGCTGGATTCATTGGGTTCATCGGATTTACTGGATTCATTAGGCTCGTCGGATTTGCTGGATTCATTGGGTTCGTCGGATTTGCTGGATTCATTGGGTTCGTCGGATTTACTGGATTCATTGGGTTCGTCGGATTTGCTGGATTCATTGGGGTCGTCGGATTTACTGGATTCATTGGGTTCATCGGATTTACTGGATTCATTGGGTTCGTCGGATTTGCTGGATTCATTGGGTTCAATACGTTCAATAGACTCACCGGATTCAGAGGACTCATTAGATCCATTGAGTTCGGGAGAGAGGTATTCGGGTGTGCTTGTGCGGGAGGTGCTGGGGTTAGTATTGGTGCCGGAGTGGCCGTAGGAGTCGGAGTGCTGAGATTCGGATTCAGACTGGGTGTAGGAATGAGAGTCAGAGTCGGGTTCAACAATGTTTTCTTCGGATGAGTTAATATTAGAACCGGGACTGGATTGAGTGTCTTTGTTGGGTTTGTAAGACTGAGATATAGCAGCCGCCTCTCTTAAAGCCTCAAGAGCGGCAGGAGATATATGTTGAGCCCCTGAGATGCTCCGGAGGTTTTGCTTGACCTCCTGAAGTTCTTTGGGAGTGGCACCCGCCGTTTGATTGAGAGGAATCTTATTCTGCTTCATTCGGTCAATAGTCGCGAAAGGCATATGAATATCTTTTAGTTGGGTTACTACTTCAGGGTCTAATTCTGGCTGGTGAAAGGGCTCGTTATCCTTTTTTGATCGAGACTTGGCTTTGTTTCGTTCTTTTAGCTTGGGCTTAATCTTTGATTGGGTCTCCTTTTGGGCTTTTGATGCTGGAGGACGGTGAATGGGCTGAATTCGCGGAATTTTGGAGGTTTTGGTGGCATTTTCCCAAGGGTATTGGATTACTTGGACTGAGTCCATCGGATCATCAGCGGTAGGATTGAATTCGGCGGGAGGCCTGTTATGAGTTGACCGGGACTTTTCGCGTCGGGGAATGAGTGAAGGCGTGCTTATAGAGGGGAGTGCCGCATTAATTAAAGATTGAGTTGAAGGACCCACTAAGGAGTCGTATGCTGAATCATGTTGCGGCAAAGAGTCTAGAGGAGGCGGTGGAGTTAAAGAGCCAGTCGAAGACTCAGTTTCAGAGAGCTCTAGGGGGGGAAGTGGAGTTATTTGTGGGTAGCGCTCAGGACTATTGGCTCGGATTGATTCGTTTCCAGAAGCTGAAGGGGGGTTTATAACCTTAGGAATATCCAAAGGATGTAGATCGGGTTTGGGAGTATTATCTGTTTTTTGAGAAGAAGCAGTGTTCAAGTCAGGATAGTCTTTAGCAATATACCAAATAGCTATCTTTACGCCGTGGTAGTCAATAAACGCCTCAGGATCGCGTGAGTAATCATCTTGTCGTTTCTTTTCCAAGTCATCAATACTTTGCTGGGTTTCCAACATAATAAGTGACCAAGCCCCAGCCATCTGCTTAACGGTTATAGCTGGCAAAGGCGGGCTGATCGTATCTGCCTTGCCCACGAAAGGTATAATGGTATTGCCCGGTGCGTTCTTTAAGGAGACAATAGTTTTGGGAGGCGGAGTAGATTCGGTCGATTCATCAACCATTCCAGTATTTGGCTCTTCAACACCACCATCAACACCATCATCAACACTTTCTTCAACACCATTATCAACCTTATCTTCACCCGAACGAGCAAGAATATCTTCAGAATACTCAGCAAGACCATTTCCTATCGGACTTTCACTAGAATCTTCTTTAGCTTCTGACTTGGCCAGAGACTTTGATTTGGACAAAGACTCCTTGTTACTTTCTGGACTACTTGAAGCCACACAGACTCGGAATAACAGCGTAGACCAAAGCACAACCACTATCTGTCGCATATTCATAAAGAATTTGCACCTCAGTCCTTTATGATACATGATTACATTTATCAGATTTATAAATTTTGATTAGAATAAGGTTGATAGACAATTGTTTATTGCTAAGTTGCATTTATTGCTTGAACCTACTACTTTACGACCGTTTAGTACTAATAGGACCTGCACTAGCACGCGTCCGATCAAACAGTTCAATAAAAGGAGTTCCAACTAGAAGTTGCCGACACAGATTTTCATCTCCCGCTCGATAGGCTCCAGCCAGGGCTTCCAATGTCCGTCCGGCTTTAGCTGCTTCTTGCGCAGTCTTACTTAGCATTTCCTCATCATTACACAGTGCTGCCAATAGAAGTGTATCGCTCGTTAGAACACCAGACTCAGCAGCTACTTTAGCCGCTCGCTTTAACTTGCCTTGAGCTACATACAGATCGGCCAATCGAGCTCGTTCTGCCCCTGATGTAGCTGCTGCTTCTGCCTCCTCTAATCGGCCCATTTGCACCAGGAGTTCATAACGTTGAGTTGAATCATTAGAAAGTGCCAGTGCTGCCTCTAAGCGGCCTTGGCCAACTAAAAACCGAACAGCCGCCGCTTCATAACCAGTCGGTAAGTCACTAATACACGCGCCATCTAGAGCCGCCGCTTCAAACTCCAAAAGATCCCAAGGCACTTTGATTCCTTCAATTTTACCTCCATTAATCACCCAAAGTCGATCAGTTACACCCATAAGAACACCACGAGTTGGCGCACCAGTTAGTTCAGTTGGACGTAAGACCTTAGGCAGTATATCCTCTGGTATAGCGAAATAAACTATCTCCATGCCCGTTGATATAAACAATGCTCCTTTCTCAGCACACCAGGAATTAACCTTAATGGGACACTGCACTCGTTCATTTAACATTCTCATCTCAATCCGTCGAGGCCAAATCAGCACTTGCACATCGCCATGTAAATGAGCACCAATGGCATCATCAGTCTGATCCACTAGACATCCTTCATCACCCATAATATAAGACCGACCCGATTCAGTGCTTATCAGCCAGTCCCCATAAGACATACTCTGTATCGCCCTAATCGGTTCATCTAAACCCGTATCTACAGCCCCGACTAAGACAAACTCAGTATACTGCTCAACCCGACCAGCATGTACGACTATGAAGTCTTCCGGACCCGTCCATATTGGATGTGTACCTGGCACTGATATCTGGAGTAAGAAGCCAAGTAAAGTATGAATATGCACGGTTTCTTCACTTTCAACGGCTAAATATCGCCCACTAGTGGAGATAGCCACTCGTTCCGGAATATAAGATAGAGTAGTTAAGACTTTAGCCGGGCCAGCACTAATTGATACGGCATCATTAGCTGTAATATCAGGCATACTCCCAGAACCGCCCACTCGAACTTGTTTAAGCGTTGAGTCCTCAACAATCACCATTCTAGCAGCACTCGGGCCGGTCCGTAAATAGTTCGAATTACCAATCCCCATAAACGAGAACAAAGGAGCCGGAGCCGGTCGACGCACAAAGGCCAAACCTTCATCTCCACCAGCTAGTAAACTCCCAGGCGCCCCACAAGCTACTGTCCAAAGCCGGCGTAATCGAGCCGCAGTAGGTGCTTGCGGTCTAAACCGAGTTCCCGGCCACTCCCGAACAGCTCCATCTTCACCAGCCGTAACAAACTGACCAATACTCTTAGCAATACCCGTAATTGGCCCATTATGAGCAGCTACACTAGTAATCAAAGCATGAGTAGTTGTATCCCAAATATGCAAGCGGCCATCATCACCACCAGCAACCGCAAATCGATCGGCTACAAAGGCACAAGCATTCAAAGCAGATTTTGGATCTTCCAGAATAGTTGATACACCCGTTTCAATATTCCATAAGCGAGCATTATGATCTAAACCAACTGATAGTAATAATCGTGAATCTCTTAATGAAAAATCAATCGACATAACAAAGTGTGTATGTCCAGTTAGAGTTCTAATAGGAGTTAGACCTTTTGAATAGTCCCAAAGCTTAATCGTATTATCATCAGAAGAGGAAGCTACATAGGGTAGAGTTGGATGAACTGCAAGTCCACGAATAAAATCACGATGGGCTGTTATTGTATGTTTAAGTTCAAAAGCATCTAAACTGTACAAACGAAGCATTCCATCATCAGAACCTAGTAGAAAGGCATCGGCTTCTTCTAAAAAGGCACAGGCACGTAGAGGTATCTCACCAATCGAGCCAGATTTAACTAAAGACATACTAACTGTATTCCACAACTCAAAATCTCCATTATAAATCGCAATCAAGGCCAAAGGCTCCTTCTTATGAACGGCAATGTGTTTAACACGTGCTTTCTCAAATCTTCCGGCTATGACGTCGTCCATGAAATTAAAATAATACTAGTGGTATATATAGATTGTTTGAGTGAGTTTAGATTGATTTAGGTGTGCGTATGAGTTGGTATAGTATGGGGTTGGTGTGGTATTGTATGGAGTTGGTGTTGGTATGTTGTTGGGTTGAGTTAGGTTGAGTTAGGTTAGTATTGGGTTAGGCTGTGCTAAATACTTAGAGCATAACTAAACTCAATTACGTCATAATTATCTATGCAACTATAATAATACAACAACAACAATTTAATACTAACACAAGACTATAACAATACTATACTATAACAACCCTATACCATAACAACACAATACTATAACAACCCTATACGAACACAATGAGACTTAATTGGGTGGGGGAGATAAGTTAAAAAGAAGACCAAGATGTATTGTGGTGGTGGCAAGATATTATAGTGTATGCGTGAGGCAATAAAGACCATGAGCTGTTGCACCAAGTCGGCTGAATTAGTACGGGGTAGGGTGGGTTGGCTATGGTATTGGGTTCGTATGGTATTGCTATAGTATTGGGTGGGGTGGCATGGCTATGGTTCTTTGCATATAATAGACATAGCCGGCTGTAAGAAAGAGAGAGTAGAAAGAAAGAGTGAGGTTAAACCTAAATAAGTACTTTATTAAGTATTATGTTGGATGATTAGTGAATTAAAGGATGGATTAAGGAATGAAGGAGGGTCTCTCAATGAAAGAGATATTTCTGACTGCTGCAAACAAAGAGTGCGTCATTTCAATGGATTCCTGAAGGAACTCCATGCTAGCAGGAATGTCTTGAGCGAACAGATTAATGGAAACAAGATTGATTAAGCTATTGTATGATAGGCGATTGGCTTTCTCTTGGGCTGCAGCTTTCTCAATGGTGTAGACCACATGCTTAAGTAGCCAAAGAGTATTCGGGTCAAGAGCACTAAGTATAATCTGGCCTAGTGAATAGTCAATGGTTGTAGTATTGGCATTGCACGTGTTCCAACGAAGCGACATGTATAAGTCATGAGAAATTACTCCCCCATTAAACTCGCGAATATACCGGTTAAACACAGCGGCGAGCCCAACCATCTCGTCGGGGTTCTTCCGGAGCTTAGCTAAGTCAATGGGCTTTGCTTCCTCAATGTAGTCAATATAAAGTTGCTTCACATCAATATTCATAGGAGGCTTGATGCGGAACACACCACCAGTACTAGCATCTAAGACTTCTGAAAGAGCACGAGCTACATTTAAGAACCCAGGAGCAACACCTACTGTTGGATACTTGATTAGAACCACCTTCTTCTTCAGCTCTGCCGCGTACTCTTCCTCCCAAGCCATCATCTCAGTCTGGATATTAACAGCTTTGGCCTTGCAGTTAAACAACTTCCGAGTAAACTTGCTAATCTTGGAAAAGACTTGCTGCACCACTGTTTTAGGAGGCTTTGCCTGAGCTAGCTCCAACTCCTTTCTCTTCTTGGCTCGGGCCACCATCATGTGGCCAATGATTGCACGCGTTTTCAGATAGTCAATGACAGCACGGGCTTTTTCTGTAGCAGTTTCCTCAAGATTCCGAACCCTGTTCCCGGGAATGGCATAGAATATACGTTCATGTGCCTCCGTAAACAGATTGGATCGATTAACTCGCTCAGGACTAGCGCCAATTGCTGCACTAAACTTAGGATCAAATAGACCTTTTATCCAGGGACCACTGCTACCACCACCTTGGCATATGTATTGCGCCTCCTTAGGAAGGCCTTGAGCATACGCACAGGCAAACTTAAGACCGCCAAAGAAGTTTCTTGTTACTTCTAAATGAGTCTCAGGTCGATCAGTTGGCATTGGGTTGATAATCAGATGGTTGTCAATCAAATTAACTTGATTGTACAAACAACGCGCATCAGAGCAAATAAGTTCCTTGGCAATAGATCCCACCCCACCTGCTGGCATAGTGCATTTTGGCTTCGCGCTTATTTGTGCAGGTGATAAACTATTTGTCTGATTCGTGGATGGATTAGCCTGGTTGGAAAGAGGGGCAATTGATTCATTAGAGTTAGCTAGAATAGTTGAGGGCTGGCTAGTCTCAGGCCTTGGATGCGTAACAATTGTACTCTGCACGGGCTTTGCAGCCTTTGCATTCATATCCACCTTAAACTCTTCCTTCTTCACCTTCTCACTCTTCACCTCCCCTTTCTTCACCTTCTCACCCTTCACCTCCTCATCCTTCTTGGCTTGCTCACCATCCACACTCGCACCATCCACACCCTCACCATCTTCACTCTCAGCACCCTCATCAAGAACAACTTCTTGCCCATCCGTCTCAGCTAGAACTGTCTCCCAAAGACCAACACACTTCTCAATCACATTGGTTAGCCCGGTATCCGTGCAGTCCACACCTCTTGCAGATTGGTAAAGCTCTATGCGGGAAGTAAGGTCCTGCCCAGGTATACCACCCCCAAAACCTGTATTGCCTAGAGACTTAGGAACAGAGTTAGCCAAGTATGAAGCTGCCTTTGCCTTTTCAATCAACTCCCTCACCATCATCTGGTTCAGTAGCGTCTCTTTCGTGCTAGGGCCTTGCTCGCGCATATTTAGCTGTCTACGTTCCAGGATCTCGTTCTGCCGACCTACCAACACAGTCTTTAGGTGACTGAACACTGCCATTCGCTGTGAGCCAACTATGGCCACAGCATGAGCAGACAGCACATCCAGCATAGCTATAAACCTATACTTGCCAATCAGCACCAACAACTCATGCATCGTAGGCCGCCACACCGCCTTAGCACCATCCCTTCTCCTAGCCACTTGGTCAGCAGCCACAATCTCCATCCAGTCATTCCGCAGCAACTTAAGATCACCTACCATCCAGTCTCCATTCAAAAGCGTAGAAGCCCACTCCCGACAGGCCAAGTCCAACGCAAAGATGAACTCAACCTCGCCTAGATTCCGAGGCCGCTGAGCCCCAGGCCGAAGCACCCGCAAGTAGAGTTCTCGAGCTACAGACCAAGCCGTAGGATCGTCCATCTTCTCCGTTACACACTTAGACATTGCCACTGCATTAAAGTAGTTAAACTGGTCATGAAGCGCTTTATGGGTAAGATCTCCAGTCGAGCTAATGAAGCCAAAAGTAGGGGGAAAAGGTTTCTCACCTAAAGACGCACGATCGGCCTTCCTAAAGAACTCCAAAGCTGAGATTTCAACATCAGCTTTGTTCAGTCCAAACAAGTCCTTCATGTGTTTTTCGAAATTTTCGGCCTTCATATCCGATACATTGTCCTGCGCCTTAATTTGGATCATTTCGTAGATATTAAAGTAGTCAAAGTAAAGGTGGATTCGCTCATTTCTAGTGAAGGTGACGTAATAACCAAGGATTTCCCGGCAGATAACCAGGCAGAAGTAAACATTCAGATTACGCTCAATTTCACTATTATGGGGAAAAGGCGCCAGACCAACTCGTAAAGCTGGTTCGACTGCCTCGGATAGGCTGAAGGAGGAAGGCTTGTCTAACATAAGACGATGGGCAGAAACTAACATTCGCGGGTTAGCAATGGAAAGGAGCTTGAACATACGGATAAAGTTATCCACATGGGAAAGAGGATTAATGATCGGGTAGCAGTCAACACCAGCCCAGCTAGCTATTGCTCGCGCCACTTGCACACACCGAGGTATGGGCGGGGCGGGAAGATTAGAAGCTGGGGTTTCATTGGGTGCACAACCTACAACCTGATCATCGTCAGAAGAAAGCTCGTTTGAAAGATCATTAGAGACATCACCTTTTCTATGATTCATATTGTTTAGCATGATTTGGAACTCGTCTTGATATTTATACCTTTAAAGAACAAACAAAAACAATGCTACCCTGACAACCTTAAAACCGTGTCTTACACCGGGATTGGTGGTTTTTAGAGCAATTTAGATCAATGAGGCGGTGTTTAAGGTTGGTTTATGGATTATTAAGTTTATTTGCTCATCAAGTGATCAAAATATGGCTGTTTTAGATGGATTTTGGTCGGATTTTGGGCAAAACTGGGGTAAATTAAGGGATAAAATAGACATTCCGAAGGAGATCCACGAGGCTTTTTTAATTTAGAGGGGGTCTAGTTGTAGATCTAGCCTGTGCAGCAGTAAATTAACTTGAATTAAGTGGGCTTTGGATGGGTTTTGGATGGGTTAGGATAGTTTTAGTTGAGTTAGATTTTGTTAGAATTTGAATTATATTTGCACTATAGTAAAAGAGGCTTGGGTGGGACATAATAGAATAAAGTATTATGAAATGACGTCATTAGACTAACTTAATTTGCATTTAGAATATTAAAATGGCAATTAACCTAAAAAGGAAATCTAAAAGTTTGCAATGACGTCATCGCCTAAAAAGGAAATTACCTAAAAAGGAAAATTATAAGGTATAAATACCTAAATGATTTCTAAAATATGCAATTTAAGGTAAGAAGTCTTTCTATTTTATTCGCTATACTAGCATTGTCAATGGCGAGTGCTTCTGCTCCCACTGATGAGTCGTCTGTTGCCGGCACTAGTGCTATTCCAGCCGAAACTGCAATGACGCCCGAAGGCGCAAACCATGAAGGCTCCAATGGAGATGTACGAAGAGATGAATCACCCGAAGAGGCGCCCCAAAGGGTTAGCGTAAAGAAAAGAATATCCTCGACATTTACTCGCCTTACCTCTTGTGTAAGAAAACAGCCCAGAGCAGCTATAAATCCTCAGGATGAACAAGAAGATGGTCCCTATAGCCCCACTACTGATTCTTCTCAACCAGACAATTTACAGTCTCAAACTTCCCAAGATGGGACCGAGTCTCCCGTTGATTGTTCTACGGGGCCAGTTAAACCACCCAGAACACAACCACCTGCCAATGCTAATCTCACTTCTCAGGCCACCCATATTTTACAAGAAGGATATGACGGTGAAGATGAATCTACTGGGCCTTCCAGGCAACAGAACAATCCCTTATATGCTACTATCATTCCCAAACACGCTCGTGTTAATGGAGGAGAAGGTGTTGCCCAGCCGATGTCCGCTATAAACCAACACTACAATCCCAATTTAAATGGCACAGCCCAGCATGCCCCCCAAGGCTCATCCACTCCCTTTGATAGTGACGATGAAACGAGTGATTATACAGTCACTGCACCAACCATCCAAGGGCAGACTCCTAGCGAACGTACCTCCCAAATTCCTAAGCCAACCACCACCCGCCCTGCTTCTCAAGCACCACCAGTATACTCACGGCAACCAGAGTAATTCACTACCAATCTAATACTATCTTAAGACTCTCAATCTAATCTGACCTAATTTAATTTAATCCGACTTCGGTCAAAACAATTCAACATTAAAGTAGTATCTATTTATGCATTATTATCGTAAGTCCATTTATCGCAACTTACCTCCACCTAACCCAATCTATACCTATCTCAACCTATCTCAACCCAACCCAACCCAACCCAACCCATCTCAACACATAATAATAACCTAAATTCATTGTAGGCTGGGATCACGAGTTAAGTTAAAGTTACCAGGACACGGCTTAATTAGTCCCATACCGCATAAATCCCGAGCTATTTCAATCACAACTATCCTATCTGGATTTATCAAATCTACCTTGAAATCAAACTCTTTAGCTACAGTCGCAATAATAAACTCACTGGAAATATGTGAACACAATCGCTTACACAAACTCACTCTAAAACTAGCCCCAACCGGCATCTCACCCGCCAACTTCTTAGCCATCCGTACAATATTATCTATAGTTAAAGTAAAGATCTCTGCCACTGGAATCACTCGTCTAATAAACTGAACTCGCTTAGTCCCACTTACCAACGCATTATAAACATCCATTTCTGACCATTTTGAACTATTCCGCACCCATAAAACTTCAGTTCCCTTATGTCCACCCAATAATCCAAATTGTGATTTACGCGCCTCAGCTGCTTCCGCCGCCAAAACATCACTCACACGCCCTTCTGAACTCGCCCCATCACTTTCCAAAGCCAAAGAATAAACTGCCATCTCTAACGCACTTAAAATTTCCGATCTACCACGTCTACTTCCACCATCTACACATGTAACTACGAATCCACCCATAAATATCTGCCAAAATTTTCCTAATATGGCCATTAAACAAAAGATTGGTAAAACTCGCTTGGATAAATACTACTTCATGGCCAAAGATCATGGTTATAGAGCTAGATCTGCTTTCAAATTAATTCAGATTAATCAATCTCATAATATTCTTTCTGGTGTTCATTCGGTTGTTGATCTCTGTGCGGCCCCTGGAGGTTGGCTTCAAGTCGTTTCTAAAGCAGTTCGTCCTCCCAGTAAAGTCATTGGAGTTGATTTAGATCCAATCAAAGCTATTTTTGGTGTTGATACTTTAATAGGTGATATTACTGATGAAATGTGCAAAACAGAGATATTAAATCGAGTGGGAGATACTGAAGTAGATTTAGTTCTTCATGATGGTGCGCCTAATGTAGGAGCTTCTTGGGAAAGAGATGCTTATGCTCAGAATGAGTTAGTTTGTCATGCAGCTAAGTTAGCTTGTCAGATCTTGAAGAAGAATGGGACTTTTGTGACTAAAGTCTTTCGTTCTAAGGACTTTAATGCTCTTGTTTGGATGTGCTCGCAACTATTTACTGAGTGTTTAACTACTAAGCCGCGTAGTTCGCGTGAGGAGAGTGCTGAAGTCTTTCTAGTCTGTCGAGGGTACCGTAAACCAGCTGAACTGGATGAACGATTCTTTGACCCACAATTTGTCTTTGCTGAAGCGGCTGAAGTAAGTCCGGGTGCTAATACTTTGAGTGCTTTACTGGAAGGTCGAGTTAATCTTAATGACTGCACTAAGATTGAAATTGATTGTATGTCGCATATGATTGATGAAGAGACAAGGATTCTACTAGGCGACTTGCAATTAGTGAGTGATTTTGAGAAGAAGAAGTTAGGCCGAGTAATTAAGAAGATAGCTAGAGTATGGATTGCACGTCGAGGTGGCAACAGTCCAGAAGAAGTAGTTGATACACGGACAAGGGCTGAGAGACAACGGGATGAAGAACTAGAGATTAGAAAAAGAGCTATCCGTCGGGCTAAAGTCAGTGAACGTCGTGTACTAGCTCGTCGGGCTAAGCGTCTGGGTCTAACTGAGCAGGACATTACGGAGATAGAGAAGGTTCATGGCGACTTCTTTGAAGATGCCATCTTTGATGATGAAGAGGAGAGTAGTACGGAAGAGGTCAAACCCAGGTACAGAGAGGTTAATAGTGATGAAAAAGGAGAAGATGCGATGGAAGTAGAAAATGAGATGGAAGTAGGAGATGGCGTAGAAGATGATAGTGATATTGAGGAGGAAGATGAAGATGAAGAGGAAGAAGTGAATGACTTTGAAGTGCCAGAGGAAGGCCGGGATGATTACGATGATCAGAATGATAGTGATGCCGATTCGTGTTCCTCTTCACTTGATCTGGAAGATAAAGTTTGTGGGTACAGATTGCGTGAAGATGAAGAGGAGTTTGAGAATGATGGAATTGATAGGTATGTTTATGATGATGGGGATGATGAAAACTTGCCGCAATTCTTTAAGGATGATGAGGCTAAGTATAATCGGAGGTTTGTCTTTAATGAAGATAGAGAAGATTTAGAAGAGAAAGTTACCTTATCTAAAAAGAACCTTGAACTCAAAGCCCGACAGAATCGCCGAGTTGATCGCAAGATCCAGAAGATCAAAGACCGAATGGACGACAAAGAACAAGATGTGGACCTTCGAGCCGTCCGTAAGGGTGCCATGAAGAAGCAGAAGCGAGAGAGAAAGCAAATGATCTTCTCAGGACCCGCCCGGACTATTCCTCATATTCAAGGCCGGATCAAAATGACCGATCGCCGTATGAAAAAGGACAAAGCCGGTCTTAAACGCGCAGAAGAAAGGAAGGCCCGAGGCCGTCGGTAGTAATCACAACTATTTCAACAATAAATTAGCCAACACTATCAATCGTATTTATCTTAACCCAATTTATTTCACTCCATCTCAACCTCACTCAACCTCAACACCACTCCACTCCACACCACCTCAACCTAACTCAAACACAATTTGAACTTAATCTAATCTACCTGATACTAATCACGTCATGTACAGGCACAAGGTAATACTAATATGGGCTGCCCATTACTAAGCTAATTTGATGACACATGACATATGACTATTAAGATCATATAGGAAATATCACAAAGATGTCATATCTAGAAGTATAAGAGCCCTACCATTTAAAAATAATATGGAAGATAGGGAACCGATTAAAGCTATTGAAATACTTTGTCCTAATAAAGAAACAACCCAACCATTGATACTCTGGCAGAATTCACAAGAATCGGAGATCTTTCTTTATGCTCAAAGAACAATGTGGTCACTATTCTGCTTCGTTCTTTTTATAGGAACTCTGTACATTGAGAACATTAACAACCAGCACTTTTCACTCGGAGATATGCGCATGCTTTTAGCTGGGTCGGGGTTTATTGTTAGTTTCATACGAGTTGTAATTTTGATTCTGATAAAGGTCAATAAGAAGAAATACTACTTGGAGCAAGAGAACTTGGGCTTGATGTTTTTACTGGTGATCATGATTTTGGTTCTGGGTGGGATTTTGTTTATTGGGTCGATTCTGCACGTAGTTATGCTAATGATTATGGCGCAATATCCAGACACGCGCCAGATAATCAACCATTCTCTACTGCAGCTGGGGTTGGGTTCAGGGCGAAATCTAGTGAAGAATTGCTTGTACGCGGCGGATTGTATGAACGCTGCCCTGCTTTTTCTGACTTCGGTCTCCGTGTTTCGCAAACACCGCAGTGTTCTCCTATTGGGTTGGGTTGTAGCTGTGGCGTCTTGGCTACTGGGCGATGCCTATCTAACGCAACTGCACCAGAATATTCAGCTGACTCCCATCGACCCTAAGTCGTTCGCACTCTCACTTGAGCTATCCCTAAAAACTCTACGTATTCTGGCCTGGATTCGGATGTTGGCCTACATCCAGAGCTTAACACTTTACCATAATTGGGGTATTTGCCGACAGATAGTAATTGGTCTTGAAAAGCGCCTTTCCCCATATGCTAAGCACGACAATGTCTTTGTTGGCTGTGTTCTGCTGCAGCTTGTTGCTTTCTACTCGCCAATGCTCTGTCTGTATATTGTCAATCGTTCGTTGAATATTGAGTGGGCCCGGCCATGCTATGTCATTATTGAACGGTGGATCGGGTCATTTAATAGTCTCTTTAAGTAACTGATCAAGTAATAAATTGGGTCGGTGGCACAGTTTAGCTCTTTATTATTGCATTGGGTTTGGTTTGGGTTGAGTTGAGTTGGGTTGGGTTGGGTTAATATTGGGTTTGGTTGAGTTGGGTTAATATTGGGTTTGGTTGAGTTAATATTTGGGCTAGTATTATATGGTGGTGATATTTGGATGGCATTAGGTTAGTATCGAAATGGTCTTGTCTATACTTTATTGATGTCTGAAGGCTTCTATATATTAAGTGGACACTTGATTGGGTTTATGTTAGTGCTTCTTTAGTAATGTATTTCTACTCATTTTTGGGCATTTGAGTTAGTCTCTCAATTGCTTTCGAGCCTTATTGGGTTAGTCTTTGGTGTCAAACTCGTTAAGAACGAATATCCTCACCAAGACCGCCACAATTCAATACTAACCCAATAACACCTCACACATACCCAACCCAACCTAAACCCAAACCCAACCTAAACCCAAACCCAATCACAATACTAACACAATACTAACACAATACTAACACAAACACAAATTTAATCTAGATTTGCTAAACAGCAAAATTTCCTTTTAAGGAGATATTCTAGTGATATGCTGAAAAAATTTACGTAATCCATGGCCAATGACATCTTTAATCTCTTCTTAATAGAACCAACTCCAACTAAACAAGAAAATTGGACCCCTACGATATTTTGTATCACTGTTGTTGTTCAAGTATTTGCTATTATATATAGTTTGGCATTTTTGTATTGGAGTGATCCAGCTAACTTAGTTTCGGCTAATAATCCGTACTTAACTGGGATTTGGAATACTTTACTTGCCATGGTTTTAGGGATGGGGATAGCGATAGCCATTTTCTTCCACAAGAATTGGACTTCTGAGGATTCTGAGGCTGATAAGACTGATAAGAAATCAATTGTAGCATTGATAACAATTTCTATCATTATGGCCATTGCCATTGCTTTAGCATTTTTCCAACTAACTACTCTCTTCCCAGTACTGGAGGGGAAACCAACCAATTATTGTACAGTTCTTGGTGTTTGCGGCCTACTTAGCTCCCTTCCATATGGCATCTCTTGGATATATAAACAACTCTCCCCTTCTCACAGTCCGTCCAATTCAACATCAAAAACCCCATCTGAATCAAAATCTAAGCACAAATCCAAGAAAGACTACACGAATGTTCAATATATAGCTTTTGGTATCCTAGCTGCCATTGCAATTAGCATGATAGCTATAGCTTTTGTACATTATGTAACTCTAATCACTAGCACTCCTCTGAATCAAGGCACCCCTAATTTACCTTCCAATGGTGCCCAATAAATCCAACTCAATGCCAACCTAACACCAATTTAACGCCAATCCAATACTAACCCAATAATAACATAATATAAGTAATAAAGTGTCTAGATAGCAAAACATCACTAACATAATACTAATCCAATACCAACCCAACCCAACCTATCTACAGTGCCTCGGGGGAGGATAAAGACTTCTTATCCACACATACTCAATGAGAGACCAAGTTGGGTTGGTCTGGCATACAAGTTAGTATACGAATCTGAGTCATTTCTGGATCTGGTCTCGTCTTCTGTAAATCCTTCATTTATACCATAGAGATTCATAGAAAGTCCTGGAAAGCCTCTTATCAACATTCATCGTATATTTATACTCCAATTGAGTTGGTTTGAATTGGATTGGCTTAGTATTGGGTTAGTATTAAGTTGTTTAAAGTAGCAAGGAATAAATATCTACATTCTTTGTACTTACTCGTTTAAAAGTAGAAACATCTCGATATCCCCTTTAAGATCTACAGGAAATGGTACAAACACCAACCTAACCCAACCCAATACAATCTAACCCAATCTAAACTTAATCTAATTTAGTCATAAATTAATTACCCAATAAGGAAAGTTATAACGCAAAATTTTGCTTTCATTCCAACATATGATCCCATCAATCAGTAAAGAAAAAGATTCAGCCATGTTATTAAATGCTGATCATCTAAAGCAACAATCCAAGCAATCATTCGGCTACACTAAACTAACACCAACCCAAGATGATAAATTTACCGAAGGCAACTCAACATTCTATCTATCCCAGTTAGATTATAAATATCAATCAGATACTCCAGCCGCACACAACCCACAACCCAATCTAACGATCATCCAACGCCTATTATGCTACTCCCCTGGACTCACTACTACTTTCACTATCTGTTCGTTCTTGTTATGTTTTGCTACTTTCTATGGCATTATTACGATTAGTTCTCTTCTTATTGAAGGTCAAAGTAGTCCTTATGATCAGTATTCAAAACCTCTACTTGCAATCTTGGTGTTTATAGCTTTGGTTCTATCTCTAGTAATTCTGAGCTACTACTGGTTCAAAAAGCAGTGCACTCTATACAGGTACAAGAACTACGAAAGTCAACCCCGTCGCAATCACAAACTCTTCTTAGTAATAGGAGGTGCAGTTATTACTTTAAGTCTTATCCTGGCTGCTCTATTATATGCAGCTGGTCGTTTTTGGCTAAGTCAGAACTATGCTACCAGTGGTTTATATCTTGACCTTCTATTTATGGCCGGTCTATTTAATCTAGTTGCCCTGGGTAGTTACTGGATATGCCGACGCCAAGTACCCAAAGAACTTACAACTACTCAGTATAAGTCTTACAAAACCAAACTCCATGTCATCTTTACTCTGCTAGTCTTCCTCTCGCTTGGAGTTACAATTCTTATCGCCGCCAACTATATCACTCAGTACCAACGAACAAATGTCCCAATCACTGATTATGAAACTATCGGTTATCTCTACCATTTATTCTTCTATGTCCTTGGCTCTATCAAAACCACTCCCTAATACTATCATACTCCATTCAATCCAAAACAATCTATTCTAACTTAATATTAACTCAAAATCGATTATAAAACCGCCAGATTTTATATTTAAATAATAAACAACTATTTCCCAATAAGGAAATAATAGAAAAACTACCCGATTTGGACATAAATGATAACAACCTGCAAAATATTTGCATGGATTTTTTCTGGCTACTACAGAACCCAGATCAGTTACTTCAAAGTAGCAAAACAAAAAACAGCCATGCACCATCCGTAAATCTTCATTCATATTCGTCCGGAATATCACCAAACAGCTGCAAATCGCATATTTACACCCGACTTTCTGCTCTAGATCCTTCCCGTGTCATCTTGTGCGCTTATCTAGGCTTTTTTGCCTTATCATCAGCGACTATTTTATCTCTTATATATTTAACAAATGCTTATAATATACTGTGTATTCATACTGGCAGGCATATAATCTTCTCTATCTACTTAGTGACTCTTTTTTCTACAGCTGGAGTGGTTGGTGTAGTTGTCTTTACGAAGTTTTGGATGATTGTTAAGCAAAATCTTGTGATTAATCGCTGGCTGACTTGGGATCTTTTATTATTTCATATCTTTCCTTCTCTAGTTCTAGCTTGTTTAATGTGTCTTGGCATTATGTCTTTTTGGCCTGAAACTAGTGCATTCATTCTCTTGTGTCTTTCTATCTTTCTATCTTTCGTTTATCTTATCATATGTTTGACTATCTTTACTAATCATCGTCGTAGTACTACTAAGAGGAGTTCTAGTACTCAAACATCAACTAAACAAAGTATTCGTGACTTAGCTATTCTATTATCTTGTCAAGCTATTCTTCTTATCATTATCTGTCTTTCTTTGTGGTTGATTAGATCAGGAGGAATACTTAGTGATCATACTCTTTGTTCCGAAGTCAGCTAAAGATACATTTTAGTCACTCACCATCTAATCTCAACCCAAGACCAATAAAGAGTTAAACCTGAATATTTTCAGGTTTTTTGTGCCTAAATTACCAATCAAAATTAGTCGTAAATATCAACCCTAAACCTAACCTCAAACCCAACCCACTACTAACTCATATCTACACTATAACTCAACTCAACTCAATCTCAAATCCTAACCCAATCCCAACTCAATACATTCACTTAGATAAACAGTATTATACCCATCTAATCTTTACTTAACTCCACTTAACCTAATCTAACTAATTTCTAGTGATTGCAAAATCTGGTTAAAATTACCATATAAGGTAATAATTTCTACATATGAGCATTCGTGGAAAAAGTTTTTTCCTTTATGCCTATTCATTATCATTATCAACACTTAAATAATCAAAAGAAAGATAAGAAGCCCATTGTCTCCTTATCTAATCCGTTTCTAAACCGAATCCTTGCCGAAACGGTAGCTAAAGACCCGGAAACACCAGATTATGAAAAAAGTGCATCAGTAGAGGCTGTCCCGGTTCTATCAACACTTACATCTTTAGGTTTAGTCACTTCTATTAACTTGCTCTATCTCTTGTTCCCTCTTCTATTGATATACATCTACAAATGTTCACGTGTACCTCCACCTGTTAATAATGCAGCAAGCACCTCTATTAAACCTATTAACATTTTAATCAATCTGGTTTACATCTTTGTTATGATTCTTCTTCTCAAAAAGATTCAATCTACTAGTTATGTTGTTCAAAATCAAGCAGATAAAGAATCAAAAACATTTTGGCAAAAACACAGATCTCAACTTATTATTACAGTGGGTATTATGTGTTTTTCTAGTATTCTTATGGCTGTACTTGGTTTTACTAAAGTCCTAGCTCTAGTTCTCTTGTTCTCAATTATTTGTCTGATTATTACACAACTATTAGCTACTTTAGATCTTGGTCTTAATAGTTATGATACAATCTCAGCTAAAGCTCGTAAAAAGCGCACAATCTGCTTGGTTATTCTCATGTCTATCTTCTTCATTTTCTTTATTGGTGTGCTTATCACTGTCATGGGCATTAACATTAAGAAACAAGCACTTTTGAACAGATTGGAAGAACTAGATCGAAAACAACCTGTCACATAATAACGACCCTACACCTCAATAAACAGACAATCAATATAGTTTAATATCAAGTTTCTACTAACTACATCCTATCCCATCCTAACTCCATCCCATCCCAATACCAAACCCACACCAATACCAACTCAACACAATACTATTATAACTCACTTCAATTTGTTAATTTACTTATTTAGGCCGAAATTTCCTTTTTGGGTAATTTAATTACGTCTTTGCGAAATATATTTCCAATTTGATAACTATAAAGACTCTTTTTTCAATACTAACCTTAATGTCTGGACATTTCAAAGATAACATAAATCAAGAAAGTACTCATGCTATGGTTCCAGCTCATGGTAATACTTTGGGTTCTCTCGAGCCGAAAGGATCCTACGCCAGTGATAATGACTATTCTAATGATACAAGACTTCTCCTAAATATGGACAGTAAATCCGAAACATCAGATACACCCACTTTCATTCAAGTAGGTAGTGTATTGGCCTCTATCTTCTCTACTATATGCACTATTATGTTCTTAGGTATGTGTATCTTCTTTATTTACAGTTACAGTACAACTCCAGGCCACCCCAATCTCTCTCGATGTATCTTCTTGGTCTTCAGTGCTTTCCTTACTTACATTCTCCTCCGGTGCAACAGATCTACCAGCCGATTCACTTTAAATGCTACCTTCTTGGAAAAAGTCGCTGCTTTCATCTTAGAATTCACTCTAGCCGTAGTTCTATCCTTCTTAGCCTACTCCTTGCAAATTCCAGCACCAACCGATACTACTCCCATCCACCCCACCACCCAAATCATCGCCATAACTATCTTCACTATTTTCTTCCTTACCACTCTCATTCATTCGTCTATCAATTTCTATAACATCCGAAAGGCCAAAGCTTCCATCAAACCCCTTCTTATCCTCCTATCTCTTTTCTTCCTCCTATCAATTGTTTTCGTCTTCATCATTTTCTGGGACTTCACTACCCCTAATGCCATCAATAACTTCTGCAATTCCATCAACTTCTAAACCCCACCCAATCCCAATCTCAACCCAACCCAATACTAACCCAACCCACCCTAATTTAACAACATCTAATTTCAACCTGTCTAAACAACCCAATCCTATCTAAACACTACCCTCCCCTAACAATACTAAACAACCCCACATTACATTCAATAAATTGAATCCAATACACCAACTCAACTCAACCCAATACTAACTCAACCCAAACCAAACTCAACCCAAACTCAACTCAACTCATTTATTGATTCCAAACTATTTTTGTATGAGCCGCTTTACTGAAGAACTCGAGTTCATTCAATGTCTTTGCAATCCCCAATATCTGCAACATCTTTACCAAAAGGGATACTTTGACAACCCAAATTTCATTGACTTCCTCAAGTATCTCCAGTACTGGAAGACCCCTGAATACGCCAAATTCCTTCTCTTCCCCCAAGCTCTCAATATTCTCGATCTCCTACTTAACTCAAAGACTTTCCTTGAGTCTCTCAAATACAACCAAGTCGTTGAGCATCTCTGTGCCCAGCAATACCTTCTCTGGAAACTCCGCCGCTAATTAACACACTCCACTTCATTCAACTTAACTCCACCCACTCAACCCCAAACTAACCCCAACTAACTCCACCTCGTAATGCCAAAACTAAATGTAAGACATCGTCATTCTTTATGCCATAGATTTCTATTTCGTTAGCATCTACTAATTGTTTGCCGGCAAAGATCAATCGCTGCTGTTCAACTGAAATTGCTTCTTTTTCTTCAATCAATCGCTTGACTTCGCTGACTTTCATCTTCTGATCTATGCGTAGCTGGACCTCCGTGCCCTCGAGAGTCTTTATTTTTACAAACATCCAGGGTGCTTCTCCCTGTTTACTTTGTACCCCTCTCCCCTGACCCCTATGAAAGTATAAGTAGAAGTCCAGTAGGAGAGTTATGCATCGAACAGACAAGAACAAGCATAAGAGTGCCAAGGCGAATGATATTGATAGACCCAGGAAGGGAGCTATGCCTCCTCCCGTTAGAACACTTACGGCTGTTTCGCCTACTCGTCCAGAGGCTTCCTCTAGTCGGTCGGCGTTCCACCCTCGTGTAATGGCTGAATCACCGCAAATGGAGAGTCAGCATATGCCCGTGGAAGAGTTCCCAGTCTTAGATAAAGTACGTAACAATGCTGAGTACAAGAAGTCACTTCAGAATCTGAATATGGCTCTGAAGAAGATTGGTGAGTCTGAGAGTCAAAAGAAGTACTGGCGGTCATGGGATCAGTATACTCCAGAGGAAAGGAGGAAGTTGGCTGGTGGGGCTGCTGCTGAAGAATCGAGTGCAGTTAGTCATGATCGAATTGGTCGGGACTTATCGCAAATGCGTATTAGTCAGCCGGGAAGAAATGCCCATGCTAGTGCTGGACCCAGTACTAGTCGGCCGAGTACGAGTGGGACTAATAATCGGGTTAGACCGGGATCACGTATGGCTCCAGTTGCTGAAAGACGATCTTCAGTACTGGACTCGCCTAGTGGCCAATTAGCTCTGCCCCATACGACTCGGCACCATGATCTTCCAGTGCCCGCTTCCCCTGAGCTGTCTAAGAAGTCATTCGGTACTGCTAAACAAGGAGGCCAGGCCAAACGTGTTAAACAAGCCAAACAAGCCAAGATGAGCTATCCTAAAACAACTCCAACTGCTAGACCATTCTCAGCTGAAAGCTTCTATCAAGCCCCTACCTCTACCCAACAAACAGTGCATGCTTTACGGTCTAAGCCAGAGCCATACCGGGCAACTCAATCCAAGCCAATGCAAACCAACCCATTGCAAACCAGACCAACTCCACCCAAACCAATGCAAGTCAAATCTACTCAACCCAAACCAATGCAAACCAGACCAACTCAACCCAAACCAATACAATCTAAACCCACCCAACCCAAATCAACTCAACACAAGTCAATGCAATCTAAACCAACAACATCTGCGCCAATCACTACTAGCCGAACAGAAACTCGCACGAATTCTTCTAATGGCCGTATAGTCACTAGTGCTACCGGTTTAACTACCATCCAGCGACCGGGACCACTTTCCAGTACTGAAATTCGGCTTAGTCAATTCGAAACCAGAGTTGCTCGTTTGCCTTCCAAAAAGGATCCCAGTCTGAGAAGGAAGCAGCCAGACGTCCACCGAAGAGTTGCCCAGAATGAAAGAGCTAAAGAGCAGAAATTCCCATCCTCTTTTACCCGCAATCCTAACCTCCCCCCAATGGAAGAATAAACTGCCTGAGTTAAGTTAGCATTGCTTTGAGTTGTGTTGTGTTTGGTTAGATTGACTTGGATTATTGGGTTTATCTATACTAAGTTAAACCTTTAATTTCACTACTAAACCCATCTTAATCAAGTAGTACCCTAAATTCAAAATAAACTCAAATCAAAATCTAAGTTGGCCAAATATAATCTAAGTTAAACTTGAACTAGATTTGGATTTGGAACACTCTCCCAATAAATTTTACTCGGCTTTTCTCATTTGATGCAACAGATATCTATTGTGACTGGTAGTGAACGAAAAAGAAGCGAAATTAGTGCTGTTATTGGTACCAAACTGCCCTATACCTTTTTGGCCTATGATTTAGATGAGATTCAGGGGGCTCCTCGTGATATTATTACAAGAAAGCTTCAAGATGCTTATGAATTAGCTAAAGGACCCGTAGTGGTTGAGGACTACTCACTTTACATTGATCGCTTAGCTGGATTTCCAGGACCTTATGTGAAGTCCTTGCTTAAGAATGGCGAGTTAGGCCGGATTGTTAAGGAGTTAGCCGTAGTAGGAGAAGTGCGCTGCTCCAGTGAGTGTCTTTATGGATACACAAACAAGCAAGGCGAGACTTTTCTCTTCTCAGCTACTGCCCAGGGCGTACTAGTTCCTTCTGAAAGAGAAGCTTCTGGACTCTTTGGAGTGGATGAGCTACTAGTTATTGATGGCACTGATAAGCCGTATCTTTATCTTTCACCCGAGGAGAAAGACCAGCACTCTATTAGGAAGAAAGCACTGGAGCAACTTATGGCCCATATTGTTACCGAACAAATAAGCACCCAATAGCCAACTAAACTAAGCCAATAAAAGTCCAACCATCCATGATGTCAAGTTAAGTCCAGTTTAAATAGAATTGGGTTAGTATTGAGTTAGTATATTTTGGTCCCAAACAATCTACCAAAGAAACACAATAACATACCAATTTATTCATATAATATCATCTTAACATTCAGTTAGTATTATCTTAAGATCATTTTGGGTTATCTTAATTTAGTACTAACTTACTTAAGATCTTATGTCACCTTGTCTTAATCTATTCACAACTTAGTCATAACACAACCCAGTCATAACACACCTCAATCATAACCCAACTCAATCATAACACAACTTAATCTATTCACATCCTAACTTGATGCCTAGAGCTGAAAGTGTTAGGCCAAAGGCATCAACTGCACACCAAGGATAGGTATAGTCCAGAACGTACTCGTTTTCGCCGGTTTTACCAAAGGTAATGGTGATATAGGAAGTATCATTAGGATGGATGATTTGAAAGTTGCGTACGGAAGGAAGAGTTACCCTGCCATTGAAATTCAAAACATAAGAGTTAGTTTCTGAGTTATAGTAAGGCTGTTTGTTGACCAGCTTAACGTACTGACCCGATCTTTCTTTGAGTCTTTGGGTGAGCTTCTTGTCGTAAGAGGAGTAGAGGGGGTCGATGAAAACCTGGAAGGATCTTGGCCCACTTTCACTGAACAGCCCGGTATACTTAATGCAGCAGACTTCCTTTTTACTTGGGTAGTGTTTAAGCGTATAGTTACTACCAAGCAAATTACCTGATAGTTTAGCTACCTTTTCTTTGGTTTTCGACAAGATGTTCCAATTCAGTCCCGAACGTTTAGCCCGCAGTAAGAGGGTCTCTTCATTCTCAAGAAACTCTATCTCACTAAACAAGCAGCGGTTTCTTTTCACTACTTTACCCCGACAAACTTCTCCTAAGGCCGGCACCCTATATATGTTTTGAATTGTACCTCCACTCTCAGCCGGCGTCCAAAGATTATCACTACCTATCAAAGGCCCAAAAAGTCCTTCTTCCTCAATACACATTTCACGTTCAATGTTCTGTATGCTTATTCCCTCAATCTGGTCCATCCCCTGAACCATGCAGTCCAATAAATACTCTCTACCCCAAAGACCAATCACCATTCAATCGCCAGCCAACTCACATTGTCTCAACCACCATCCAGCACCACCATCCCACCACGAATCCAATACTAAACCTATCACTAACAACAATTTATTCGGCCATATCAAAATCCATACTAACCCAATACTTAACTTAATACATCATAACTTAGTACATCATAACTTAACATAACATAACTTAGTACATCATAACTTAACATAGCATAACTCAACTTAATACACATCATAGCTTAACTTAACCCAAACCAATACAAAACTTAACTTAACTCAACTCAACCCAAACCAACCCAATACACACCATAACTCAACTCAATATGACGTAATTCAAGTTCACGATTACCCAAAAGAGTAATTCTAAATTTTTTGAAGAATGGACATCCGTTTACAGCTCCAAATCAAGAAAGATCCAAAATCTTATGCTGATCTTTATCGTAATGAAGTAGATAAGCTTAGAGGTATGATCAAAATCTCAAAACTCGATCCTGCGGCACGAAATCCTGAACTCTGTTCATTACTAGTCTTTTTACCCCACATATCTTCACATTTTGAAGATAGCATTGCTGGTGACATTTTTAGTTATACATTAGATTATTATTCTTTATTAGATAAGAGTATGGCCCATTCAGCCATTACTTCTATTACTACACTTAAAAAGACTAAACAGATTGGGCCTGAGATCTTCTATAAGCAAGCTATTCCTTTGGTTGAAGAGATGGACAAACGAACCAAAACAGTCTTCATTCAGTTTTTAATAGCCGAAATGATCAGAGATTCTGAACATTGGGGTTTAATTAAGGAGATCTTGTTGCAGGCGGTTAAATCAGGTGTAGAAGCCCATGCTAAACGAGCCGCGTATATCTTTATGCATATGGTTAGTCGTGGGGCCTGGATGGATAGTGAATCGGCCGAAATAGTCTTTAAACTAGTTCTTGATTCACCATCAGTTGTAGTTGGTTTTGTTTTTATGTATCTTTTAGATAAAGTTGAGTTAGTTGTGAAAGAAGAAGATATCGAAATTCCAGATGAGAAAAACAAACGTTCAAAAATCAAAAGAGAAACCAGTGCCGATAAGCGCAAACAAGCCAAAGCCAAAAAAGAGCTACAAAAGAAGCTTGAAGCCAAGAAAGAAAGATTAGAAAACAAAGAGCCTAATATTGTTTTACTTCTCCAGCAGATAGAAGATAAGGGTCCTTCCTATGGAGCCAAAATCTTTAAACGTATCAAAACATCCAATCATTCTTCAGATATCAAATTACAAATGGCCCAAGTTGTTTCTAGAATAGCTTGTTACTACCAAATTACCATCAAAGGATTCCTAGGATACATGCTAAGGTTTATGTTCCCCCATCAGGAAAAGCTTCCCCAAGTCTTTGCTGCTATTGCTCAAAGTATTCATGAAGAGACGCCCAGTAAAGAGGTAGAAGCTATTTGCAACAGTATAGTTGAACATTTCTGTAGTGATTATAAAGATGATGAAGTTATTGCCTATGGCATAAACTCCTTACGAGCTATTATTAAGCGCTACCCAGAAGCCTCTAAGTATGCTTGTATTAATCATGTTCTGGACTACCGCCGGACTGGTAAAGCCCGAGCTGTAACTGCCTCTCATTCCCTCAAGAAGATGCTTAAGGAAGCGGCCAAAGCCGCCACTAAGCTAACTCCAGCTGCTTCACTTCCTGAAGAAGCAATGGAAAGCGACTCTTCCGAAGACTTACCCTATAAAGAAAGACTAGCAGATGAAGCCCATCTTTACTGTGAAGGTCTCTCTAATGATGGCAACAGCGATACAGAAGAAGAGTCTTTAGAAGAATCTATTGATTCCGAGAATGAAGATCCTAATGGGTTTGTGACTGAAGAAGCAATCAGTAAGATTCGTAAGAAAGCCACTAAAGAAGAAATGATTGAAAAGGCCAAAGCCGATAAGCACCAAAGAAAACAAAAAGATCTTCCATCTACCAACCGTGAAAAGCAAAAGGAAACCAACTATACCGTTCGTAAGACCAAAAGAAAAGCTATCGGCAAGAAACTCAGTAAGTCCGTTAAAAGAAGAAGATAACTTAGATTTCAATTACTATTATCAAAATAACTACCAAATACTAACTCAATTGCAACTACTAATAAATCAGTAGCCATTTATTACAACTCTACTAAGTATGCTCTATTAATTGTTTAACTTACTCCCTTAAGACTTATATTATGTTATGTTTTGGTATGTTTTGGTATGTTTTGGTATGTTTTGGTATGTTCTGGTATGATGTAAGTTAAACCTTTGATTTACTCTTATCTTATCTTATCTTATCTAAACCCAATAAGGAAAGAATATCTTAGCCAATACTAACTCTATTGAAGACATTCTATGAGATAAGTATCGATGTCTTTTATTAGTTTAGTGTAGTATTAGTTTGGGTTAATAGTAGTGTTGTTAGCTGGTGATTGTATGCCGATATTACTCATATCTAAACCCACCCAATACCAACTTAAACTTAACTTAACATATCTTAAACCCACTCAAACATATCTTAAACTTATCTTAACTTAACTTTATCTATTTGTATTTGTAGTTCTGAATCCAATCATGAATGTAAGGGATAGGCGAGGCTTCAAATGGAAAACTAAGTACAATATGCTCTTGTTTTAACTGTGGTACAAAGGCAGGTACTATCTTCTGGTACATCGTTTGAATTTGTGGCTTAACCATTCCTACTAGTCTAGTATTCTCACTCACTCTTAAAATCACTCTATCTATATCTTTAGTACAGACACTGCCATGCCAAGCCATAGATATGTGCATCAAAGCATACAAAAGAACACCAGAAATCCTATCAGTCTCCAATAACATCCTTTCTCCTGCCTTCTCTACAAACCCCGTACTAATCACATGCAAAGAAGTATCTACTATCGCTACACTAGCCAAGAAAGAACTAAGATAAACAATCTGCTTTTCACGCAGAGGTGAGAACCCAGTAAAGATCTGAGCATTCAAAAAGGAAACAAAATTACTCATATTCCGCCTATCTATAGATATCCCAGAAAACAAAATAAACTGACTAACCATCAGTCCATAAGAAGGTAGAATCTTCTCTTCAAAGACTTCCATTAGAACTACAAATAATCCATCATTCATACACTCCCGACAATGATTGAATAAAGCTTGGGCTCCTTTAAGTAAAACAACCACCTTAGATCGCAAACTATCTTCACTTAAACTACCACTAAGACTAACACTCTCACCTGAAGAGATAGGAGAAGTCTCCCATTCAGCTAGAGATACTTCACGCCAAGCCTCTTCTAACAAAAGACTCCAATCTTGTTTATCATAACTATCATACTCAATACCAATAGAAAGATCTAAATTAACTATCTGGGCCAAAAGCATTTTGAAAACTAACGTATCAATAAAACCAAGTTCTTTTGCTATCTTTAAATAGTCTGGTAGACGATGTAAAGATATTCTAAACCTTCCCTGGCGCAATCTTTTGATTAACTTGGACCTATGATACATACTGATTGAATCTTTGTTTTTAGAACCGCAAAATTCACTAACTAAACTCTCAAAGCTATTCTCCATTATCTGAAAATTTTTACGTCATAATTGGAAATATTCGTTAGATATGGCTAGATAGGGTTTAGATAAGATCATTGTTTTGATTTTAATGGCTTTTTTAAGCACTAACTTGTCTTTAGATCAGTTTTAAGTAAGTTTTAGGTAGGTTTTAGATTGGATTGAGTTAAGTTAAGTTAAGTTGAATTGAGTTGAGTTGAGTTGAGTTGAGTTGAGTTGAGTTAAGTTAAGTTGAGTACTACTAGAATGGTATATTATAAGTCACTACTGATTTACTCAAACATACTCAACACAACTTAACACATCTCAATACTAGATGTTGTGCCCCGGGAATAGACTAGTACCTTTCAACTAAACATACTCAACTAAAGGCCGAAGAAGAAGGGGACGAATTGGTTTAGGTTAGGTTCTCTTTATCGTATGCTATCTTGAGATAGTTTGTAAACTCAAATTAGTATCAATACTAATATGATATTGTGATTTCTAATTCGAGATTTTACTCGCACTCACTGCGATCAATGCCTGACCGATAAGTATTACCGAATTTTGCCCTTGATAGATAACGCACTTGAAACTACTGGACACTCCAAACACCACACTAACCCAATTCTAACCTAATACTAACCCCACCCAACTCAATTCAACCAACTACTAACTAAATACCAACCTAAAACCTAACTAACTTAATGCTATCTTACATAGGTTAATTATTTGCATTTTGCCTTTATGACGACAAATTTCCTTTTTGGGACATCTTATGTAAGAGGTGCTAATTTTTGCGAATTATGAACTTAAGAGATACTGAGACAGGATCTATTGAGGATCTACCTTTTATAAAACACTCCCATGGTAACAGGCCCTATATCAACAAGGAGAGTTTTGAAACAAACAAAGAGAGTATGGAGGCAAAGAAGAACGTGATTTATTGGCATAAGCAAGAGATCAAAGTAGGAATTGAACCTTGGGAGGAAAGTGAAGATACTTCAACTGCTAGTAAATCTCAATTTATACTTCGTACTGGCATCAATACACCAGGTCCTAAAGCCGAACCGCCATTTGAAATTGATATTCTTAATCATATCTTTTTGTTTAAAGATGGCAGAGAACAATCTGTTTATGTTATCAAGATTGCCTCTGTTTGTGCTTCTTGGGTGATAATTAAGAAATTAGATGAGATTGTTGGGCTAATCTCTGTGCTTAGAAAAGAGACTCCTCTTCTTGCTAAACTCAATATGAAGAACCTCGTATCTATTGCGCCGGAAAAACAAGAAGAAAGACTTTCTATTCTTAAGCTAGTTCTTAATATGGCGCTTAGTAATCACGACTTACAAGCCCATCTTCAGAACTTTGTTCTTACTAATGTCTATCCCTTGGAGGAGATTGAAAAGGCTAATATTGAAGAGATCTTATTAGCCTTTACTAAAGAGGTTTCTGGGGTTTATTTAGTCGAGTATTCAGGTTGGTTGTTAGGTTGGCGTTGTGGACTCTTCCAGCTGCACAACCATGTACTTACTCGCACTTCAACTAAGACGGGCAAAATCACCGAAACCATTAACACCAAAGAGTGCATTATTAGTCTCAGTGGCCGCACTCTCCGCATCCAGCAAGGTCCGCAGAAGGAAAGGTCCTTCATAGCCAATGATCAAAGAACTCTTGTCATTCTCAAGAAATGGTTCTCTTAACACATCTAATCACTCACTACTTAGTGAATAATAAACTTATGTTGTTTGAATACCACATTAGTCCTATCTAATAACAAACTCACTTTAATTCAACTTAACTCTATCTAATACCACCTTTACTTTATCTAATACCAAACTCAACTTAATTCAACTTAATAACATCTTTACTTTATCTAATACTACCTTTACTTTATCTAATAACATCTTTACTTTATCTAATACCAACCTAAACCAACCCAACCCAAACTTAACTTAACTCAACTTAATAATAACTCTTTATTTACTCTCTTTTATCTTACCATAGAGATAAGTACAGAACTTTTGCAATCTGATTATCTCACTATTGATTTCGGCATTGGTCATGAAAGACTGTTCAGTTCCTGGTGAACTAACTCCTAGTTGATACCCTCTGATATCTTTGATCTGAATAGCATAACTCCCTAAACAACTGGACATACTAGTACTTACGGTTAAGTACTTACGGCCTAAAGACTTGCCACACAAACAACTGATAAGATGATAAGAACAAAGTGAGTCTGACTCGTTTGTAGACTGTAAGACCTCCTCTTCAACCTTTACATTTGGGGCCTTAGTAAAGATAAGGAAATCGTTCATTCTTTCGGTTAAAAAGAAAGAATCAGTCAGAATAGTGCTACATTCAATGCATTGGAAGGCAATAGGGTTCTTCAGTTCTTCAGCCATAGAAAAAAAAAGACACTCAACTAAATATACACAATCAAAAGCATCGTGTACTTTTATTTTCCTTTTATGGTAATTTATATTTCGACTTGGTTTTGATAACCGGATGGTAAAGATGAAAATATTTGCTAATCGAATGAAAGACTGTGTGAATCCCAAAGATACTTTGATAGAGGAAGTGCAGAAAAGGAGTAAGTATTGGGTTGATCTCTTATCAGAAGAAGGTGAAGTGGCTGGAGCTGAAGAAAGATTGTTGGAAGATCTTGAGTGGTGTATAAAACAAAAAGGAAAGGATACAGAAGAAGAACTTGAAGTTTTGCTTGGTGGAATTGTGGATGGCTTGGGGTTAGTTGAAGAACCTTTGATGGGTTTAGATGGTTTAGTCAGTATTTTTAGGTGGGGGAATGGTCGGTCGGTTTTGGCTGCTAAAGGAGTTGTGTTTTTGATTTCAGAATATGCTGGGGAGATGGCTGATTTTTTTGAGACTTTTTATCAACTCTTATCTCCTGAGTTGTTTGTTAAGTATGAAGATGAGATGGTCTTTTTGAGTTTATTGGTTTTGCGTTCGGAAGGCTTATCTTTGCAAATGATTAGATCGATAGTGAAACGTTTAGCTGATATATCTATTCGTGTGCCGGTTTTATGTGCTGGACGAGTGCTTTACGTGATTTCAGCTACGTTAAACCAGCATAAACGGGCGGTAGTTCCATTTAAGGACCGAGTTAAGGAGGGCAACCAAATTGGACTGACTCAGTTCCAGCCTTATCTCTATGAACTAGATGCATTGAAAGATCATCCTGTCTTAGGTGAACTGGCCTGCCAAATTAAAGGACATGTTTTGATCGATCAAAATACCAATGCGTACATTATGAACCGATTGCTAGCTATCTTAGAGGAATAAATTAGTATTGAGTTAGTATATAGTTGGGATTGGATTGGGTTGAGTTAGGATTGGGTTGAGTTAGTATAAAGTTAGTATAGATAAGATTGGATTGAGTTAGGATTGAGTTAATATAGAGTTAGGATTTAGTTAGTATAGATAAGATTGAGTTATTATAGATAAGATTTAGTTGGTATTTTATAGATAAGGTTATAAATATAATGGATTAAATCTAATGAATTGAGATAAATAAGGTTATTGGTTATTTACTTACTGTTCTTATGGAGTTCAAAGAGTGGGTTGATGATTGAAAGAACTCGATGGCCGGGTGTGGCCTGATGGGGACGGGTTTTAAGACGTTGAATAATATGGATGATTTGTTGTTGCTGAGAAGCAGCAAATGGTTCATTTTGAATAAGAGATAACTTATCAATAAAAAAGGCCGTATCTGGTTCTAGAATAATGGGTTGGCGTAAGAGAGCTGTTAAAGCATCAGCTACTTGCTTAGATTTCTCTGGGACTTGCGTAAACGCTCTTAAAACTGCTAAGTACTGTGGAGGACTCAAATCAGCTCCTCTTTCCTCGGTTTTAGCCAGAAGATGCACCAAGTAAGTAATGGGTAGATAGCGTGCTAAAACAAAAGCATTCTTATCATTATTACTAGATAAGAAATCAAAAATATGCTGAACTAGTTCTAAATACTTAGGCTCAGTTGATTGCGAAGCCAAAGCCACTACACAGAAACAAAGGGATTCAAATAACTCAGGAACTGCCCAAAGAGATCCAGATTCGGCAAAATTAGCTACTAATCCAACTGCAGTCTCATCACCACCCGCTAGAGCACATAATGCAATAAGTTGAATAGCAAATACGTACCAGTCAGCTACATCTTTCTCTAAACACTCCCGAGCTGTATTTAAAGCCACCTGCCGCCCTTCCTTCTGATTATCTAAGACACTAAGTGAAAGAACGTCCCAAAGCCCTTTCGCTTCAGCTAAGTTACCACTTGTTTCCATAGTAAGAAGTAAACGTTCACTACATACACTTAAGTATGCACTTAAAGGAACTTGGGCTACTCGTAGTATTTCAAATAAAGCCGGAGCTAAGAACTCATTAGGCGGAATTTGCACAATCCGTTCCACCAGTACGTTAGCTGCCGCTCTACTACTTGGAAGTACACTCAGACTACGTGTTTCTAAGGAAGTACAAAGAGTTTCAGCCAGTTTAGCCAGGACTAAGACTAAGCGCGGCCTATCTTTATAGCACACAATACCTTTTAAGACCGATTCAAGCAACTGTTCATTAACCAAAGCCATATCATGACCATGCGGATACTTACCATGAATAATACTGACTGCTACTAGTCCAGCCGCACTAATCAACTGGTTTTCATCCTCTTCCTTAGTTAGACCGGGTAGTTGCCCTAAATAAGCTTTGGCCTCTTCTACACCCGCGGCAATTACATCTAAAGAGACTCTAGTTCTTGATCGGGCAATATACAATAACAAATACCAAACACTTACTCGCTTATACTCGGCATGATTACTTAAGGCTACTTGTAAGAGCTCAGGATGTTTTTCAACAATATCTTTCAATAAATCAGATAAGATTTCTCTTTGTAAATTAAGATCAGAATTGAATACAGCTCGAATACACTCAATCTCTTCCTCGGCATCTTCAAAGACTCCTAGTACGCCCATTAAAGTTCGAGCTAATTGTTCTACTCCTCCATCAGCTGTAATAGATCCTTCTATATCTGGTGATCTTAAAACTTCAGTAATGTACTTAAGCACTACTGCCGTTCTATCCTCTTCCGCCTGTGACTCTAAGTCTTGCAGGAGTTCAAACGTATGCCCAACAAAAACACCAGGATCTTCTACGGCATCCATGTACCGTTCTAAAATAACACTAAGTACCTTTATCTGCAGCAAAGCCTCCTGTTCATCCTCTTTATCACAACACTCCATACAACTCATCAAAAACACACTCATCTCATTTTCCAGATAATCAGGTAAGTCCTGGCAAATCAAAGAATAGAACATTTCAAAAAGTGCACTGTACAATCCTTTGCATGCATTCTTATGCTGGTACAGATCAACTGATATACGGACTAAAATACTACCCAGTTGATTAACACTAGCTAGAATATCTAAATAAAGATTATCACTACGACCTTCTGTTTGATAGCGTACAAAATATGCATTAATAATCTCTAGTAATCTAACTGTCTGTTCAGTATAACTACCCTCTTCAATCCCAGATACGGCTAGGGCTAAATCAGCACTTTGTAAAGCCCGACTAATCAGTCGTACTGAATCACAGAGAACTAAATGAGTACTACGTGTACATCGCATTGATACACCAATAATTCTAGTAACTACTTCAACTGCTAAATCTCGATCTATTTGTGAACAACGGCCAAGTGATACTTTCAAAAAGATAGCTGCTAAACTTCCTTTAGATCCACTATCTATTTCAACTATATGTAAGAGTTCTCTGATTTCTTCACTCTCTCCAGCTAATTCCTGGGCTAAATGTTCTGCTTCTACCCTTCTACTCGCATCAATCGATAAATGAACTAATCTCTGTACTAAGTCTGCTTTCATAGTCCAAAAAAAAGAATGACATTTTGAGCTTACTATTCCGATTTGTGGTTGAATTAGTGTTGTGTTTATGTTTAAATTGGTTTGGATTAGGATTTTGAACTAGTTTGGGTTATTTTGGGTCGAATTGGTCTTTAGTATCGATGATCCAAATGTTTTTGTTCATCTAAAGTTACACTACTTATTGAGTTGAGTTTGGGTTGAGTTTAGGTGGGTATTGTGTTATGTTAATGTTAGGTTGGGTTGGGTTTGGGTTTGGTTGTGATGAGTTATGTTAAGTGTTGAGTTTGAGTTGTGATGGGTTGAATTGAATTGAGTTATGTTAATGCCAGGTTAAGTTGAGTTGAGTTATGTTAATGTTAATGTTAGGTGGAGTTAAGTTAAGTTGGTATTTTATTGATTAAAAGACAGGCATCTAAGTTAAGTTAAGTTATGTGTTATGTGTTATGTGTTAAGTATGCTAAGTGAGGCGTGTGAGGTATGTGAAGTGATGGGGTGATTTTGGTAGGAATCCAATGGGGGCTTAGTATTTAGACGGGGCTAGGTCTAGTTGGGGAATAGGCCTTGATTCTGTTTGAGATTTAGCCACTCTTTAGGTAGCTTATCATCTGAAACAGTATATATCTTAGGGCAGAGACAATTGTATGAGCATATACTTGCTGGCGCTTTTGTTAGGAATGGGTATGGCTATGGAGATAGATCCTACTACCTGTTCTGATGACCTTCTTTACTGCTTTGACAAGAACACAGACTCAATTGTCAAAACAGGCACACGGCTGGCCTCTGGAGCTAGTGCTTTAGCCGATCCAAATTCACCTTCCCAATGCAAAGTTCTTGGTGTCACTGAAGTAGTTCCGGCTGTACCCGGACTAGCACAAGAAATCAAACGAACTATTCCCGTCTCGGCCGTAACTAGTAACTCACTACCCTCCAGTTCAACCTACGCCAATTACTCCACTTCCTACTCCACTCCCAATACTAACTCCACTTCTTATTCCACTCCCAATTACTCCACTTATTCTACACCTTCTTCCGCATATTCCAATTATAGCTACCCATCTACCTACTCTAGCTACTCTACTCCGACCTACGCCTCCGGCTACAGCAGTCTAGGGTCTGCCAATCCTAAAGTCAGCGTTACTCCAGATAAAGTCTGTGTTGACCGTCCCAAACAAAGATACGTTAATGTCCAGTGCTGCCAACAACAAAGCTACCCAGTCGCTACCCCTCCCGATTCAGATCCATGTATATGCGAGCCAGGTGCCTACCCCGTATCTTTTGGTACTGCCAACCCCAATAACTCACCTTTCTCTTCCTCCAACTACTCCAGCATTCTCATTGCCGACATCAACAACATCATGCGAGTCAAGCAACTCCTCTAACCCAATCAATACTAACCCAAATACTAACCCAATATATATTTTGTTAAGATCTGTTATGCGTTATGTCAAGATAAGATAGGCTATGTGTTATGTTAAGATAAGATATATGTTATGCCATGATAAGATAAGATACATTAAGATAGGCTATGTGTTATGTCAAGATAAGATAAGATACATTAAGATAAGATCTAACCTAACCCAATACTAACCTAACCTAACCCAATACTAACCTAACCTAACCCAACTCAATACTAACCCAATCAAAACCCAAATCAAATATAACTGCTATAGTTTATTATGCATTGCTCATGAGATCTCTAATTTCACTAACAAGCTTACGTAAAGCCGGTGTATCAGAATACATCACAGTACAAGCAGCTACTGGCCTACTTAACCCACAAGCTTTACCTAGTGAAACTACATCAGGAACAAAGTAGAACGTTCTATTCTTGTTCTCACACAGATGTACTACTGGTTCTATAATAGCAAAAGGAGCCGTATCTCCTGCCAAGATAATCAAATCTGCATCTCCTTTGTTTAACTTCTTAATTGATTCGTTAATACCTATCTTTAAGACTCTGTTCTTCTTGGCTAGTGATAGTAGTGAATAAACCAATTTTGTGGCCTTTTCAGTGCACATTGGCTTTGCTTTTGAATTAGATTCAGATGACGTCATTTTCCTAATTTGGTAATCTTCTGTTTTTATCTTCTTTTCATTATTCTTATCTTTCTTTTCTGATTTGCTCTTTCTAACGCGTTCTTCCTTTACTGATTTAGCCATAAAAAAGAAAATTCTGCTGTAGATAACGTATTCAGTATCTTATCTTAAGTTAAGTGTGGTTAGTATTGGGTTGAGTTGTGTTAGGTTGTGTTGGGTTGTGTTAAGTTGATATTAAGTTGATATATTAAGTTAGGTTGATATTTAGATAAGATTGAGATAAGGTGTAGATAAGGTTTATATAAGATTGAGATAAGGTTTAGATAGGAGTTAGTATGGCAGTGGCAACTCAACCCAAACTCATACTAAACTCAAACTCATACTAAACTCAAACTCAAACTAAACTCAAACTCAATCCAAACCCAAACTCAATTCAATCCAAACTAAACTCTAACTTAGTACAAGTAGTCTACCAGTCTAGTTGTTTAGTCGGTTTGATTAGGGTGTGGTAGATATGGGGATGGGTTCTTTTGAGATTGAGGAGGCTGATGGGAGTGGCTGGTTGAATGGGTAGTGTGAATACTGGTTGAGATTGCGTGCCATGTAAGACACCTGCTTGGTAAATACCGAGGCTTCCGGAAGTAAGAAGACTCTCAATGGCATCTGAAACACCGATAAATTCGTCGGTTCTTTGGACGGTCGAATCAAGATTTGTCTTGGCTTGTGGCGATAAATAGTTGGGCATTTTCCGGCAAATGTCTTTTGTAAAAGAAGTAGCTGGTATCTTAGAGAAAGAGTTTCCCTTAGAAAGAGCTGAACAATCTTGGGATAATGTTGGTATTCTTTTGGAATTTACTGATAAGGAAAGAAAAGCTCTTTTATGTATTGATTTAACCCATGAAGTTCTGAATGAGTGTGAAGAACTAGGTATTAAGTGTGTAATCTCTTATCATCCTGTTATCTTTACTCCAGTGAAGAAGATAAACACAAGTACACCTCTTCTTTATCGTTGCATAAATTTAGGTATGTCTGTTTATTCACCACATACTGCTTTAGATGGTGCTTCAAATGGTATTAATGCCTGGCTAGGTGGACTACTAACTGGTACAGAACTAGTTGATACTTTTGGGTTTATTCAAGTCTTCAAGAACAAGTTAACTATTCAAGAGATTCTTAAACAACTAACTACCCATTTAAGTCTTACTTGTACCAGATATGCCCTATCTGATCGGCATAATTTAAGTACGATCCCAGAGATTATAGCTACATCGGCCGGTTCTGGAGCCAGACCACTTAAAAGACTAGTAGATGAAGGAGATCCACCCCGACGTGATAAACCTACCTCCTTAGCCCTAGCCATTACCGGTGAAGCATCTCACCATGATATTCTAGCTCTTAATAGAGCCGGAGTTTCACTTATCATTCTTGAGCATACTCGTAGTGAAAGAGGATTCCTCAAATGTCTTCAATCCATTCTCAATGCCAATCTATCAGGCGACTTCCCCATCTCCCAAAAGGACAAAGACCCAATCGAGTTCTTCCTCGCCCAATAAACACCAATACTAATCCAATTTACTCAACTTAACTTCATTAGCTACATAATTGCGTTAGTCGCTTAACTTCGTTATCTACTTACGATATCAACTTATGATATTCATCTAAACCAGCTACTTACGATATCTACTTATGATATCCAAATACTAAACCAACTAAACACACTACTTAGTATACACTACTTAATACTCACTACTAAACCAATACCAACACTAACTTAATATGACGTCATCTTATTTCAACTCAACCAATACTCACTCAATAGACAACTTCAACACTTATTCAACAAGTACTATTGGGTTGGTATTATGTTAGGATTATGTACTACACTTATCTACTTAACCCAACCCAATACTATCACAAACTAACCCAAATCTTATCAAAATCAAAATCACAACCCAATACAACCCAAATCAAAACACAATACCAAACCATATCTTATCTAAATCAAATCACAAACTATCACAAATACTAACACAATACCAAACCATATCTTATCTAATTCAAAACCTAAGTTAACGTAATGCAGCCCATCTTTATTTAGACATTCTCGACAGCCTCTTTCAGAACCATAACGGTCCCATCAAAGGTCTTTCGGAACCAGTTCATGGCCTCTTCCTTAGAAACACGTTGTCCCTTCCCCACTCGACTCTTGCACTTCTTCCTCTCACCAACTCTTCGTCCAGCCTTAGATAAGACTACTGAAAAGTCCATTCCAAAGATACCAATATTAGTATCATACTTAATCCCTAAATCAATATGTTCCTGAATACCAAAACCAAAAGTACCCGTTTCAGAGAAGCAAGTATTAACTAACTCAAACTCTTTAACTCTTAAACCAGCCTGTAAAACTTCAAAGGCTTTTTGACCTCTAACTACTACATTAGCTGCTATCTTTTCATTACGTCTGATACCAAAAGATCTAATTGTTATTTTAGCCTTACTAAATACAGGAGTTTGTCCCGTTAATTGCTCTAAAACTTTGGCCGCCTTATTTAACGTATCATCACTCTTACCAGTGCAAATGTTTAAGCAGACTTTCTCTAATCTGATGTTTTGCATGGGATTTTTGGTTGCTTGCATGACTAGGGCTAAAAAAATAAAAGAAAATAAGAGATTAGTTGATCTGGTGGTGGTTTAGTTAGAGATTGACTAGTTTAATTGGGGTCTTTTTATGACTCCTTTGTTTTGGACTTTGCAGATAAGACTTCCATCGCTTTTTATGACGTATTTTGGTATTTCTAGTGGGAATTGAGTGATAGGGAAGAGTGTATTGTTGGTTTTGAAGAAGAACTTGCCACTTTTAAGCTTGATAATGGAAGAGTTGGAGGTTTGGAAGGATTTTGGGATCTTAATGGCTAGGAAAGTAGGTGGAGAAGGGGTTAGTATTGGATTGGAGACGGGCATAAAATATTTAGATTTGCCCGAGTTGAGTTTAGATTAGTTTAGTTTAGTTTAGATTGGATTGAGTTGAGTGGGGTTGAGTGGAGGTGGGGTGGAGTTTAGATTGGATTGAGTTGGGTTGGGTGAGTAAGATAGGTGGGAATAAATTGATGCTTATGTGATGCTTATGTGATGTTTATGTTTATGTGATGTTTATGTGATAATGATGTGTTTGGTGGTGGGTTAGATAATAAGTTGGTGATTGTTGTGTCCCGGAGAAGGGATAGTACCTTTTAACTATACATACTAACCCAATACATACTTAACTATACGTACTCAACTCTGCTTCTTGGATTGGTATTGGATTGGCATTGGAATGGTATTGGAATGGTATTGGGTTGGGTTCTCTTTATCGTACGTCGTTTTGGGGTCTAGTTGGTAAACTTAGATTGTATTTATGTCGTGTTGGTAAGTGATTACTCGCCGTTTTCAATCCATACTAACCCAATACTAAACCAAGACATAATCATATTAGACACTCGTAGGATTTATTGAATGAAGAATCAACTGGGTATGACGGGTACAGCATCTAATTGGGTTGTTATCTTCTTAAACCAAGTAGATCATGTATTTGTAGTTGGAAATTGTACTCTACCAATCTCTAACTCAACCCACTACCAACTCAATAGAATGTTGTATATTGAACATCATAGTTAGTAAAGAGAATTCTTGCTGTTTTGAGATAGGAAGATAGGACTGGCCTATAATAGAAGTAGGTGCGGGAAATAGGCAGAGCAATAAGTAAATAGAATGGTATGGGGTGTTGTACAGTATGTGGGTTAGATATAAACCCATATGGTTTTTGGTTGAGTACAGCTTGGGTATGTAATAAAGATATGCTTGAATTGCTAAGTTATGATCAAATTGAGTTGGGGTTGGCATAAATACAGGTGATAGCAATAAATCATGACAAGTACAAAACAGGATGGACGTGTAGTAGTTGCTATATTTTGGATGGGATTAATGATGAGTTGGACTGTGCTTGGAACTATATGGTATGGAAGTACTCCTGATGTTCAGAGTCAAGAAGCCTTAGACTCTCCGGGAGATTATATGCCGTTTTGCCCTGATTATTTAAAGAAGTTTGGGTCAGTATTGGAAGCAATCTTTAAAGTGGTGGACCCGAAAGATGATCTGGTGAAATTCGATTGGTATCGTACTGAAGATGAAAGTAAGACGCCAAAACATGATATTTGCTTACAAACTCCGGTAGTTGAGTTTGTGAGTAATTTACGCGTGACGGACGAAAGTGTAGCGGTGGTTAATAACGTTTGGAAAAGAATTGCCGTTATCTTTGGGGAAAAGATTATTATTCGGAACTTCTCAGTTGATATGTCTTCAATCCATTTTGCATGGTTGTTTCAGTTTCTGCGGGTTATTCAGGCTAAAGAGATACATCTATTTGAGCAGATTCCGAGTAGCTTCACGAATCTGGACAAACAACATAGCCAGTTTGAGACGAGCCTGGGCTTATTGGCGCCAAAAGGAATCTGGCTCCCTATTGACCAGTTAGTCTTAGATTCCAAAACAGAATGTTCGCTTAGATTGTTGAAGGTGTTGTGTGCATGCCGTTCGATTGATATGGTGACTATTTGCCTGCAATACTCTAATACCCACAGAGATCTACAGCTGAAACAGCGCCTGATATCTGTTGACCATGAACAAGCTGAATATTCATTCACGATAGATAGTAGCTTTAGCATCCTAGCTGATAGACAACGGAAGTGGCGGGAGAATTGCCTGGGGAAAACTAAGTCAGAAGTCAAGTTAGAAATAGATTTAGGTCTGTTTAGGCCTTACATAGGCCCGGGCTGTGATGAAAGAATGATGGCCCGGCAAGATGAAGTTATTAAATGTATTGGAGACTTAAGAAGTCGGTCGGTGTTTATTAAATGCAGTTGCAATACGGAGGATGTGTTTACTGTAATGGACACTCGGATTTTACTTGAGCTGGTCCGCGCCATAGCTCTGAAATGCCCAAACGTACGGATAACACTAACTGGTTGTAATCACACGAAATCCAGTGGCAATTGGCACTACCTGCCTGCGAGTATGAGTGCCTGCCCAAGTTTGTACTTAGAAAACCCATCGGAAGACTTCTTAGAGTTCTTGACAGGTATGTCTAGTCTAGGCGGGACATCACAATCTTCTATCGTGCTAGGACCAGAGCATCGCCCAACTAATTTCGTAAGACTGTTAAATCTGAGAAAGGCTCTTAAACGTAACAAGCAGATATGTTTTCGAGCCGACTGGCACTGGCTCCTGTCTTACAGCGCGTGTGAGTCTGTTGACAGACGACAAAGAACACTTATCGCTAAAATCTTCAATCAAAATCCGATTGGCATTATGCCCATTCGAGCACACTGGTACGAAATCCCAATGAATCCGACTGACTTTATTAACATATTCGACTGGCTGGACACAAATAAGTGCCGCAATACACCTCGATTTACCCCAGCGCCAGATTACTGGAAATTTGCGTCTCACGCGCACCGAGACTATAGACTAATAATTGTTTGGCCATCAAGCTCCGAGCTTGTTACTACTAGTGAATACGTCACCATACGCATAGTCCAACTGCGCATGCTTAATGTACTCAAATGCCATGCAGAATACCCACCAAAGCTAGCCATCTATATGAACTATCGCTACTCACAGGACTCTTACCAGCTCTTAATTAATCTCTTAGCACACATTTGTCAGTCTTTTCTTAAACTAACCCGAATTGATATCTACCAAGTACGGGCGGAATATTGCAACCTAGCATTGCTGTGTAAAAACATCAATTTCATCTATCCCTACCAGATCGGCGTCAAAACCGGGCTCCAGATTGTTCTGCACTACTTCCTAATTGATAGCCAGGTTGAAGGTGATTGTAGCCTAAGTGCCACGAAAAGGTTCGTGCTCCCCAGCCGGTCATTATATCCAAATGCAGATAGGATCGAGTTTAACCTTACCACATACAATATGTTAGAACATCCTTAAGTCAAATCAAGTTATGCGTAGAGTTAGGCCGGATGGGAGTTGATGAGCGGCAATATAGAGGCGATAAGAAGTGGCGTAAGGTAGTGAGAGGTTGTTTAGATTAAATTCAGTGTGGGATTGTATTGAGTTGAGTTAAGTTAAGTTGAGTTGAGTTGAATTGAGTTGAGTTGAGTTGAGTTAAGTCGAGTCGAGTCGAGTCGAGGTATTGGGTTAGTGCTTGGTATGCCAATTAAATTGCCATCAAGCCTACATTGAACTCAAATCAACCTAAATCAAACCCACACAACCCAATACTAACCCTAATCAATAAATCAAACCAAATCATTACTAAATCAAACCAAATCATTGCTAAATCAAACCAAACTATTACTAAGCCAAACCAAACTAAACACAACCCAATACTAACCCAAACTAAACTAAACCATTAATACCCTATTATTTATTGAGCAGTAGCTGCTAAACAGCGGTAAGTCTCTTTTAAGGAGTGCACCGGCCCAGGAAACGAGGATAGAGACAGGCAAATCTTACTTTACTCACCAGCTCAGGGAGTAGACCCATAATGATTCTCTCAAATCCAAGTCCGTACCCGCCATGTGGACAAGGTCCATATAAAGCTTGGTCAGTATAGAACGTGTATGGAGCCGGGGAAATGTTCTCCCTTTCAAAGCCAGCCACCAGTTCGTCGTAGTTATGTATCCTCATGGATCCTCCTACGATTTCACCAACCTCGGGGAAAAGAAGGTCACAACTCAAGGTAGTACCATCTGCATCTTTAGCCATATAGAAACTCTTTAAGTGGGCTGGGAAATGGGTCATAAACACGGGCTTGCCCTGTCCCACGTGCTGGCAAATGTATCTTTCTGGCAAATCGGGAATGTCATCGTCGTAAGTGTACTGACTACCATCGTCTTTCATAAACTTGCCACTAGCTCGTAGAATATCAATGGCCTCCCGATGAGTTACTCTTGGGAATCCCTTATCAGGAACTGGGAACACTTTAGCCTCTAAACCAAATCTTTTGATGATGGGAAGACATCGAATGTTGAACCCGCTAATAATGGAGATAAGTAACTCTTCAATACTATCTAATAATTGATCAAACTCAATCCAAGCCAGTTCAGCTTCAATATGGGTGTACTCACTAAGATGGCGCCGAGTGCTACTCTTCTCAGCTCGGTAGGAAGAAGCAATGCAGTAAGACTTGTCAAAAACAGGCACAACTGTCTCTAGGTAGAGTTGTGAGCTCTGAGTAAGAAAAGCCGGTTCGTTAAAGTAATCTAGTTCAAAAAGAGTACTGCCCCCTTCCACTTGAGTTTGCACTAAAGTTGGAGGAGTAATTTCAACGTACTCAGATTGGTTGTAGTACTCCCGTATAATCTTTAAGAGTTCAGCTCGGGCTAAAAGCACAGCAGCTCTTTCAGGCTCACGTATTAAAAGATGGGCATGGTCCCACATAATAGATTCACTAGTGTCTTTGCTAATCTCAAAGCCGGGCGCAACTTTACCCCCAAAGATTTCACAAGTTTCTACGTCTACTTCACATGGGAATTGGTCTTTAGTAAAGTTGGCCTTAACAGTGCCAGTAACAACAACAGAAGTATGTTTGGTTAAATGCAACCGTTCTTCAGTGGCCTTGTAAATGCATTTGACTAAATAACCACCTGAATAGACAGTGAAAAAGGTCTTTTTACCGACTTCATGGACCATTCTAGCCCAACCTTTGAATTGGACACGTTGACCAATTGATTGTTCAGTTATATCTCTAATTTGTAGAATAAGTGGTGTAGCTGTTTCCATAAACTAAAAAAGAGACTTGGATTTATAGAATGAAGGCCAATCTTTTCCTTTTATGGAAATGTTTATTATAGTCAGAACACAATTCTAAAGTTATAGTACACAATTCTGAGGTTGTATTCTATCCTATACGTCCTATTTCATGCCAGCCCCATACTATAGTACCAACTGATTGGGTTAGCACTATCTTAATACCATCCTAACATCACCTTAACACTATCTCACTACCAAATCACTTATTTACTAACCGAACGCATTGGTATTGGGTTAGTAGAGAATTCAAGTCATATCAAATACTAACTCAGTAGCAATCGGATTAGCCTTGGGTTAGTATGACGTCATATTATCGTCTATATTCAATAAACAGCCGACTATGTCGTATCAAGGTCTGCCTTTAATAGAGTATGTACTGGGTTGGTATTGAGATAAGTAAAGACTTGCTACTTAGATAGTTGCTTATAATTCATAGATTATAGTTGATTTTATTACTTCATTGGGTTAGTATTGGCATTTGTTTATAGAAGAAAAGAGCTGAAATTAGTACATAGTTCAGTTAGTCTTGCCTTTGTAAGGACTAAATACTAACCCAACACACATATTCAAACTCAACCAGCTTATCTAAAGTTAGATCACTTAAAAATATAAACTAAGGCACAACTCAGAATAACTGATTTCGTCATACTTTACTGTAGTACTGTCATCCTACCACTACTCATTTCTCCCAACAATCAACCTGATCACTACTTAGTACACACTACTTACTATTCACTACTTAGTACACACTACTTAGTGCACACTGCTACTAACACGTAGCTTTAATAAAATCAGGGTGTTTTAACCAAAGTAATTTTTCATATCTTATCTGCAATTCGATATGACGTCATCTTATTTCAACACACTCACATTTATTTAATAAAAGACACCAATGCTCGTATCAAGGAATGTCTTTAATGGAGTATTTATTGGTTAAGTATTAAGTTAGTATTGAGTTAGTATTGAGTTAGTATTGAGTATTACATTGACCCCTGCTTAGACATATTTTAACATATATATAGAGTAGTTTTTTAAACCCTTAATGAAGTTCAACTTAATATCTAGATTTAACTGGATTTATTTATGCCTTCTAGGCTTAATGAACTGTTCTAGCAATCAGTCTTTTGATTTGGGACCTAATCCGCCTCCAACTTTTACTCAGTTACATTCTAGCCAGATAAGTACATCGGATGCTTATAATGACCCTAGAAATAATCAACCAATATACTCGGCCCCATTACATCATAATCAGCCAAGTTCATTAGAAGAACCTAAACAGCCAATAGTTACTCGACCAATCAAACTAATTGATCCACGACAACCAAAGATGAATGCCCCTGGTACTTCAAGTTCTAGTGCCGGTGGGCCAATTAAATCTCAAAAGGCTAAACTTGGAACTTCACCTTATGACAACCCTAAACTTAGTTTATGGCGACCGAAACCAGGCCTATCAACAACCAAAGAGCAAAAGACAGTAATCCAATTTTCTAATCAGAGTAAGTTAGTCGTCTTCCTATTGACTCCTTCGTTGCCACCTCTAAATGAGCTAAACGCTAGTCTCAGAGTCCTTATTATTCGCATTAGGTGCCAAATTAACAAACTTAATGGACTGCATATTCTTGAGCTGATCTGTCCTAATTTAGTGAGCTTTGAAATTATCAAAGAGATTGACAACTCGATAAGTACTTCATGCGATAGAGCAGAAGAAATAACCACTCTGTTTAAACATACAAATCTACACACTCTAACTCTGAATAACAATCGAATCAGTAAGTTTCAAGTTGATTGCCTCAAATGCTTCCCAGCCCTAAAAGCTCTTAGTCTCAGACATAACGGTTTAAAGCACTGTTTTTTCGGTGCGCGTTCTATCTACCAACATACTGGACTCAAGTACTTGGACCTAATTGGTAATCCTGGACTAGACTGTCCGTTGTTTGCAAGCCCTGATGTTTTAAAGTACGCTGTCGCTTTATGCTCTAATACTGATATTAACCACGGCTATGACACTAAAATATCACATGCCCTTGATCTCCTCTTTACTCACATGGCAACCTATGAATGTCTAGATGGTCATTCCACTCGAATGAACACCACTCTTCAAATACTCAAAATAGATACATTATTCATTTCTCAGACGACCTATCCGATCAACTACTTCTTTCTAGGTTTAGAAGAGTTAATCATCAACAACCCACTCAAAACTTGCCCACACTACACTATTTCCGCCCTACTCAGACCAAATCGGCATCTTAGAATCTTCAAACACGGTGTAGAAGAGTATCCTCCGTATGCGATAGTAAATGGGAATGAGTTTTTGCTTACAACTTTTGGACCAGATCTATTCATCAACAACACACCCAGCCAGCCTAACCAATCCCATTTCATTCTTAAAAGCCAGGGATTAACCATGAACTACCCCCGACACCCAAACACCTCTCCTATTGAGTGCCTTCATATCAAAACATCGAAGCCCTGGTCTTATACCCAGATTTGGCAGTATATTTCCGATTTGCCTCAGTTGAAAATCCTCTCTCTTGATATCCTTAGTGTCTCTGAAGTCATTACGTTGCAACCCAATAGTCTTACTAGGCCTGCTCCCGAAAGTGAATCTTCTACATCTAACAGGAACATGCAAGCCACACCCGCTAAATTTCCTAATCTTACTACCTTGGTGCTCAAAGGAGACCCACTCTACCTGGAAATAATCTTCTATGCGCCGAAACTAGTAATTGTGGACTACCAAATGGAAGACCAACTTGCCATCCAAATAGAGGAGACAAGTTATAACGCCTTGTTAGACTGTGCTGAACACTATTCCACACCAACTCGCCTAATCATAACTTTCCGCGACTATCATGGGGCCGGCCTGTTCTTTTACAAGTACTTAGCCCTATTCACGTGCGTCACTTCCATAAAGATATGCCTACCGCAACCTTATACCTTCGAAAATGCCCAAACTCAGGACTTGGCTATCATCAATGCGCTTGGCGATGCCCACAGGCAGTTAGCCGACAAACTAAAGCCACTGGAAGTGCTAGAACTTGTTCACTCACAGCCATCTACGCTAACCTTTGCTAATCCGGCTTCTGGCAATCCAATCGCCTCCAATTCATTAGCTGATATTGACTCACTCACAACCATTAACAAGATTACTATTGGTGGTGCAGGTATTGATGAAATTCTCCAGCTATTTAACACGGCCAAGCCAATCATATGGTCAGCCGGCATCAAAGACTTTAATATCTGCTTTACCGAATTCCGCAACAGCCATACCAATATTGGTGTTGCTTTAAGGGGTATTTTAAATAGTCTCTTCAAGCCAACTTCTAGATTTGATAGCACGTCTAGCGCTACACCGAGTTCTTCTAATACCACTCCTACCAGACCTGCAACCCCATGCCCGCTTAACAGTATCCACATAAACTATCAACCTTCTGCCTACAGCGACAATATAATTCTTCCCCACCTACAAGCAGTCAACATCTTTGTTAATATAAGAGATATTTTAGACTCCCTCTATCACTATACCACTTCACCTCGGCTTTCGTTCTTCCCCGTTCTCACCTGTTATTTATCCGGACCAGGATTCACTAAACTGCCCGAGATTGTTCTAAACGAATCTCTGCCTCACTTCTTTGCCAAGTACCAGGTTGACGATACATCCCGCCTCCAGTATTTAATGAGAAAGAGAGCAGGTTTATCTCTCTACCAGTACAGGCCAGGCCGGATTCCTGTTTATTTCAACACCAGGGACACGCAACAGCCAAGTACAGGCGCCAAGCGGTCGACTATTCTTTATCTTCTTGTTGCTACTATTCTTTCCACCAGTCCAGAGAGTGCATTCGAAACCTCTTTCATCTGGACCCTTAGCGATCTCCCCAAAAGTCAGCCAACAGCCCCAGCACCAAACAAGGTTCCTCTCAACGAGCCATATCCTAATCCATACGCCAATCCACAACCCACCACATACCCCAATCCGCAGCCCAACCCACAACCCAATCCACAACCTAGCACATACCCCAATCCACAACCCAATCCACAACCAAACACATACCCCAATCCATATCCCAATCCACAACCAAACACATACCCCAATCCATATCAACCCTCTACTTCTAACAGTACACAGTCGGCCTTATCTGTACCCAATGATGAGCAACAAACCAGCTTGTCTGATGATGATTCGGTAATTGAGATTTCTGATGATAGCCAGCCTAACACGCCATCTTCCTCAACCGTTACTCAACCAACCCAGTTTAGTGCTGATCAGCAAGCCACAATGTCTCACCTGAAACAAGAATATAATGATTGGCAATCCACCACAGCTTATCCAGCTCAACCATCCTCTTCAACTTACCCGAGTCAACAACAAGCCCCAGATTATTCTACCCAGCAACCACATCCAGGCATCTACTACAACCAACCCTACCATATGCAACCCTACCACAACCAACCCTACCACAACACCTCTTCCACTTCTTACACACAATTGCAGCATATGCAGCCAGTTGCCCCTCAGCCAGATCCTAATCAGCCATCTAGTTCTGGCCTACAGCCGCAGGCCATGCCATCTTGCTCCAACCAATTCTATCCTGATCAATGCTATTCTGACTCTTCTACCCCGCAAGCACCATTAGACTTCACTAGGCAAGATGTTACTCAGTCTTTCCCAGGCCAGGAAATCACCCCAGGATACGCCAATCAACCGACTAACCAGCAGAATAATTCCTACAATGCATCGCTTGATCACCAGAATCAAACACACCTCTACCCTATGAATGCTAATCAAGACTGCTCAGGCCAGCCATCTACTTCTTCCCATACCGCACAGGATGTGTTAGCTCGACCATCCTGCAACTGGTCTCAAACCACCTCTTCTTCTTTCGGCAACGCCCCCTACAACACCCAACATGATAATTCTGCCCCAGGCAACGACCCCACCAATCCGGCCTTTACTAACCAGCCCCAACAAGGACCCTACTACAACCCACCACCCCCATACTATAGTGCCCACCATACTGTTCACCCCCCGTGCCCACCACAACCACCTCAATAAATCCTAATCTAACTTAATAGCTCTAAAAGACCCAACAACCCAATACTAACTATGATGTTCAATATACGACATTCTATTGAGTTGGTAGTGAGTTGAGTTAGATTGAGTTAAAGATTGGTATAGTACAATTCCCAACTACAAATACATGATCTACATGGGCTAAGAAGATAACAACCCAATTAGATACTGTACACATCATATCCAGTTGATACTTTATTCAATAAATCCTACGAGTGTCTAATATGATTATGTCTTGGTTTAGTATTGGTTTGGTATGGATTGAAAACGGCGAGTAATCACTTACTACCCCAATACTAACTCAATTCAACTCTAATCTTAATCTTAATATAATCCAATCCTAATATTAATCCTATTTTCAAAATAAAGCAAACCCTTTCCCATTCCAAATTCACTTAGCTTTTAAACTAGTTTTTATTTAATCCACACTAACTCAACAAATCTTATCATATCTTAACTTAACTTAACCAAACTCAACTTAACCAAATCAACCAAATCATAACATAACTCAACTCAACCATATCATATCTTAATCATAACTCAACTTAATCATATCATAACTCAAGTCACAACTCAACTCAATCATATCTCAACATAACTTAATCATAACTCAACTCAACTCAACCCAAATCATAACTTAACCTAATCATATCTTTATTATCGCAAGAAGTAAACCTAGCTTAAGCCGAACATCACTTAACTTAACTTAACTTAACTCAACCCAATACTAACCCGTCGGTCCGGCCATTAGATCTATAGTAGGCTTCCGACTACTCCTTCTTGGGGCGCTTGTTAGTCTTAGGCGAGCGTTGAGCTCGTTTAGGGCGCAGACCTTTTCTAGCCCGGTCCGATGCCGTAGGTAATGCCGCCTTCTTCTTGGTAACGGCCGTTGCCCCTTCGGATTTAGCAGCTGCCTTAACCGCCGGCTTAGCAGCTATCTCTTCCGGCGAGTATCCCATCTTCTTAATCCGGGCCACATAGAACCCATCCGTGTTGTGCACGTGGGGATAGAACCGCCGCGTAAGTTTCAAACTCGGATGGAAGATCTTCCCCCGGTAAGAACTAAACCCATTCTTCCCAATCGGTAACTCCGTATCAACTACCTTAGCATTCTTCCTCTTCCGCAAGAGATAGTCAACCACACACTCATTCTCCTCCACCAGAATAGAACAAGTCGAATAAACCAGCACTGAATTAGCCGGATCTTTAGGATTCAACATATCAAATGCCTTTAAAATCAACTCTTTCTGCTTCTCCTGCAACCGCCGCACACTCATAGCATCCTTATTCCGTTTAGCCGCCGGATCTTTAGCCAGAACACCCGTCCCAGAACAAGGTGCATCCAATAAAACCTTATTAACCCTAGTATAAGGCAAAGCCAAAGCATCCATAACCGTACAAATAGTATTACTCACTCCCATCCGTTGTAAATTAGCAGCTAAAGCAACTGCCCGACTAGCACTAACATCATTAGCATAAATAGTACCCTTATTACCCATAACAGCGGCTAAATGAGAAGTCTTACCCCCTGGGGCAGCACACATATCCACTACTACATCTTCTGGTTGGGGAGATAAAGCCAGGACTGGTAGCATAGAAGAAGCACCTTGAAGAATATACTGGCCAGCTAAATACTCAGGTGTAGCACCAATTGGCACACTGCTGTTATAAACTACGGCTCCGGCATCACTCCAATCAATCTTTTCTAGATTAACCCCACGATGGGTTAGTTTTTGGATCAAACTACTACGAGTGGTTTTTAAACGGTTGGCCCGAATAGTTATAGGCCGTTGGGCATCAGAAGCCGTTATAAAAGCATCTTTTTCTTCACGATTGAACATTTCTGTTATTTTCTCTAAAAGATAGTCATTGTACGTTGCTTCTAATGGATTAATGTACGTATCAATTGGTTCAATCTCTGACGTCATGCAAATTTTGCACTGAGATTGCCGAGTTCTATTTATAACTGCTAAATAAGACACCGGCAAAGGTAGAATGGGCTTGTTGGTGGCCGGATCGTTGATTTAGAGCTAAAGGTTCAGTCCTGACTTGTGGTGGCCCAAGATCTCTTAAGTGCGTCTCAAGAATTCGTTCACCCGCACTGAGGTTCTTATAATGGAGGCGGTGATAACTGCGGATTTCAGTGGCATTCTTAGTAACAAGGTAATTGGCCAGAACACTCCAGTTTTTACCGATATGCGGGAAAAGAAGGGCAAACATTTGTCGTTCATGCACTTGCCAATGTCCATCAGGGGGTGGATCTCGTTTCTTATCGGGACGTGGGGGTCGAGTGGGTGGTTTTTGAATAAACTTCTTATAGTACTTGTAATAAGCTCTGATATCTCCTTCTGTTTTGCCTTTAATACTCTCTATGTACAGGGTCCATTTCTTGCCGAGGGTAGGGAAAAGAGCGGCAAAGAGGTCCTGGTCGGTTTGCGTCCATTCGCGTTGCACAAGGTCTTTTAAGTCTACATCAGCTATTTTACGAGTATCCCGATAAGCATTCTTCCAAAGTTTAAGACGAAGAGTATACTTCTTATGATAATAAAGATGAATTACTTCAGCTGGTTTACGCCAGGGTAAGAACTCACGATTAATCCGGACAAAGTCTTTACCCACTTCAGCAAAGGCTTTCTTTAAGAGATCGTCTTCTCCAAGGTAAGTATAGACTTGACTGTGCTGAGAATGATGAGCTTGTGGGTCTTTAATAGTTGTATCGTAGAGGTAAAGAGTTACTTGGGCTGGAGTAATATCTGGGATCCATGCTTCATTAAGTCGACTTCTTTGTTCAGCGGCCATAAGGACTTCTGGTACTTCTTCTCTTAAAGTACCTAAGGCAGCTAGTTCTGGGCACTGGGACCAGAACTCAATTTCCAAAGGAAGTCGAGTGGCCGTCGGTCGGCGGAGGGCAGCATTAATATGATAGACTCGTTCGGCCTCTTCTTGAGCTACTTTAGCTTTAGCCAGGATATAAGCATAAACAGGAGGAATACGTAAACTACCGGATAGTTCTGGACTAGTAGATGGTTCAGGTTGGTGGGGCCAAGTACTTAGTTGAAGGGAAGGAGAGTCTTGGTCATCTTCTGGAGTATGAAGGATTCCGGGTATTTCAGAAGTACTACTAGTTAAGTTACTAGTGACTGGACTGGTTGGTTTATCGTTTAGTTCATTATTTAGTTCGCTAGTCATTGTCTTAGTCATCTCTTCTGGTGCACGACTTAATATTAAATTGGGCTGATTTGGAGGAGTATAGGTATTATCATTAGGATGTAATGGTTGGGGTGGTATTATTGAGTTGGGATGAGTATGTGTGGTGTTAGTATGAGTAGTAGTGGAGTTAGTAGCGGAGTTAGTATGTGTAGGGGTGGAGTTAGTATGTGTAGGGGTGGTTTGAGTGGTAGGGGTATTGAGTTGAGCTGAGTTAGTAGTGGTGGGAGTGGAGTTAGTAGTGGTGGGGGGAGTAAGAGGTCTTTCTGGTAGACCTTCTGGATGGGTGTAAGTGGTGGGAGAGAGTGTGCCTCGGACGGGGACTCGGTCTGAACGTGGCATATCTTCATACGTGCGTCGTTGGAATGGCCTTCTCCTGGCTTGTGGCCAATTAGACCGTCTATTTGGATCGTAATTGGAGAAATATCCACCAGAACTACTAGTAGAATCTCTAGGCATATTAGAACGACCTCCCCTTCTACTATCTCTAGAATAAAACCAATCTTTACGTCGATTACCATCCATAGCGAAAAAGAAATTTGACATTGGTGGTGTAAATAGTAGTTGAACTGGTTTAGAGATTAAGTAAAGCATGTAGATTGTCAAAATATTTTGGATCTTATCATTTACTCACTTGTGAATCTCTGGGTTAAATCTGGCCGATTATGTTTTTATATCTATTAAACTCTATTGCCAAAAAGCTTTATTGAGTTGAGTTGGTTTGGGTTGGGTTGGGTTGGGTTGGTTTGGTTACTTTGGTTTAGTTTCGGATTATCTTCTTTCCTTTTATAGTATTTTTCAATTGGGTTAATCTTAATCCTATCTTATCTTAATTGGTTTTGATTTTGATTTTGAATTGAGTTAAGTTAGTATTGGGTTAAGTTAAGTTGAGTTAAGTTAGGTGGTAGTGGTATTAGTAAAGTAGTGTTATTAGTAGTAAAGTATTAGTAAAGTAGTGTTGTTAGTAATATTGTATTAATAAAGCATTGTTAGTAGTAGTAGTAAAGTAGTGTTATTAGTAGTAGTAGTAGAGTATTGAATAAACAATTCTTAAGTCAGATCAATTTGGTTTTGTTAAGCAAAGAATACTAATCCAATCGGATAATTAAGATGTTTTAGAATGGTTGATGCTTCTTTCACTAACTTAATTCTGATCTAATCTAAGACAATAAGAACTAGTACTTAAGCATTAGTTTGTTATTGGGCGGTGGCAGTCTAGCCTAATTCAAGCCTTCTACTTGGTACGTAGTTAAGCCTTCAATTCTTGGTTAGTTATGCTTAATAGCGTAATGGTTACCCAGTAGCTACGCCCCGCCCGGACTTGATGAGGCATTATGACCGGAAGAGTCCATAAAGAATAAGCTTTCAAAAGGCTTTAAAACTCTCTGGTGGCTACCGTTAGACAGCAAGATTGGGGCACTGTCTAGCCGCCACTAGTGTAGTAGGTACAGGAGAGGGAGAAGAAGGTGAAAAATCCAGTACCCCTCGTCCCATAAAGATTCCTTGTTTGTAGTAAGGCAGCTATTTCCTTAGTTCTACTCAAACATGCGTGCCCCCGGTTGTGAACCACTGTTACTAGTGGACTAGCAACTGCGCTGGTAATTGCCATTATCTGCCAAGTAATGGATGTAGTGCCGGCGATAATTTGGATCGCGAGAGGGTCACTCGTCCTCTCGGAGTAGGAACAGTTGTGTCCGCATTGTCTCTCATAAGAGTTGACATTCGTTCCTCGGATTGACACTGACAATAAATTGAACCTCACACCCCAATCGTATCAAGTTGTTATAGTTATATTATCTTACTTCTCTTATCACATACTAACTCCAACTCCACTCCACCTCACCCCAACAACCACCCACCCCAATACCAACTCAATACCAACTCAACTCCACCTCTACCCACCCCAATACTAACTCAATACCAACCTCTACTAATCCTAACCATATCAGCTACTAACCCAATTTCTTTTTGTGTTTTTATGGTCCTAAGAGAATCTCTACAAGCTGAAGCTGCCCGATATGCTGAAAAGTATGCAGAAAAGACCGGAACTACTATTGTTGGGGTTAAAGGTAAAGATTATGTTGTTTTAGCGGCTGATACGCGTTCTACTAATGGTCCTATTGTTGCTAACAAGAACTGTTCTAAGATTCACAGAATTGCAGATAATATCTTCTGTTGTGGAGCTGGAACTGCAGCTGATACGCGTTTTACTACTAAAATGGCTGAGTGTTCAATGTATCGTTATGCTTTGAAGTATGATAAGGTACCTCTTTTGAGCTACTGCATTAATATCTTGAAGAGACACTTGTTTAGGTACCAGGGATATGTGCAGGCTGCTTTGATTATAGGTGGAGTAGATGAGACAGGTCCAGTACTTTGTGGTATTCATCCACACGGTAGTATAGATAACTTACCCTATACGGCCTTGGGATCGGGTAGTTATGCGGCTATTGGTATGTTGGAGAGTCAGTGGAAAGAAGATATGAGTGTGGATGAAGCTATTGCCTTGGCCTGTAGTGGGATTGAAGCTGGAATTCAAAATGATCTTTACTCTGGATCTAATATTGATCTTTGTGTTATCAAAACTGACCAAGAAAAGGTCTTCATAACTGAGTACCACCGGCCTTATAAGGTTGTGGGTAAGAAGGAAGAGAAAAATGCCCAGTACAGGTACCCTCGTGCTAGTGTACTTGTTAAGAAGGAGGAAATCATTAATCTCGTTGATATTCGAGATGCCCTCAATCCAACTCAATAAATGAAGTGTTATCTTAAATTGGGTTATGTTATGTTTGGTTTAGTTTGGTTTAGTTTGGTTTAGTATTGGTATAACAATCTAAAACGTATCTTAATCTTATCTTAATCTTATCTAAATCTTATCTTAATCTTATCTTAATCTTATCTTAATTCAAAATCATCAGTGGCAGATACGGTAAGGTTCTTAATATACATAACTGTAGGTTGTCATACGACCACTACCACTACTAATATGATTACTGATAAGATACTACACTACTCAATACTCACTACTAAACCAATTTAAGACTAACTTAATATGACGTCATCTTATTTCAACTCAACCAATACTCACTCAATAGACAACCTCAACACTTATATCAAATACTATCTTCAATTGGGTTAGTATTATGTTGGTATTATGTTAGTATTATGTTAGGATTGAGTACTACAACAACATAACACAACACAACATAACACAACACAACCCAATTAGTAGCAATCGTATGAAGACATTAACCTAGTTTATTTACAGATCTAACTATCTAGACATCCTAATCCAACTCAACTCAACACAACCCAACCCAACCCTAACTCAACTCAACTCAACTTAACAGGATATAAACGTCTTCAATATACTATACTAATGTAATACTATACTAATGTAATATGATTATTTACTTATTAGGAGTAGGGAAATCTAGATCGAGTTTTTGAACGTCCTTTTTGTACTTCTCTTTAAGATCAACGTACATTTTGGTGAGCTTATCAATTACGGACTTATCTCGGAGTTGGACTTCTAGTAACTTTCGCTCGGCGGCTTTCTGGGCCTTTTCGACCTCTTCGGCCACTCGAGTGTTGATGGCTGTACGGGCAGTTTCCTTTAACTTAGTAATTGTACGGATGAGCTTATCTTCATACTCTTTTTTGATAGTAGAGATTCTTTGATGATATTGTTCTTCTAGATCGCGTATCTTGAGTTTATATTGGGCTTTTAGTTCTTTAATCTCTCTATCTTTGGTTTTTTGAACTTCTTTATCAATTGTTTCTTCGAGTGTTTCTTGCATATCTAAGACTTTGCTTTGTAGGTCTTTAAGTCGAGATAGCTCTTGTTCGACTGTATGTATTTTACTAAGTTGTGAAGCAGAGTCGTATTTGGTTCTAAATGGAGTAAATTCACGATGTTTAGGCTTATTAGGAGTTGTATCAATATTAGTAAATTCAATTGAGTCTTTGAATTGACGTTCTAAGTCATGTACTTCATTATTACGTCGGAAGTCCATCCTAATAAATAAAAAAGGAATGTTTAGTATTGATTAGTGGGGTAGAGATAAGGATAGGGGTCGGAAGGGGTCGAATAAAGGTCTAGATTTAGTGGGGAGGTGTAGGGTTAGTATTAGTAAGGAGATAAGTGAAGTAGTTAGGTTTAGTAAATAAAAAGAACTACTATACAAGGCAAACAGTTGATATGCAGGTGTATTGTGTTGGGTTAGAGTTGGAGTTGAGTTTGGAGTTGGAGGTGGAGGTGGGTTGGAGTTGAGTTGAGTTGAGTTGGAATTAGGTAGTTAAATTTTCCTTTTATGGCAATTGGGTGGGTAGTGATAATAAAGTGGGTAGTTATTCCGTGTGTTTATTATGAAGGGTTGTGTTTATTGTGGATGTATGAGGAAAAAGAGTATGGGTTTATTGAACTATTCCGGGGTTTACGGGCTGATGCAAGTATTGATATTCTGCAACGAGATCCGATTACGATGCGGACGTACTTGGGATTGGCGGTGGAATGTCTTAATAGGAAGAAGGACTTTATAATGGCTGTTGTACTAACGGAGACAGATAAGATGGAGGTGGAGGCTGAAAAGTCAGACCATGTGCCGGCTATGTATGTGCAACGAGGGACGGCATATTTAGCAGAAAGTATTAATCTTCATCGCTTCTATGTTTCACAAGCAAATCCGAATGTTATGTGTATTGTTAAGCGGTCGGTTAAGGATCCAATTAAACAGGTCCCGATTTTGAACATTTATTACTACATGGTTCATTTGGGTAGTTTACGGGCTTTGTTGCAGCCGTTACTGTTGAGTAACTTTAATGAGGGCGGGAAAAAGATAGAGGACTCATTGGAAGCCTTGTCTGAACTTAATAAGGTCTTTCCAATTATCATGCGAGCTGAATGGATTGGTAGTGAGGACGACTACTTTCAGAATAGTATCTTTCATGAGTACTTACAAACCAACTCAATTATTGCTAAGATAACAGATGCTAGGCAAGAAAGTGAAGAGAGTGTTAAGATAGAACGAAGAATCTTCTTTGTTTTCTTTGCAGTGCTAATTAGTTGTACCTGTTTGTCTTTTGTGGGGCAGTTAGTTGTTGGAGTTCTCACTTATCTTTCAGCCCTCAACCACTTGATTTTGGTTTTGGTTTCCATCGGACTAATTTACATCAACAAAATCGTTTAATTTGAGTTGTGTTGTGTTGAGTTGAGTTAGTATTCAGTTTAGTATTCAGTTTAGTATTAGTACTGGGTTGGATTGGACTTAGTATTAGGATTGTATTGAGTTAGTATGGAGACATATTTAGTTATAATAAAGTAGATTGAGTCGTCTAGTGGCGTACTCAGATAAATACTCGAAAGGCACGATCGGTGTCTCCTGTTGATATGCAGTTTGAACTATTTGATCAACTAGGACGAGCCTTTCCTTGCTTGGTGGCTGCCACTTTAATGCAGCATACTCTAGGCATAAATAAACACTTAGAAAGACCTTTTGCGCCTGCTTATCATCTGGCCTGATTAAAGACCGAATCGAATGGACAAACTTGGCTAAGTTCTGAATCTTGGCCAAGCTTTGAGTGCTTTCTTGTAAATGCAGTACTAATGACTCCAGCCATAAGCGATAGGCCTGGTGGCGATTCTGGTTGTAAAGACTGTCCCCTTGTCTCTTCAGCTTTTGCGCTAGTGCTAAGGGATCACTCTCTGGCCATAATCTTTCAGGTCGTAAAAAGCTCATGTACCCATACTTGGTTACTTTCGGGTCACAAAAGTACCCAGAACCCAATAGTCGGCTGTAAATACCAGCTAACTCACTGGCCGACTGAGAATGTTTGTGTGACAAACTGATATCTTTTGTTTTTAAGTTAGATTGGGACACTTTTGGTGAGACATAACCAGAAGAAGAAGTAGGTGTATTGGAGTAAGGAGAAGAGTTAGAAGAGGAATTAGAGAGTGGCATAGGACAAAAATAAACTAGATACAAATAGAGAGAGATGTGTTTAGCAAAATATTTAATGAACCAATCTAGCTATAGTATGAAGATTGAATTTGGCAGTCTAGTTCGAGGGAGTGATAAAGATAAAGAGGGTCAAAATTATCAATCTGAAATTAAGTCCATGATGTATGCTTGTGGTGACGTTAGAAACCCTAATAAGGCGTCTAGTATTTATTTAGAGCAGATTGTGTATGCACATATCAAAACACTTTTAGATAAGAGCTACGAGATATCACGGCTACGAGGAAGTAAGCAGGTGGGTATAGAGGATATTGTCTTTGTGCTACGCCGCAACCCATGCCGAGTTAAGAAGCTATCAAATTACATTGTTTTCAAAGACGTACGTAATCGTGTTAACAAGGAAGTGGTTGCTTTGAATGCCGCTAAAGAGGCCAAATTAAGCTATAGCTGGCTGCCCCGGAATATTTATGATAAGGCCAACGAACTAAAAGACCGACTCTATGCCATTGATCGGATGACTGAAAACATGTCCAAAGAAGAGTATTTAGACTTCACTGAATGTCGCCAGGCTTCGTTTACCTTTCGCAAGATCAAGCGGTTTAAGGACTTTTTGGGGACAGATTATAAGCTAAAAGACGAAGTGGTAGATATCCTGGGCTTTGTTGCCTGTGAGGTTATCTTTGATATTGTCAGTATAGCGAGTGAGATCAGTGCTCGCAAGAACAAAGGCCAGAGTGAGCAAGCCCCGGTTGAAGGAATGTTCAAAGAGAAGTCCATGAAAGTCCCTATCACTATCCCGGACATTGACGAGGCCTGTCGCCTGCTCAAAGAACAAGGAGTGATCTACTAGTTGCTCCATCCAAATCAACCCTATATTATACTATACCATCTTAACTTGATACTATCTTAATATTATCTTAACTTAACTTGATACTATCTTAATATTATCCTAACTTAACTTAATACCATCTTAACACTATCCTACCTTAACATAATACCATCTTAACTTGATACTATCTTAACATAATACCATCTTAATACTATCCTACATCAACACAACGTTATCTTAACACTATCTTAACTTGATACTATATTGACATAATACAACATTATCCTAACTTAACTTAATACTATCTTAACTTAATAAGCAACTAATGTGTATGGATTAGGAAGGGTTTATTAATTATTCTGATCGTAAATTAAGTAGTTTGGATGAGGCTATCTTGATAAGATCGGATTGGAAAGCATCAGATTGGATTAGGAGTTTGAGCTCCTCTGGACTTCTGTTTTCCTCTGAAAGGTAGAGGGCGGCTAAACCAGTAACGTACGGTGCAGCCATAGAAGTCCCCGAGAGAACGCGGGTGGTTCCGTTAGCATATGCACTAGTTATCTCTACTCCGGGCGCAAATAGATCAACACACTTGCCGGTGTTGCTGAAAATAGCAATGTCGTCGGTTCGGTCAATGGCGCCGACTGTGATAGCACTTTTGATTGATGCCGGGGAATAGCTACAGGCGTCTGCGGAGTCGTTACCACCGGCCACAATCACGTGAATGCCTTGCTTGACGGCCCGTTTCACAATCTCTTGCATAATGCTGCTCTTGACTCCACCAAGGCTCATATTAATAACGGTTTTAGGCTGCTTTTCCTTCTTGAGCTTCTTATGGTGCTCCTTGATCACGTAAATCAGCCCCATAATAGTATGCTCAGTTGTGCCTTGGCCATTAGCATTAAGAATCTTCACGGGAATCAACGTAGCCTCTTTGGCCATACCAAAAGTCTTACCCGCCACAATGCCAGAACAGTGCGTACCATGGCCATTGTCATCGGCAGTATCAACTGTGCCATCAATTAGATTGATTCCTGATTCAACCTGCCCGGAAAGTTCTGGATGGGATTTGTCTATGCCGGTATCGAGAATGTAAACGAAAACACCTTTGCCGGCCGTCTTGGGGTAGATATAGGTATCCAGAGAATAGACCATCTTTCTTTGGGACATTCGACTGAGCCCCCAGGACTCGGTGCTTTGAATCACCAGGCTGTCGCTAAAGGCCGGGTAGTGCATGCGAGTAAAGATGGACGCAAAGTTTCCAACACTAGCCATGGCCTTCTTGCCAATTAAAGGCAGCAGAGGATGGGGTCGCTTGCGGTTCTTACGATAGATCTTCTTGATCGGGTGTTTGCGGAAGTGGCGGCGGCCCTTAAGAATATTGTGTTTCGCCTGGTACAGGCCATCGCCCCAAATCATGGCGGCTTCTAAATCTCCCAGTGACTCCCAGGTTATATTGTTGTCCTTGGCCGGAAGCGGTGTTTCGTAAACTTGAATGGCATAGGTCTGATCTTCTTCAACTGCCATAACTTCAGGGCGCTGCTTTAGCTGCTCTACTTGGTTGGTCGTGAGCTCGCCGGCATAGCCATACACGCCCGGTGCAGTGAATCCCTTTAACTCCAGGGGATCTACTCCCAGACTTGAAATCCATTCTTCATGGCTTTGAATGGCCATGGCGCCCACTCCTTCCCGGAGAAGCACCACGTGCCTTTTGGCATTACACAATGCAAAGAGCATCAGCAATCCCCACAACATGCCAGACAGCAGGCCAGACAATAAATATACCAGCTGAAACAGCGAAACATATTGTGTTTTAAGTATTTATTGGAGATTAGATCATTGTCATATACGCGATTCCTCCAACTAGTGTTAGAAGAGACGTTCCAATAGAAACATAGGAGATGGTCTTCCTGGTGCGTTTGCTGAAGAATCCTTGATCTAGATGTTCAGCGTTCAGTTTGTTACTTGGAACAATGACGTATCGGCCTGAAACTTTTCGCACGGGCTTGCTTTCCTCATCACTACTGGTGTCTTCGCGTTCTTCAAGTAACATCTCGCCTAAAACGACCTTGCGGAACTCCTGGCAGATGTTAGCTGTTGTGCGAAGCTCGTCTCTGATAGCCTCGATTGCTCGGTCTAAATTAAGACCCTCGATGCCATCGGTGGCAACGCCTAGATGGTATATCAGCTCGGTCTTCATTTGGTCACACATGTAAAGAGCATGTCGTTGGCCAATGAGAACTTCAACAACGTAGTGGTAGAGACCTAGAGTTAGAGTGCTGATGGGGTCATTGCAGCTTAAAGCGTATTTAAGAGCGGGGATCAAAACAGCGTTGCACTCGGCAATAGTGTAGTCGGCCCATTGTTGGTGATTTCTTGGAACACCATCTAAGCCTTTGGTCACTTCTTCATCGTCTGACATCTCTCGGAACTCCGGCAATACTGGAATGAGATTGGCGGATTGTGATTGCACAAGCACTCGAGGGGGAGGACAGTTGCTCAGTATAGAACGAACTGAAGACTGGAATGTCTTAGCTCCAATCCACTTAGTCTTGAGTTGTTCTTCGCCCTTGGTAATCTGAATGGGCTTGAACTTTCTGATGCTTTGGATAGTGGAGACCAAGTAGTCCATGTAGGAGAGTAATTTGTCGACACTTTGGTTCTTGGTAATGGTATCGGACTCTTGGTGGTAGCAAAGTGAGCCAGTGGTTGTTACATTGGAGCTCTGGTTGTAGAGGCTGGATAGGTCCGTAACCAGCTGTGATTTCTGAGTGAACATCAACTCCGGTCCATACTTGGACATCAAGTTGCGATGGGCGAAAGCGTCTCGGGACATCTCACCAGGACGTTTCAACACAAACTCATTAAGGAAGGTAATCTCTTCAGCATCACTACTGAAGTCCTCTTCAGTGCAAGGAATGCTAGTTGCACCAGGTTGGCCGGCACCACCGAGTACTCCACCAACACCGCCGAGACCACCTTGAGTCTTACTTCCAGCACCACTCGATTTGCGTTTTTGAGTCTTGATTTTTCGCACTCCAGAAAGGAGTGAGCTGAAATCCTTATCTTCTTTTAGCTTTTTGTACTGGTTAGAGAACTCCAAAGACCTTGTTGCTATGCAACCCAAGTTGCTATCAATACTGAAGGTAGTGCAGATAGGCTTGAAGTTGTCATATAGATTGTTGACCAATGCGTTACGATAGTTCTTACTTTTGACAACCTCAAAACAAGCCAAGACAAAAGCCATTGCTTCTTGGACGGTGTCTGCAATTGAGTCGGAAACCAAGTTAATCGACTGGTTAGTAGAAAGGTCAATAGAAGAAATGGTTAAGCGGGCCGTTGATTGGGGGATGGAGGAAGCTTCAAAGGACTCTAAAGGCATGCGGCGATACGTAGCCAAGGCAGGACTTTGGCCGACGGTGGATAAGTCAGCGGCATTAACAATTTCATTTGCCAAGTCAGGACGGTAGTATCTCTTTTTGAAGTACAAAGTACCGTAGATGGGTCCGTCTTGGAAGATATGGGGTTGCCACGGGGCTGCCGCGACCTTTGAGTGAATCCACTGACTCAATGCCAACGCTCCAAAGGCGAGCTCCAAACAGTTCATGTCTTCTCGAATAGCCAAAGACTTGATTTCCACCTCGGTGTATGGCACCAAGTCAATCAAGCTGTCTTTATCAAGGAGGCTTTTTTGGATAATGCGATTCAAGGGAATGCAAACGCCGAGTGTGACATCGAGGCCGTGATTATTGTTAATCTCGTTCTGCAGATAGTTGTAGGTTGAAAGTGAATTTAGAACTTGGATTTCAATCCGCGCATGGTCAATGTGGTTGTCAACTACATCAACAAACAAAGGACAGTGCTCGGGGTTGTAGTCCATGTGAATTTGAGACAAGTCCAAAGTCGTTGCTTGAGGTAGCATCCCGCTATTATAGGATTGGGCCATGGCCGGAAGCGTATTTTGTGCGTTCGAACCATTAACAAATGACATGCAGAGTCTGTTCGTTTGTGAAGCGCGCAAGATCTCATCAGAAGTAACAGAGGTCGTCTGCATAATCTTAGCAGTGCAAGTCGAAACAGCGTAAAGTCCCAACTGCGCCAAAGCAACCAAGAGTTTGAACATACCCACAATTACATTCCAGCCTTTATAGTTGCCTATCTGATAAATGAAAGTCCCAAACAAACAAAAAAGACATTCATTAATGACATTCTTATCTAAATAACATAAACAAACACCCGCCATTGTTTATATTCCATCTAAAAACTCATCTAAAGTTGTGTTTTTGTTTACCCATATCTGTTTTCTTTTCCTTTTATCTGTTATGTCAACACAATGGCTGCTTAAACACTGTTTGCACTCCACCCAGAGCTCTCGACCCGATAATCTAACCCGACACGTCAGCACCGGCACATTGATTGTTTTGCAGCGATAACACCACACAGACGCATCCAAAGGATCCAAACGAGCACCTGTCGCGCACAAGAGATTCTCTACTTTGTTAAAGAGGACCTTATCTTGCTTGATCCGACTGAATAAAGGCAAAAGAGTATACCAATAGTGTAATGCATCCATTTATTTTTGGGGGTTTTTACAAGTTTAATGTACTTACAATGGGTTGAGATTGAAGGCTTCAAAAGTTATGGCGAAAGAACTAAAGTAGGCCCCATGGATAAGCGATTTACAGCCATTACTGGCTTGAACGGCACCGGGAAAAGTAATATCTTAGATGCCGTCTGTTTTGTCTTGGGAATTGATTGTCCCCGTTTATTACGTAGCACAAGCATGAAAGAACTTATCTTTAAGAGTGCTAAATCGAGTCGGGGCGAGGCCCGAGTTACTTTGGTTTTTAACAACCAAGATAAAACTCAAACTCCCGTAGGTTACGAAATGCTGGATACAATTGCACTTACCCGCGTAATTAGTGAAGATGGCAAGACCAAGTACCTCCTCAATGATCATAACGCTACGACCAAGAGTGTCATGCGGTTGTTGCAATGTGTTGGTCTATCTTCAGCTAAAACTGCCCATAAAGACGATGGCACCAGAAAGTACGAACGGCCTGAGCCACCCTACTTTATTGTTATGCAAGGCCGCGTCGGTCGTATTCTGGGCATGAAAAGTTCCCAGTTCCTCAGTCTCTTAGAAGAGTGTGCGGGCACAAGTGTCTACCGGGCCGAGAAGAGTAAGGCCTATGCCGTTCTGGAAAGAAAGGAGAAGAAGCTCTTGGAAACGCAAGAAACACTATCTAAGACTATCTTCCCCTTTCTAGAAAGATTGCGCAAAGAGCGTGCCGAGTACTACGAGTCCCGCGAAGCCCAGAAGAAAATGGGTGCACTCAAACAGTCCCTTGAAGAGCACCGGCGCACTATTGAGTTCTTGAAGTACCAACAAAGAGTAGCAGAAGCCGATGCCCTGGAGAAGAGTCTGTTTAGTTTGGAGGAGCAGATTAATGAATTAGTTCTGGGACTAGCTGCCGCCCAAGATACAATTGAAGATACGGATATTGTTAATCTCCAGGAACGAATTGATGCTAAACAACGCGAACTCAGTCGGCACATGATCGAAGTCTTGCGTGAAGAGAAGACTAAGTTAGATAAAGAAGTAGCTAGTACCTTAGCCACTCAAGAAGACCTTTTCCACCAGTACTTACAATTACCTCTCCTGGTGCCACCACCGGCCCAGGCCTCAACTGAAGAGTTACTTAGTAGTATTGAAAACAATCTAGAAGGTCTCACTGAGAAGGAAAGAATGCTTCGGAAAGAGTTAGGCACGCGTCGACTGCCTACTATTGAAAGAGAGCGTGAAAAGGAGAGTATTGCCTTGGAAATGGACGGTCTCTACCGCGACAATCAAGCCAGCATAGCTAAGATCGAAACCTTTGAGCTGCGGCACCAACTAACTCCTATTAAAGCTGAGGAGTACGTCCGAGCCCATAAGGATATTGATGCCAGCCAAGTTAGTCAGATCAAAAGAACCTTACAAAGTCTTTATGCTTCCCTGGGCTATCCTATCATGGAAGGTCTACATGGCAAGATTGCTGAACTTATTTCAGTGCCTCGGGCCGAACACGTTGTCCCAATTGGTGTTGTGCTAGGCGGTCGAAAAGACTTCCTGGTTGTGGACAATGAACATTTGGGTAAGCAAGTTATTGATTTGGTTTCTAAGCAGGGCCGTCGGGCGGATGTCATTCCTTTGTCGCGGATTGTGCCTAAGACCCTTTCCACCCAGAAAGAAGATGCGGCCCGGAAGTATGGAGCTATCCCTTTAGTTGAAGCAATTGAGTACTCGCCGGCTATTAAGAAAGCAGTACAGTACCTTTTTGGTGGGTATATTTTGGTTCCCGATCGCAAAACGGCTATTCAAATAAGGGATCGTGAAAGTCTTACTTGTGTTACTTTAGATGGCGAATTGTTTGACCGACGTGGGACTATTACTGGAGGCAGTCTGGACAAGTCTAAGTTTGCTTTCTCTCAATCCAAGCAAGAGAGTATCAGAAGTCTGGAAAGCCAATTGCAAAAGGCTAATGCGGCCTTAGAAGTATGTTCATTGGATCTACTCATGCGGGCCAAAGAGTATCTTGGTTGTTTAGAGGAAAAGAAGAATCGCGATAAGAAAATTCAAAAGAATGCCGCTCGTCTCCAGGCTTTAGCTTCAGAAGAAGACCCAAATGAAGTTGTGTTGGAGCAAACCACCACTCAGCTCCGTACGCTCACCCAGCTGGCCCGACAGGCCACTACTCTGCAAGCTAGCTTAACCACTAAACAAGCTGCTATTCAGTCACTAACCCAGGAATTGGCTAAACACCAAGAAGAATCAGCTATTCTCCAAGCAGAAATAGATGCACTTGAAGCTCAAAAGATAGATGGTATCAAAAAGAACGAAGTAAACCGAGCCCGACGGTCTATTCAAATCCGAGAAGAGAAACGTATTTCCCAAACTCTAACGTCCTTGCGCAAAGAGAAGACTCGATTGGAAGTTCAGCTCAGCAAATTACAGCAACAAGCACCCACTACCCCACCTCGTCCACATAAGCCATTGCTCGCTCTGGAATTATCTGCCCTAACTACAGCTACCACCGAGCTAGAAGTTGAGTATTCGCATTGTCTCAAAGTCCCGCGCAAAGAGATCAACCCAAAGAACATCGAAATGCTAGAAAAGAACGAAGAAATGGAAAAGACTCTCAAAGATAAGATTGTTAAACTTCAAAAGAACAAAGAAACTATCAAAAAATCAATTGACCGACTCAATCTACTCGAAAAAGAAAGAATTGAAGAGATATTCCATTCGGTCAACCAACGCCTCGGCAAGTATGTTAAGTACTTCATTGAATCGGGCGATGCCCGCTTAGAAGCCGTTGATGGATCGCCTATGAATGGAGTAGAGTTGTTTGTTAAGATGGGAACCTGGAAGAAAGGTCTGACTGAACTCAGTGGAGGCCAAAAATCCATCTGTGCCCTCAGTCTAATCTTCTCTCTTCTTAAGTCCAAACCTTCCCCTCTGTACATTCTTGATGAAATTGATGCAGCTCTAGATGCAAGCCATACGGAAGCTATGGGCCGCATGATCCAAAGCGAGTTCCAGGGCTCGCAGTTTCTGGTTGTCTCTTTGAAAGATGGCATGTACCACAACGCCAATGCCCTCTTCCAAACCTATATCAGAGAAGGAAGTTCCGGTGTCCACCAAGTGTAATAAACAATTTATTGCTAGTCACTCCCGTATCTATCATTGTGATTGTTGTAATGTCCACTTCAATAACAGCAGCTCACTACTAATACTAACCCAATGCTAACTCAATACTAAACTACTATCAAACTAATACCAATACTAAACCACTACTAATACTAAACCACTACTAACCCAAATACTAACTCACTATTAAACCACCAACTCGTACCTATCAAACTCAGCCGAAAGCAGCTGCAAAGTCTCAGGATCTTTGGCCAGCAAATCAACGCGGGTCGTGCAGACATAAGTAAGCAGAGTAGGCACTAACTTGCTTCCTACAAATCCCATCTTATTCCAAATCTCAACTAGCACACTATCTGGTGTTGACTCTTTAGGACCAGCCTCCAACTTAGCCGCGGCCTCACTAGCCAGTCTCCATGGCGAAACACTAGGCAGTCCGCATTTCAGCTCAGATAAGACCTTAGTCGATAAAACTGGAACTAAAGCCGCACACATCTCCTGAGTCAAACAAATCCCTAAGTCTTTAAGTTTCTCACAAATATACATCACCATCCCATACGAATTAATTGAAGATAAGATCGAAAGAAGATTGATTACTAAAGCTTCCGTTGCTACAAAAGATCGCTCCACAAACCTCTTCAGATAAGCTTCCAATACAAACTGAACCTCCTCCACTCTTGTCTCCTGGTGCAACATCCTTTCCGTCGTATAAATGCACAGCCAAAGAATAGTCACCATTTCTTCAGCTTCCAGCCCTTCTTCCTTAACCTCCCTAATATACTCATTAGCAATCCCTTTCTGGTACAGACTCGTATCTAAAAACTCTTGATAAAAACGAGCGTGTTTCTTCAAATGACTCAACATCAAGTCATTACAATCAAGTAAGTTATTCAAAAAGCTCTTCAACTCCTCTGTCTTCTTCTGCAGAACAAACCCTCTAATTACCTTCTCCCGGGCCGTACATGCCTGCGTACTAATTATCTCCATAAAGATGTTCATTTCCATCTTCAACTCCGGCCAAGTAAAGCTTAAGTTCTTCCCTAAACTGGGATAGAAAGGAATCTCACGGCGATCTTCCCTTGACTTACCCAGCGGCCCAAATAAATTACCGGCCTCCTTCGTCCGTTTATGCACTACAATAAGACTCTCGTCCAAGTAGGCAATAATAGTCTTCTCGGGAATCCGCTGCATCATTTCCTTAATCTGAGACCGGCCTCCTTTAATACCAATTAGATAAGGAATAGTCGCTTCAACTAGTTTAGTATATGTCGGACAATTAAGTAAAGGCACACACATAATCCCTCGCCACTCATACGGCTGAATAGAAGCTAATAAACCTTGTACATAATTCACTAGTAAGTCTTCCTCTTGTGAAACTATAACAATACGATGTTCTAATAGAATATGGTAGATCATATCAAAGAAAAAGGGCCGATTATCCAGTAAAGGCTCGCCTATCTGAGCATCTTTCAGTAAGTAACTCTCCTCCTTCTTTCTTCGCTTACTTAATTCAGCTGTAACTATCTCTTTCAAACCCGTGCTCAAGTAGTGGTTGTACTTACTAAGAGTCTGTAGGACTAAGGATCTAGTTAGAGTTTCGGTCAAAAGAACAATTGAACTGTACTTCTCAACTCCACTACTACGCTGCCATCCACCAGCCACTAGCATGTAGAGTACCGAGTCTTTAGTGTTAATAATAGTAGTTGTAATACTGGTTTCTGGTCCTTTAGGAGCACTACTCCACTCTTGGAGAATATCTTCACGTTCAGTTTGGGGGTAAATCTCAGTACCACTGCCTACTTCCTTAGATCCACCTCTAGTACGAATATCTTCATGCATAAGCAAACGACCCTCTCGATACTCCACTCGCATTAGTTGTTTAGCCGTCACTCGAAACTTCAGTACGTAAATGGCATTGTTGATTTTAATGGCTAGTCCTTGGGGATTACTCTCTTTTTCTAAGATGTATTCCTTAATGGGATAGTTGCGGCGTCTTTCAATTACAATTATTCCCTTTTTAACTTCAGAAGATCTCTTATCAATAATTGTGAATATGGGAATTAGTCCCTGACTGTCTACCAGAACTTCTGAATGAACCATTTGGTTGCTGATCTCTACAATCCGCATCCCAGTTATTGGAAAAGTCCTTTCGGCAGATATCCCTAGACTTTCTACAATGTAGAACTCATCCTGCATTAAAAAAAAGACTCATAGCCCTAAATATCTTCCTAATCGGGTAATTCCTAGCTAGTCCTATCTTTTCCCGGCTTCTTCCGGTCTAATAAGTCAAACCCAACCTATTTATTCATTCATTCCATACACCAACTAAATAACACTCCTACCTGGTCTAAAATACGTCTGGACTACTCTAGCTACTTCTCTTTCTTCTCCCCAAAGACAACTGGGTTCTTCCGATACATCCGCCAAGCAGGGACAACTAAGAGCAAGCTTGCCCCTAAAACCAAACACAAAGCATAGACTAAATAGATAATGTTTTTGGTTATAAGAGAGATAAGAAAGGCCAAAGGAAACCCAATAATGAAAATACAATGCATCAACTTATTGGCTAGTTCTTGGCCAACATAATCCACCTCAGGATTAAGACTTTCTAGAACTTGCTTGATACGATCGGAATAGGACATAACAAGCCGAAAAATTAAATATTTATGAGTACTGAGCGTGTTCTCTTACGGGCTAATGACGTCATCGGTGCAGGGCTATCGCCTGAGGTCTTATCTTTGTGTTCTGACTTAATTGATAGTGGCCATGTTTCTTGTGATGGGTTGGTTTTGATTGTTAAAGAGATCCTGAATGAGTTAGAGTAAGATAGTAGAAAGTAAATTGGGTTTTGAAGTTTGAATTTGAATTTGAATTTGACTTTCTGATTTTGAATTTTGAATTTTGAGTTAGTTTTTAGTTGATTTGGATTGTGTTAGTTTTGAGTTGAGTTGAGTTGAGTTGATATTGGATTGGGTTGGTTTTGAGTTGAGTTGGTTTGGTATTAGGTGGTATTGAGTTGAGTTGGATTGAGTTGAGTTGAGTTGGTTTAGTGCCTTCACATAATGCCATATCAGATCACAACTTAACTTGACTTGACTAATTGATTAGTTGATGCGGCTGGTGGGAGGTTTGGGTTTGGGCAAGATGAGGGTCTGGGTGGTTGTTGAAGGATGTAAGAACATGGGCGAAGAGTGGTGATTCTTCCTCGGGCGTGGGTTGGGGTGTGATTATTGCTTTCTTGGGTCGACCGCCCTTTTTGAGTTCTTGTTCGCCATAAGTGAATGGACCTAGTTGTGGGTTTGTGGTGATTGAAAGGCCGCGAATTATGTCGTCTCTCTTTCTTTTGGCTATCTCCAATAAGGCAGACCCGCCAAGGATCTTTCTTATGCCGCTCATTTTGACGGGCGTTGTCATTTCAATATATCCGTGCCCTGTTGTGGCTTGGTTTTGAGTTTGGTAGATCCAAATGCTAAAACGAACTTTGGGTGAACGCTCGAAAGAGTGATAAATATTAGAAAGGGAAGGCTCATCTAGGAGAAGGAACAGCCATCTTCTACTTGTCTTGTGTTTGCTAGGAAGCATGTGGCAATCTAAAACTGATTTTGGCTAAGAAGATCGATTTGCTTGTGTGATGTTAGATGTTAAATAAAGCAGGAATTAGTATTATATTGAGTTGAGTTGATATTGGGTTGATATTGGGTGATGTTGGGCTGATATTGGTATTATGGTGATATTATGTTGAGTTGTTGGTGGGAATAAATAGTTTAGGGCTGGTCTTTAAGATCTTGGCGGGCTATTTAGAAGATATTCCTCTTTTTGATCGCACTATAACATGGAGTTTTCAAGTACTGAAGATGAGTCTAATGCCTTGTTTGAGGTTGTAAAGGGTGCTGAGCCTGGTAAAACTCAGCCAAGCTACCCCTTACTGGCTATCTGTACTTTGGCTTATCATTTGCGACAGACTAAGATTGAGCTAGCAGGAATGAAGTTTCAAAGAAAGAAACATGCATCAGCATACAACGTATACATCCGGGAAAAAGAAAAACTCGGAGGGGTAGTTGCGGGCCATCTACCTATCTTTGTTGCCTTAGTTGTCCAGGGAGTTCTTGCTAGGATTGTTTATTCAATTCAGACTCGCCCGCCCTTTCGGGTAGATACATGTTTGGAGATTGTGATGGGTGAAAACGTAATTAGTGAGGGAGAAAGAGGCCGCAATGGGATTGTGGTTAGTGTAGATAGTTATGGTGAAATAGTGAACCATTCCTTGTTTATTACCGAACAAATAGCTAGTGTGCTGAACTCTTTATTTATAGCTGGATTTAGCAGTGAAGATACTGAAAGTCCATTTCAAAAGCACGATCTAAAATTTGCCACAACATTACCAGCCACTAAAAAAGAAGGCCTACTACACCCACTTTACCGCATAGATAGTCAAAATCGGCGAGAATTAGTCTACCCCAAAGGCATAGGTTGGGTTGGCCATATCAAGGACCGCAGTACCAAGCCAACCCAAAAGTCCAAGGCCCAAAAATCCCGTGAACTTCGCATCTACCCCATTTCACACATCCATCGTCTGCTGAGTCTTCCCGAGATATACCGAAAGAATCTAAGAGTCCCACCAGACACTCTTCCTTTTCGCATTCTACCACCCACGCGCAAACATCCAAATGGAATTAGTCTCTACGCGCCTTGGCAAATTGAGCCCAATACTAACACAAACCCAACTAAGCATCTACTTACTCTAGCAGATATTCCTAAAGACTCCGTCTATCTAATTGAAACCGACTACATCACCTACCAAGGTATAAACATTGGCCATACTCCATTTATTGGCTACGAATACTCGTACCAGTCTCAGCAGGCCCTACCTATTCATCGCGGCCTTCTACTTACCCAGCAAGAATTCACTACCCACCATAACACCATTATTCGCCAGGTCCTTCGCAATATCATCCACCACGAAGTCACTACCAACCAAGCCCTTCTTATCAACATGCAAATCTTAACCCAAGATGCTCTCCATTATCTTGATGTACTCGATAGTCTCTAATTAGAACCAAAACCACCTCAACTTAAGACCAATACAACTTAATACTAAATAAACACAAACCCTTCCATTTTATTCACAGATAGCCTTACATTTAGTTTTAGTTTCTAAACTCAACTTACCCAACTACATATCAACATAACATAACACTAACCCAATGCTAACTCAACTTAATAGGAACTCAACACAACTCAACCCAACCCAATACTAACTCAACACTAACATAAATCAAGTTTATTAAGAATAATAAGAAGATAGCCGACTAAACACTCAACTGCTCAATGGTGCAACTGAATAATCTCTTGAATTAAAATGTCGCGAGTGACATAGTGTGAGTGTCCATCTTTATAAACATAACGAGGAATAGCCAAACGAGTCGGACCTGCGGCCGGTTCTGCCGATTCAATCGAAACTAACGTCTCCATAGTCTGATCATCTAAGAGGTCCAGTTTACGTACTCCCGATAAGAACCCAAGCAAAGCCCTCTTAGTGTAGGCATCCACCCGACTAGGCATTGCTGCTTGTTTAATCTTGCGCACAAAGAGGCCGGCCAGTTCTTTAGCATAGAACGGAAAGAACCAACTATTCTGCGGTACACCACCATAAATCCATCCGGGAACCAATCCATTCTTTCGACTCACTGTACTGCCTTTCTGTGGTAGTTTAAAACTTACCGCCAGCTCATTATACAGCATAAGGTGCTGCTTGTAAATAGCCAGGGTTTTTGTTTCTCGGAACGGTCTATCGGCTAGAGATACGGTTTCTGCAATCTGACAGGCATCTTCTAAAGTCAAACACTTCTCAAGGTAGTTCTCAAACAGTAAATTACCAACATTCGGCAAATCGTTCCGCTCACAAATTGTTTCCACATCACTGTATCTCTTCCTTTTATCACCCCGACTAAATAACAAAGCCTTAACTATCTCTAAACCGCCCATTCGTCCCGTTTCTACTTGAGCAACAGACCGTACTCTTTCAGACGCCTGATAAATATCAATCTCAGCAATAACCTTCCTAATCTTCTCCCCACTTCTAATTCGCTCCCGTAACACCTCCGGCAGCACGATCTTCTTCTTCTGACAGATCTTCTCAGCCCGTTGCATTACCCGAAAACTATCCAGATAACACCTAATCACTTCAACATGGCTCATATCCGCCAGTCGTCGTGGCAAGTCATCCAAAATCACTACAATAGGCACAACAGACCGCTTAATTTCCAAGACGCGTTGTAAAGAAAGACCATCCAAATCACGAGACACCACCACTAATTTACGTCCATGCATATCCCTCTCACGCACTAACTCACGCATCTCTTCTATTCGCCTAGTTGTATCCTCGCGCAACTCAGTCCCATCAATGAGCCGCTCACTATAGTTGTGCAGTCGATGAAACAATCCCACCATAGTTTCTTTACCTATTCCAGGCCGCCCCACAACAACAGCCACAGTCTTTCTACTTGGATCTAGCAACCAGTCGCGATATTGAGTACTTGCTCGTTCATTAAGCACTAATTCACGAGGTAGAATCGGTCTAAACATAGCCATCTGTTTAAAAAAGCACATAGTATTCAAAATTCAGCAAACAAACAATGTCCGACGAAGAATCGCACGATACATCGTATAGTACATCGGTAGAGAGTGTTGGTGATGATAAGAATGATGCCGAGCCCGAAGAAGTGGACATCAAGAAGACCAAAGTTTACAACACTCTTTCACCTTGGAAGAAGTTTTGGCACTCAGCTAGAGAGTTCTCGCCCATGTATACGGGATGTTTCCTGTTTTCTCTCATTCTTATCGGTTTAAAATACCTTATCATTGGTTTAGGTATAGATAAAGAGTATCCCCTGTCAAAAGGCGGCCAGGATATGCTAGTAAGTACTTCAACAGTAGTTGCTAGTCTTGGTTGGGGGTTTTTAGGCTTTACAGCGGTAGATTGTACCGTTTATTACTTGAGTGGGTACTTGATGAACAAAATCGAGTGTTTAACTTTGGCTATGTTCTATACTAATGGCGTGTCGACCTTACTAACTGCCTTGATATTCTCTTTTGGCGCCATGATCTACTTTAAGATCAAGGCTGAGGAGTACAAGCTAAGTAGTACACATAGTATTAGTTTAGACCAGATCTTGGTTACTGTCTTTTTTGTCTTCCTGCTGATTACAACTAAGGACATATTTGTGAAACGATTACGGATGGGATTCAACCATACCAACTACCTGACTCGAATTCAAAGATGTCTTCTAGAACACCAGTTTGTGAAGACTCTCGAGATAGTCAAAAGGAGAATTAAGGGACAGAAAGGAGGTAAGTTGAAGCGTTACTGGATGTTCTCCCAGCCTTCTTCCCAAGAGAGACATAGTGATGAAGAGTCGGCCGATGGCACACCAGCTAACGAGACTCCAGAAGACACTGAGAAGTACATTAAGCCCAAAACCCTCGTTCTTTCTGATGAAACAATTGGCACTCGTCAAAAGATGATTATCTTCAAGGAGTTTGAGAAGATCATGAACACTAAGTTCTATCACATGGAAAAAGGACTTGGGTTCTCATCCGATCTTAAACAGCATGCCCAGCAAAAGGCTGAGAAGATTGCGCACTGGTTGGCCGTGGATAAGAAGAAGTTCCAAGTCCGACACCTGAAGAAGTACGTGGACAGTGAGTACGTAGATAAGATCACTCGTATTCTAGGCATGCAAGAGACTCAGCCTCTGGCCGAAAAGGATATTGCCGCTCTGATAGAGAGAACTCGACGAGAAAAGTACTCAGTCAAGAAGAGTTTGATCCAGATGGATAAAGCCCTGATTCGAGTTAGTCGGTTTGTTACAGCGACTATTCTGGTCTTTGCCGTTGGTGTCCAACTTTCCTCGACCTTATCCCCTAATGATGCAATCAAGAGTATTTTTGGTACGTTCTTTGGCGTAGGAATTATCTTCCAAACTAGTGTAAAGAATGCGATTGATAGTGTTATCTTCTTGTTTATTGTTCATCCGTACGATATTGGTGATCGAATTCGGGTGGAAATTGATAAGGAAGAATTGAATATGGTCGTTACTGAGTTGAATGTATTTTCAACTGTCTTCTACCAGTGGGACGGTGCTAAGATATACATTCCCAACCATGTACTGCTGCAAAAACCGATCACTAATGTCCGCCGCAGTGGACTAATGGCTGAGAACATTGTCTTCCAAATCGCCTTTGATACACCACCAGAGAAAATCCAACACCTCAAGACCGAAGTGTCTAAGTTCATCAAGCGCCATCCCAAAGACTTTGCCCCTTACTTCATGTTCAACTACCATTGCATTGAAGATACGAACAAACTACATCTTAAAATCTACCTACAACATGCCACTAATTGGCAGCACTACGAGGCTTATCTACAACGCAAAGCCAAGTTTGTTATGTTTTTGAAACAAGCCATTACCGAACAAAAGATCGAATATTATCTTCCCGTTCAAAGAATCGAAATCCTCAAAAATTCCAAACCAACCGCTTCTCTTTCCTCCACTGCATATCCTGCTGCGCCCATCCAATCGGCGCCAGCCACTGAGCCATAAACTCAGCCTATCAAGTATATGTACCCAAAAAATAAACACAGTCCTATGGTGTACCATTATTAGTTAGATTGAGTTGGTATTGAGTTGGTATTATGTTAAGTATTGTATTGAGTTGGATTGGGTGATGTTAGTGTTGTGTTGGCATTAAGTTATGTTGAATTAGATTGAATTATGTTGAGATTAGTGCTGTTTTAGTAGATAGAGGGCGTTTTGTTAATTGAGTGACTTAATCACAATAAAAAGAATCAGATCGACTGCCGACTTAATCAAATAAAAGAACATCAATACAACATATCACTAGTCCAATGCAGATACAAAGTCAAGATTAGCTATCAACACTATGAATCTTATAGGCATTTTACAAACAATAGTTGGCGTGCTCTTATGCCTGCTAACTTTGGTATGCTACAATCAAAGCGAGGCCTATCCTAATAATGACTATCGGTCAATACTAAAAGCAAACCGGCCAAATACATTTGTCGATGAAATACTCCGTGACACCAGCCCAGAGTGTTTTGAACGAGAACATGTAAACTATCATACGCGCAAACTAGACCTAGACAAGGAGGTCCGAATGCACCAGCACCAGCTCACGAAAAACATCACACCCTTCGAAAGACGCGAATGGGATAGACGCATTCACACAAACAAACAAGTAGTCCAAGAGTATAAAACGCGACTCGAATCCCAACGACTTATTCACCACCAAGAGATAGCTAATATAGCCCAGCGGTTTAATGTTATTGCCCCGTTTACTTTAAACAGCTCAGCCATCTTCCGCATGTTCCAACCCTGCTGGCACCCCATTCCACACGACGATCTTCTCTGCCAGAGTGATTACCACCATCAAGGCATAATTCAAAAGCTACTAGATGTACAAGCCACGCACCAATACCACCAACAAATCCTAGCCACTGCCATTGACCAAGTCTCCGTCCTCCAATCCCAAACAAACCAAACTCTCCCCGCTGCCAAACAAGCCATTGATGCGTACATCCAAACCCTTTCCCAAATAACCCAGTACCGCATCCAACAACTCCAGGGTATCATAAGGCAAACTAATGAGTACGGTCTGGTGACTATGCCCCTCTACTCCATCGGTATTCACTTTTCAAAGAACCCTCCCAACCCTTCGGTCTTTTCCACCAGATCATTCAGCCACGAGCATGCTCTTCAATTCTACTATATTCTCTATACTATCAGCGCCCACCAGCACAATGCACAGCAAATAGAAGCATTCCTTCAGAGCGATCTTCTTCCTTTCTATTATGCCGTCCAGCAGCGAGCCAAACTAGAGCTAATCATTCCTAGCATCTATACACACATCAACGCCGTATTAGCAATCGATATAGTTGCCGATCTGACCAGCCACCAGCACAGCAAACTTCCTAACCTTCTCTATCAAGACACCATTGAGAATATGTACGATTTATTTGCCACCTTGCTCTCCATTCACCAAGCCATGCTCCGTGATCGACGGATTTCCCTTATCGCCACTGCCACTACTATGCTCAAGCATCCCCGGCACTACCAACAACGAAGAAGCTCTAAACCCATACTGCTACCCATTATGACCCCAATGCTCATTCATCTCCAAGCAGAGCTAAAATATCTCCAACTAACCACCTTAGGCGTCAACAACACCCTAACAGATCTGCAACAAACCCAAAGCCCACTCAACATCGACACAACCACCGAACGCACCATCAAATGCATTGAATTCCACCAAAACCATCCACTGCCCAAAACCAATCCCGCCCCGCCGCCATCCGCCAACATAATTCACCCCAACCCCAACCCCGTCAATACCAACACCAACAGAACCCTTACCAATGCATCCTACACCATCACCGCAACCACATCTCAAAATAAATCCAATCCACCTCAACCTAATACCAACTCAACCCAAACTAATACCAATCTAACCCAAACTAATACCAACACAACTCAACCCAATCCTATGCCTCCCCTAAAGGATGGATTTATGTTGTATTATTCCAGAAGCGGGGCATCCTCCACTAGGCTAGTTAGATCTTCACAATTCCTTTTTAATATAGCCATCCCCACCGCTTATCTCTTTCTTGGTGCAACCATCTTAGCCTTAGCATGGTTGTAATTCATTTTTGTTCAATACTAGTTGCGAATCAGCACACACCATACCACACCACAACAACCCAACCCAACCCAACTCAAACCTAACACTTATTTATTGTTATCTGGCACCAATGGGACATTCAGATACTTTGTACTGGCTAGGAAAAACAGAACAAGCCCGATCAATCGGCGAAGTTGTCACCGGGCCACTTTCTTGGACAAAAGCCCCGCCGTAGCTTCCACTATGCTTTCGAGGATCCGAAAAAGTCTCTATGTTTTCCAAAGGCCAATCGCTCTTGGGTTGCACATAATGAATTAAATGAACACAACTAGTAATACTTTCAGGGCGATCGGACTTAACTACGCCTGCTTTTTGTAAGTCATCGGGAATGTTTTCCTTAGCAAAGTTAGCTTCAATTTGAACCATATCTGTTGATTGTAAATGCAGCCGCGGGGCTCGAATCGCCTCCCCAATTGATTCGTTGCGTAGCAGAATCCGGGCCATTACTGAAATCATGGCAGTTGGAATTCTGATCCCACCAGAGCCTCCACCCACATAGAACTTTTGACCGTGCCGGATAATAGTCGGCATAGTTGAGGACAGAGGTCGCTTCCAAGGAGCAATCCGATTCTTTGAATCATTCTCCGCGTGCATTAAGCTCAAGTTAGCAAACTTGGTAAACACAAAGTCATCCATCTGGTTATTGAAGATAATTCCAGTTTCTGGATCCATCTGACCCGACCCCCAATAATCATTGATTGTAGAAGTCAGCGAAACCATCATACCATCTTTATCCACTACATTAATATGAGTAGTGCCATGGTCTATCAAAACACCTTTCTCTAATTCAACTTCACTAAGAACTGGCTGGTTTTTCACTAATGAAGTCAGCTTATTGATCAGTGCCTGAATTCTTTTCTCATCAACTCGTCTTGCCGACTCATTATTCCGATCTCTTCTCCCATTCGGCCCCGCCGCATCCTTATCCTCAAACTCCGTTCGGTATTTGTACAGCTGCAGGTACAAACACGAGAGTATTTCCTGTAATTCGCGCTCAGATAGCATTTGGTAATTAACATTCGGTAGAGAAAACAAAGCTACCAGCCCCATACTCATCATATACCCACATGTCGGCAAGTCCAAAGTTACCACCTTCAAGTTCTTACTCGGTAGCTGTGTAACAATCGGCGTCATCGTTCTAGCCTTGTACTTACTAAAGTCTTCCCTACTAAAGTACTTGCGTTCCTTATTCAAAAACCCGACTATCTTATCACCCAACTTCCCGGTATAAAATGCCATGGGATCTTTTGAGATAATTTCTAACGTATTGGCTAAATTAGGCCGAGTAATTATATCCCTTTCTTTCACTACCCGGCCATCTCGACTGTACGTCCCAGCCAATCCGTCATCCGCCAGAATATCTTTCTGGTACTCCGCCAACTTCATTCCCAGCACTTTCGGCACCGCAAAACCCTCCCGCATCTTCCTGATCGTTCGTTTAAACAAAGACTCCCAACTCGCCTGACCATGAAGCAGATGGGCCCGATAAAGCCCCATTATTTCCCCAGGCACGCCAATAGAAAGCCGTCCTCGTTTAGAATCTTTTGGGTCCTGATACAAACGTTCATCTGCCTGCTTAGGCGCCATCTCCCGAAAATCAAATCCCACCAGCACATCCTTCTCATCTTCCCCACTATTCACAGCATCCTCATCCCCACTATTCACATTCCTTTTCGACTTCTTCCACAACAACAAAAACCCACCTCCACCTATCCCAGAAGCAAATGCATTGATAGCCCCCACATCTATTGCCGTCGCAATAGCCGCATCCAAGGCATTACCCCCATCCTCCTCAATAATTTCACTTCCCACTCGAGCCGACTCTTCCAAATCACTAGTCACAGCATGTCCCATATAAACCTTCCGCGTACACCTTATCGGCCAGCAAAACAGCAAACCCCAACTCAAATACCAAGATATACGCATTCTCTAAAAACCAAAACACTTCCAGTTTAATCGCTAACTCTTTGTTTATTTGCCCCGCCCAGCAACCCCATTCTCCACCGCCCGCCATCTAACTCAACCCATTATCAATTTAACACAACCAAAATTCAACCCAACTCAACTCAACTTAACCCAAATCCAAATCCAAACCATCCACACAAGTACAGATATAGATATAAATATAAATCAACTTGATTTAATCTAAACTAAACTCAACTTAACCCAACTCAATACAATCTAATCTAAACTTAACAGAACTCACCCTAATCTAAACTCAACCCAACCCAACTCAACCCAGCCCAATCTAATCCAACCCATTACCCTCCCCACACAAACCAACTCAACTCAACCCAATACCAACTCAATCCAACTCAATACCAACCCAATACGAACTCAATCTAAACCAAATCTAAACTCTTTTTATATTTCCGGTTTTCTTTTCCTCCATGTCTACTCAGTTACTTCGACCCGGTGCAACTCAAGAGAAATCTGATGAAGCTCGTACTTCCTTTTTAGTTGGCGCGATTACCGTATCAAATATGATTAAGTCCACTTTAGGTCCTAGTGGTATGTTAAAATTGCTTTATAATGCGAATGGTGAGCCAATCATTACTAATGATGGGGCAACAGTTCTTAAGAACATAGTTCCTAATGGTCCTTCAGCTAAGATCTTGATTAATTCAGCCCAAGAACATGGAGCTAATCAAGGTGATGGCACAACTACTTTAACTATTTTAACTGGCGAATTACTTCAAGAAGCCGATCGACTTATCTTTAAAGGTGCCCATCCTTACAAAATCATTATAGCTTATCGCCAAGCCTTTAAACAAGCCATTACTAAACTTAGATCTTTAGCTACTACTAGTCAAAGTCAAGAAGAGAAACTTAGTTTAGCCAAAACAACTCTTTCTTCTAAATTCTCACCAATTGAGCTAGAGAGTCTTTCACAACTGGCTGTAGACTTATCAACTCGAGTAACTGATATTGAAATGGTTAATATTATCAAGATTGTAGGTGGTGAAATTTCTGAGTCGCATATTGATAGTGGGCTTATGCTAGAGTGTGATGTAGGTCCAGGTCAAAAGACTCGTGTGGAGAACCCTAAAGTCTTAGTGGTTAATACGGCTTTAGATACGGATAAAATCAAAATTTTTGGGGCTAAAGCATCAGTTACTTCACCTAAAGATCTAGAACGGTTAGAAGAAGCAGAAAGACAACGTATGTCTGAAAAAGTAGCTGCAATTTCTAAACATGCCGATGTGATTGTTAATCGCCAAATTATTTATGACTATCCTACTCAGGAGTTTACTAAACGAGGTAAAGTTTCAGTAGAACGGGCTGATTTTACTGGGGTAGAAATGCTATCTAAAGTTCTAGATGGAAGTATTTTAAGTACGTTTGATGAAGTTTCTGCGGCTGATATAGGTTCTTGTGCTTTGTTTGAACGTTTGCGCCTGGGTGGTCGGGTCTTTTGCCGGTTCTCAGGTCTACCAAAGACGGGTGCTTGTACGGTGGTGATTAGGGGGCCGACTAAGGAATTACTTGATGAGGCGGAAAGGTCTTTGATAGGAGCGGCTAAGGTTTTGATGGGAAGTACAGGAGAGTATATTTGTGGTGGAGGTAGTGCTGAGGCGGCGGCTTCTTGTGCTATTGCTGGTGATTCTGAAGGCGAACGGGCTTTTGCTCGGGCCTTGATGGAAACTACGCGTACTCTGGCTGAAAATGCCGGTCATTCATCTGATGATACGATTGATACAATTATCAAGAAGAATAAGGAAGGTGTATTCACTTGGGGTGTAGGAGCAGAAACGGCTGAGTGTATGGAAAAGCTTGGGGTTAAAGAGTCTCTTTCTTTGAAGGAAGCTATTTGGACCCGAGCGGCCGAAGCCACGGAAATGCTTCTGCGTTGTGATGGTATCATTAAGTGCAAGCCTCGTGAACGCGTTCAGGAGTAATCTAATAAACAAGTTAGTATTTAATTGAGTTAAGTTTAGATTGATGTTGGGTTGAGTTTAGATTGTGTTTAGATTGGGTTGAGTTGAGTTTAGATTGTGTTGAGTTTAGATTGTGTTTGGATTGTGTTGGTATTGTGTTAAGTTAGTATTTAGTTGAGTTTAGATTGTGTTAAGTTAGTCTTTAATGATTTAAGTTTATCATATCTTAAGTTTATCATCACACAATCTTTATGTAGTGCTGTCATACGACTACTGTCCAATACGACTACTGGCCAATACTAACACGATCAATTTGATCACTACTCAATACTAACACTAACTTAATATGACGTCATCCTCTCCCTCACACCCTTATTTACTCAATAAATGGCACTACTTGTCTTTAATAGAGTATGTCTTGGTCAGTGGATGTTATTCATTCCATGGGGATTATACTTTACTACAGTACTACACTATTATTACCGACTAATCTAATTCAGGTTATTTATTCTTCTAGGACTACTAATTAGGAATTGGGTGGAGTTGAGTTGAGTTGTGTGGATGGATGGTTTTTAGGGATGGACTAGAATGATTATCCGCGTGAAGCTTTGATGGCTGAGAGAACAATAAGAACAAAGATCGAGCAGAAAAGCACTGTAATGATTCGGTTTTTGATATGTGAGCCAAAGGCTGAGAGGGAAGCTATCTCCTTGCTGGACTTTTCAGCACTGTAGGTTACTCGGTCCATGGCAATGTCTAGTCTTTCTATCTTTTCTGATTGCGATAGGACGACGGTTTTGAGTTCGCGAATTAGAGTTGAGATAAAATAGACGGATTTGTATACGCCTTCAACTGAGGAACTACTCTCGGAAAATAAAGGATCACTTTCAGTACCAGCTAGACCTTCACGTTTTTCCTCTATCTTCTGTAAGGCTTCGTTCATACGGGTAATGAGACCATCGAGTTTGAAGTGAAAGTGTACGCCCATTGATTCAACCAGCCCGGCATTGATTGACTTCTGGTACTTCTCTGAGAACTGCTCCATAACGCCTTTGGCTTTAGTTAGAGCGACAGCAATCTTATAGCGGTACGCTTCAATTCGCTTAACAATTTCGATCTTGCTTTTGAAACTGGGAATGCAATAAAGAACACACTCTTTCTCAACCCCATCTACTAATTCTTTCAATTTAGTCAATCGCCCAGTAATCTTGGTAAAGAACTCTTCAACCTCGTCCTTTTCTCGGCGCTGGGCAGACTCGTAGGTTATTGGCCGTAGGCTTAGATATTCCAAGCTCCTGTTTTTCATACCTCACCACACCAAACACCCTATATAGGACACAGCAAACAAATAACCACCACCTACCATCACAGACCACTTATTAACATATACCAACACATACTACTTATTAACATACACCAGCACATATTACTACTTTCGCGATGAAAGGAACTTAAAGTACTCCTCATAAGAACCAACCTGCGAGTTGAGAAACGGAACATCCACTAGCTCTTCCTCAGAGTTGTCGTAAGATTCGCACGCCTCTCGAGATCGGGTTAAACCTTCTCGCTTCTCTTTAGCCCGTTTATTCTGAAACCAGATCTGTACACTGCGCGGCGACATGCCGAAGTCTTTGGCTATTTGGTTTCGCAAAGTCGTGCATGGCCGGGGATTGTGCTTGTACACTAAACACAGGAATTTCGTCTGGTTAGAAGAGAGTCTTGGTCTTGATTTCTGCATTCCCCCTCTATTGGACCCCCTTTTATTTGTCGTATCCTTATCACACTGATACGACTCCAATTAAATAGCCTAGCTTGAGTTATTGGTATTGAGTTAGTACTTTATTAGGTTAGGATTATAATGGATGGCAGTGAAGATTGGGTTAGTATTGAGTTAGCCGTCCGACTTTCTTATCAATGTACTAAACCAGACCGCCAAATTACTATTTTGAGCCAAGAAACAGTATATCTAACCACCCGTCCAGATTTCATAAAGTCTATCCCTCACGCATTGATATTAGTCCAGAGTTCAGATATGCACATTAGAGTGCCCAGACATCATCAAGACCACCCGACTCTCTTAACATAACAGACATACACATAAATAAAGCAACGACATTAGGCCTAACCCAACACCAATACTAACCCAACTCAACCCAACACCAATACAATACCAACACAACTCAACCAAACTCAACTCAATACCAATACCAACTCAACTCAACACTAATACTACCGTAATCGTTTATTATATTTGGCTCAAATGATGTAGGTTAAGGGAATAGTATCATAAGTTCTTCCGGCAGGAAGGTCATTGATAAGATCATCTACCTGGTCGTAGGCGAAGTATAAATAGACGTGGCCATCGCCCAAAGCCATAGACTCGTATCTTTTTTGGGTTGTACTAAACACACTAGCACTATCTTCCAGAAATACAAAGTTAGATAGAGGCATGCTCATAAGCCGATGCGGGTTTGCCAGGATATTTGTTTTCCGACATTCTGGACACACATTGATGTCTCTGAGCCCATTAAGACACTGCCCACAAGTTAGATGCCCGCACTCGAAATAACAAACCGCCATAGAGCGGTAGTTCAAACCAAGCGAATAGTTAGGGTTCTCAACATCCTTCACGAGTTCAGCATAGGGCTCAACCTCGGCTCCTTGAGGCACCCCTAGGACTTGGAGGCAAATAGGGCAAAAAATCGCATGCAAGCCAGTGACGTCATTCTGAATCTTATCTATGATCATTTTCAAAGAAGCTTTAGGACCAATTTGGCTGGGAATAAGCGTCTGAAATTCATTTGCCTGGGCAATAAGGTGCAATAGCATTGCCATTGATATTATAGTGAATTCTTGTTCGGGGTTGGGAACATTGACTAGCAAGCCATTGCAATAACGTTGAGACAATAAATTGATAGACGGCTTCTCCAAGTCGGCATCCTCTATTTGAAGAGTCTTAATTCCGATTAGATCAGCAACCAGGTAGTTGCGTAGTGTTAGGACTTCTCGCTCCGGCTTAGCTAACTTAACATTTACCAATCGTAATACAACGATGCCTTTAAATCGGTATGGCACCCATCGAACAATAGTCACTATATCCGCCTCAGTTAAGAACTGGTCGTCACTGAAGCGCAAGAGCAACTGCTTAATGGAAATCTTAGGTAACAAAGACTCTGACAGCGACAAAGACGTACTTTGGTTGCCATAAGCTATAGATGTAGCCTCGCAGCTAATGAAGTCGGACTTTAAGGAATTTAAAGTGGCATTGTAAAGACTAAACCACCTTTTACTGATCGGAATGGGTGGTATGTAGTTATTTGAAGCCCACGATAGATATGCATCAAATACCATGGTCGGAAGAGAAATGCCATAGGCTACAAACTTCCACAGAGCATTTGTGGCCAAGCTGTAGCTAGCGTTATCCAGTTCGAAACAGAGTTTGTACAATCTAAGGTCATAAATAGAGTTGATATCTTTCAGCTTTTCGTCTACATAGTTAAACAGCAAGAATTCCTTTACCTCTTCTCGTCGGTCAAATAGTATGACTTCATTTAATGTAAGTAACTCATTGAGCACGAGGGCAGTGATGTTATTAAATGCGGGATGAGTTAGGATTTGAGCAATAGCAAGATTGGCAAACTTCTGGTTTATAATATGTATTTCGGTAGGAATAGCAAGTTCGTAATGGCCTAGCATCCAGTAGATAATGTATTCGTCAACATTGTCTAATACTATAGTTTTAACATAAAGTTGCCACTTAGGTAATTGGGCGAGCTCCTTCTGTAGAACAACCGCATTAAATTGGGTACTGGATTGACTAGTGGCGCGGATATTTGTGATTTTAAGCTTTTGTGCATAGATAGTACGAAGAAGGTACATAATCGTATAGTACCTGTAAGCCTGTTCGCATTTCATACATCCAGAGCCATCGATTTCAAGGGTGCTATAGTTTAGATGCCGGCAGAAAGTCTGGCCATTGGCTTGTTTGTAGAGGTTAATGTGAGTATTGAAGTTCGAATAGTTAAGCTGGATTTTAACAGGCTCTTGAAGCCTCCAACTAAGATCGTTAAGTGAGTCGCCTTGACATACAATGTCATCGTTCTGAATCTTCGCAGGAATGGTCGATAATGCATTGATTTGGTGTAGTGTTTTTATGGTTTGATGTAAGTCTTTTCGCTGGATTTGATAGACAAGTGTAATTGCTTTGACCTCGATCCCAAGTCGAGCAAGGGCAGCTTTAGTGTAAAGACTCTTGTACAACGCCATGGAACCACATGGCATGTTAGTGGCGATCTCTGAATAAAACACAGTCGCTGAAATCCAAGGTTTAGGCGGCGCTGCTTTTCCAAAGGCTTTCTCTATTATTGAGTTAGACTCTAGACAGACTTCCATACCACGAATAGTAGCAACTTGAATTGAACACTTACCGTGCCGGCCTAAAGATAGAGCTATGTCCCAGGTCGTCTGTAGTATTATGGCCGAATGCTTAGCAATAGCATTCTCAAGGCCGGTAACTACTAAATCTGGACTAGCTATGCCATAAATAGAAACCTTGGCACATTTACTTGAATTAAGATTAAGAAATCTAAGATCAAGATGGTCATTATCCGGTGTGACTTGAACATGGAGTTCATATTTATCATGGAGCGGCAAGTAGGTAAACATGTGTGTGTTTTTAAGGCCGAGATCGTGTACAATAAGGACTGATATTTCTCGCCAAATGATAACACCAGGACGCAATAATAGAGGGATGTAACTGTCTAAGTGAAGACGAAAATAACAATGGTCTGGTGTCATATACTGCATCTGCTCGAATGCGTCCCGACCTTCCACACGAGAAGCATCAAGATCTATGTCAATGGCAGGTTCAGTATCTTCACCCGGTTTAGAAGTAACATTTAAAGTCATCGCCAGAAATCTACAATTAAGCATGTTAACAACTCGAGATATAATTTGTAAAGTCGTCTGTTGATAAACTGCCGGATTCCATGCACAATTAACTGTAGCCTTAAGAGTGTTAATAACAGCAATCCTTCTTAAGACTCCTAAAGCCGCCTTGGCGACTTCTAGACTGTGATAAACCGGTAGTCTAAAGGAAACACTGGCATCTAAATGGTATATCACATAACAAGGACTTAAAACCGGAATGAACCTACTCGGAAACCCTTTATAAGCACCTCGTTGGGTCTTGGGAGTGGTGTATTCTCTAATTTGTACGGCGTGATCGGGTGGCGAAAAACTCAACCCAACACTATCCAGAGTGTTGAGAATATTCTTTGAATCAGACCAGCTCACTTCTTTATATGCAATTTCTCTTTCAGTTTCACTATTCCCAAGATACTCGTTAACATCGATAGAACCGGCAACCAAATTTAGTAACAAGGAAGCAACACCCACCCAAAGACTAAACCAGCACACATCTGCTTTATACCTCCAATTTTTACTTCTAACTGGCGTTATTAGCATTTCGAGGTAGGGCATATCTCTAAAATTCAAAACAAATTTATCTAAGTGAGAATGATATCTAAAAGACGATTTCCATGAGCTTTAGAATACTCTTATCTTATTGCATAAATGCACGTAGACTAAATCCAACAACACCATAACAGCACAGCATCGCCATAATGCCAACCCAAACACTAGCTCATACCCCGCGGGTTGACATCCTAATCAGTCGTACACTCCAAATTATAAGCCTACATATCCGACAGAGTCTCTCACCCCAGATTACAACTTTATCATTAAAGCCAAGCCATTAGCTTTGATCAGACACGATCTTGTAATCCCAAAATGGGCATTCTTGTACTAATCTTATTATTTCACATCTACTGTCTACTATCTACTGTCTACTATTTATTGTTTACTATCTATTGGGTTAGTATCTACGGTCTATTATCTACGGTCTACTATTTATTGTCTACTGTCTACTATCTATTGTTTGCCCCCAAACCGAGATTCATTAACCCAACACCACCTAACCTAACCTAACTTAGCTCAACTCAACACCACCTAACTCAACACAACACAACATAACCCAACCCAATTCAACACAATATCAACTAAACCAAAACTAATTAACTAATTTTTGAAATTATCAATTTCCCTCAAAGATAAGCATATCGCGCCTTTATATCTTTATTTTTTTGTCCCGCACACATGCTTCTATATCTCTATTTGAATAAGTTGTTCAAAGCATATGTTTATACTCCATTGATATCTCTACTACCCCAATTTGTTATTCCAGAAAGACTTTCTGCTGTTAGATATGCCAACTCACGTACTCTGGAAAGGACTTTTGCTAATCCAGATCTAAGTTGGCATTATAAAGCAATTAGGGGCTACTGGACTAGTATTGGCTTGTGTATCTTGCTAACACTTCTAAATAGCGCCAACGGAACATTTACAATCTCTCGGCAATATTTACCAAGTCCGCGAGCAATGGCGGAAACTCTAAAAGCCGTTGGAGTAGTATTTCAGGACCCGTCATTAACGTTTAAACCATTTATTAGAACTACGCAGTATCAGTACGGATGTATTTCTATGATTTGCTTAGCACCAGCCACTTTACAAGACTATGCCCCTCGTTATGTGGTAAGTTGTGCCTGTAAATTCATCTGGTTTCATTTGCCGCATTATTGCGATATCGAAGAGGCCACAACTAGTCTGGCCGAGTTAAAGAAGATTTCTGTTATTAGGAGTATTTATCCATGTCATATTGAAGTTAACTACAACGAGGCAAATCATAATTTTGAACTTATCAATCTGCGAATTCTAAATAGAGTTATCAATATGTTTGATTGCAAGTTGATGACTCTAAAGTTGATCCCTATTTCACACGCACTCGAAACCAAGTCCTCTCCTCTAAAGCTAGATACGTGCAGGGAAGAAGCCCAGCAGACAGTCAACCAAGCAAGATATATATTCGCGGGTCAGATTCAATTTGAAACTAAAACAGGTAGTAGTCTTATTGATTTATTAGATAGTGATATTGTCTTGTTACGGCTAATTGAAAAAGTCTGGCTACGGGGCAATGAGTTCAAATACCTCCATCTTCTTGGCCAGCTAATGCTAATAGATGGATACGGCCTCTGTTTTTCTGGTCTACCTCGGGCGGCTAATATTGATTTCGAACAGCTCCGCTCAACCTTGCCAGCCAGATGTGGCCTCATTACTATTGAAGAGCTCAATGGAGCAAAACTACTAGGTCTTAGGAAGGCGGTTAATGACCATCCAAATATATCTCTCGAACTGGATTGGAACACTCTTAAGTTCATGAGTCAGCACAACCAACCTGAAGGTCACATCTATACTATTTTAGGCCTTACTATCACTCGGAGCATGAACAAAATACTAGAGAAAGCCCGGTCGACAATAGCATACAATTCGCCCTGGTTGTTTGTGACTACTATCTGTCTTAAAATCCCGTCCAATTTCCCATGTCAGAGTTTAGGTCATTACGAAGAAGTCTACAACAAACAAGCCTTCGCCAACTATGGTGTCTCGGTCAATGACATTCAGATAGATTATGAGGAAAGAGATAATGACATATAGCAAGTTTTAGACGAGTTTTGTACGATGGGAGCATTATCACTCGTGCCCGCTAGCATTCAGCAGAGAGAGATTGTCTGTCTGGGCGAGTCCCTTAACGATAGCCGTTGGGTGCTTCCAGAACCTGTCAAAATCTCACTCAATCACGAACTTCTTAACTTCAAAATCGTAAGTTTCGAAGAAAGGTACTACACGCGTTTTTGCCAGAATATACATTACAGCTTCATTGAAATTAATGGTGATAAAACACCCACTCCACAGTATTTCAGAAAGTGCACTCTGCTACTCTCCAGATTCCAGAGCATCACTGCCCACCAACTTAAGATCTCAAATGTACGCGATACTAACTACTATTCCAACAAGTTTGATTTAGCTACTTTCCAGCGCCACTCTTCCCCAGCCATTACTTGGGCCCTTAAGGTCCGAAGGTTAGTGCTAGACAATGTTGACATACGGATAATTTACTGGATGCTAGGCCACTACGAACTTGCTATTCCTACCGAAATACATATTATAAACCAGAAGTTTGCCAATCTTGCTATTGCCCAAATCCTAACTCATCCTGCATTTAATAACATCACTGCCCTCGTGCTCAATGAGTTACTTACATTAAATGAAGTCATACTATTTGACCGACGAGAAGAGGTAAAGGAATTCTTGCTGTTTAACTATGTAGACGAAAAGCTGAAAG